CCAACTTTCCTCACCCAATACTACAAGCTATCTGATTTACAGTTGCTAGCGCGTGGCACCGCAAAGAGCATTGCAGTCTTCGCCGCTAGAGAGATAGCAGGACGCGTTACTCCAGGCCAGAATGTCGCTGTACATGAGGACAACTTCGATGTTTTTGCTTACCGCTGGGAAGTAGGAGTGTGCGCTGTCTGCATATGCGGTCACGGTTACCCTGAACGTGTTGCATTCTCATTGCTACAGCTCGCATTTTTCGAGTTCATTTCGCAATATCCTGACGCAGGGGTCCAGTTTACCGCAGATGTCGATCTAAAGATACCTCAAATCAAGACTCTATTCACCCAGTATCGCGATCCTACAGTTGTAGACGCGTATACGAACGTCTCGGACAAACTACAGAATACGTTAAGGGTTGTACACAACACAGTCGCCGAAATGTTACAGAATGAGGACACCCTTGAGGCGCTCGTGAACCAGAGCAAGGACCTATCAACCCGTACGAAGAACGTATTTGCTAAAAGTCGCAAACTCAAAAGGCGTTCATGTTGCGCTTTTATGTGAGGCCAGACGGTCCTTATGACATATATATGACAATACATCGAATAATATGGTGGTTCCTGTAAAGTTCGGTGGCGGAGGGTCATTCTCCGGACACATGGAGAGGCGCCGCCGTGGTGTAGCAGAACAGTACGAACGTAAGTACGGTAGCGGAATCCCTAATAAACAATCGCATAAACGCATAAAGCCTGGATTACCGCAGGTCATTATTGCTGATGATAACGGGACCTGCAAGAAAAGCGCAGTTCAACCCGGTTCCATGTTTGATGACAATTTCCAAGATTACGAGGACACCTTATACGGCGTAGAAGATGTGCGGGATGAGCACCCAGGTGATATAGGCTTTGCCATGGGAGGATCGGCATGGTTATCTAAACCTTCAAACTACGAGGAAGCATCAGCGCTTGAAACTACAAGCTACCAAAGGCACAAATTGTTCGAAGGGTGCTACTTTTACATTGATGGTGTCGTGAACCCTTACGAACCGATGCTGGCACTCGAGCCATGTGAAAATGCGGCTTTACATGCTCACGAAACATTGGCAAAACTGATTGTCCATCACGGCGGCCGAATTGAGGTTGACCTATCGGATAACGTCACGCATTACATAGTGGAGAATGTGGCACTTGGCTGCAAGAAATGGTGGTCGATGAGGCAGCGTGGAGGAAAGTGCGCGTCATATGTTGTGGTAGTGCCTGCGTATGTCTTCGAATGTCATCTTCAGTCTAAGAGATTGCCAGAGATCAAGTTCCTCCCGCCATCGCTAAAAATTAAGCCCCAAACCATCAGCCTAACTCAAAATTGGCTAGAAACAGATAATAATAAAACTTCGGAAGAACCGCTTACCCGTAATTCCGAGGAAACCCGAACGGTTGTTCACGACGATACTTGCAGCTCTGTGCTGAATATCAACGTTGATCGCAACTGCAAACCTGTTGAAGTTAAGAATAAGGGGTCAACTGAACTACCTGCGTTCGATGGAACGCGTGCAGATGTTACTGCATCCTCCGAAAGTGATGGAGGTGATACTGATGACGAAACCTTGAAAGCAGATGCTGTAGGGAACGTGGATATAGATAGAGACTGCGCTAACAATGGCAGCAGACACGTGAGATTCCTAACAAATGTTGAGGATGATGATATGGAATGTGACAAATCCGGTACTGGAGGAGTCGAGATTGCTGATGGCAGGTCCAAAGATCTTACCGGCGAAACGGTTCGAGTGTCCTCCACTGGTCCAGAGCCAACAGTTTCGCTTCAAAAGGAATGCGATGAAGAAGTAAAACCAACGAAAGACAGTGCTGGGATTATGGTTACAGAATATTATAAGCAATCCCGTTTGCATTTACTTGGCACATGGAAAACCAGAGTTGAGCGTGAGTTTGAATTTGAGCCTTTTACTTCGCTCTCTGAGGGTTTCCTGTTCGGTGGAAAGTTGTTACACATTGATATGGATGCCTTTTTCGTGTCAGTTGCCATCCGCGATAAGCCTCACTTGAAGCATACACCTTTGGCGATCAGCCACGGAACAGGTAGAAACAGCGCTAGCGAGATAGCAACCTGCAACTATGAGGCCCGAGTGTTCGGTGTGCATAAAGGCATGTGGGTTCGTGATGCACTAAAACGTTGCCCATCTTTGAAGTTCGTTAGGTACGACTTCGATGCCATCACCGATACCGCAATGAACGTTTTGAAGATAGTAGCAGATGTTGCTCATCGGGTGTACTCCGCTAGCTGCGATGAGTTATATGTGGAGTGCTTCATGGGGTCTGATCATTCTGAAATATCCTCCTACATGACCTTCGCCGAGAATCTAGCACAGCTCATAGAAAGTAAGACAGGCTGCCCGCTTAGCATAGGTATTGGAGATAATATGATGCTTTCGAAATTGGCTTCCCAGAGATGCAAATCTCTCAAACATGGTCTAGATGAATGTCCGTCCGGTTACCTTCGCCGAGGCAACGTTTGTGCGGTGATCGATGTTGAGGCTTTCATGGCTTCGGTGTCACTCCATGAGTTACCTGGTGTAGGGGACCGTACATTGGATGTTTTGCGGTCGTGTGGTTATTTTCATTGCCGCGATGTGCACGATAAAGACGATTTGAAAGTACTCCTTGGTGAAAAGCTTGGTAACACCATTTATCAGTTCTGCCATGGAAGGGACATCCGAAATATCAACACAGCTGAAAAACGTTCACAGATTTTGAAGAACAAAACGATATCATCTGCAATCAACTATGGAATCCGCATAAATAGTATTGAACAGGTGCACGAGTATATGGAAGAGTTGGTCAAACAAGTTTGGGAAAGAGTCGAGGCAGCATTAGGCCAGATATTGACCGAAGTCTCCGATGGTAAAGTGTGCGACATTCCACAAGCTCAAATTATGTTAAAGGTGCGTGTAAGAAGTCCTGAGGCCAGTGTAGAACCTGCTAAGTACATGGGTTGTGGTTTGTGCGATGAGTTCACATCTTCGGTATCTGGTGATCTCTTATCCCAGAAAAGCGTGTTTCGCAGCTTGTTAACGTGTTGGCAAAATCTCACTGCACAGCAACCTTTCCCTCTTGAGGATTTACGTGGTATCTCTATTGGTATATACCGTATAAAAAAGAAAATATGTGAGGAACGTAATACACTTGATAAGTTCCTTGTGGCAGTATCACCGCCCACACTGCCACTAGATATTTATCCAATCTACCGAGAATCGCCACAAATCACTACAACGCCTTTAAGAGGAACGCTGCAGTTTGTCACCACACCCACAGGGAACTCAACCCTGACATCTGAAACTCCTACAAACATAAGTAACCCAAACAAGGGGTCATTGCTACGATATGTTGACGCATCACCGCTGCCAATGCGTACACCCGTGAAAAGGAGGCGACTTAGACGCTTGTGTCCCAGGCAACTTACCCTCCACGATGTCCTATCATCGCCGTCAGAAAATTCCGGTAGTGTGGACAGTCACCGGTGCCTGCCCACCATTGGTAGCGGCACCGCTACAAATACTCCGGGAGAAAGGGACTATCCTAAACTTACGAACCTTGTTCGTAGCAGCACGTCCTCGGACCTGGTAAAAATTGTACCCAGCGTATCCAATGCCTGGGTAGTTACCGCCGGTAAATACATAATTGAAAAAAGGTTGCAAGCGATCCGTCGTGCTTGGCCTTTTTATAGAGATGTAGTAGCGTTTTACGATAAAATATTCTCAAACTATGCGACACTGATGAAAAACGATCTTAAGGCCAGAAATGTTGCTGTTGTCGAAACTGAAAATAGTGATGTACCGAAATATAGGTGCACTATGACGATTAAAAATGAACCTAACTGTTTACTTAAGGACAAAGAACATGAAATAATTGAGGATGACAACGTAGAAAGTTGTGAACTGAAGCGTCATCCCGATGATTCGCTAAAAATGTACGATTCCGTATCTCTAGTAAATAACGCGTCGCTCAGGCGATACAATTTAGAAAACGATTGCGAAATTGTAGAGGATGAGACGACCGTGAGGTCTGATGGTACCCTGTGCGCGTTGACTCCGTTTGATATGCGACGCATTTGTAAGCACTGTCGCACACGCTTCTTTAAATGTTTTGATATTTCAATGCTAGAGGATTTGCAGTGCACGTCTTCGACCTGTTTTCTACCCCGCCTAGTGGATTTCGAACGAGAAGATGCGTGTATGGACTGCACGCGATCTGCAGCCACAATGGTGGTGTCTACTCTAGTCTACGTAACATTAATGAGGGCTGTTGTACAGCTGTCAAAGAAGAGAAGATTCGATCTCCTACAGACCTTCGTGGAGGAATCTATGCGCGAAGCTATGTCCTTCACCGCACCCTTTGTAGGCACCTTAGACAGCTCGTTACAAGTACGATTTTTTGAAGAAGCGCAAGAACACCTTATGAAATTGTACAACTTTCGCTAACTACACGGTACCTTACAATTGGCTGTATTATTACGCAATAATATAAAAATTGAAAACCCAATCTAATCTCACTCGTGTATTAACACAATGGAGCTTTCATGTTTACATCCCCTCCATACACATACTTTTACCTCTATACGAAAAACACTCGGTATGTTGTATCATATAGACATGCGCTGGCATCAGATGATGGCACTGCCCCTCTCCATTATTAATCAAAATAGTGTTGACCTGTAATCACCTTAGGGAGGCAACGTACCTTATTTGGGTGTTCTACCCATCTACCCTGCATTTGAAATCGAACAGATTAAAACCCAGACAGGTCTATACCAACATCTGGCTTAGCCAATAAGAATATGAAAAAAGCGTGTTTTTCACCTTGTGAAACCAGGTAACTAACAGTGACCAATGTCTATGAAGTACAGATATTATATACAGGTTATTAACCATATGTGAGTTGGAATGGTAATGGTACTGTCTATGTGGCAACAACCCAGATACATTTGCCGCATCTTCATTTCCACAATTTCGTGAAACTGACATTTTTGTCGCCATCCTTCTTCATTACTTTGGCAACAGCCATGAGAAAATCTTCTTGTGTTACATGAACCCTGCGTTCCCTAAGTGCAAACATGCCTGCTTCAGTACATACAGCTTTAACTTCCGCTCCACTGACGTTTGTCATCTCGCGGGCGATCATCTCTAGATCTATTCCTCTGACCAGATTCATTCTTCGGCTATGGATAGCAAGAATTTGCGCCCGTGCTTCAGCATTTGGATTCGGAAACTCTATTTTACGATCTATCCTACCAGGTCTGAGAAGGGCCTCATCCAATATATCTATGCGATTGGTACACATGATAACCTTGATATTTTGGTAAGGCTCAAAACCATCAAGCTGATTAAGCAACTCAAGCATAGTTCGTTGCACTTCGGAGTCTCCCTGACCGCTGTCAGTCCTTTGTGATCCGATTGAATCGATTTCATCCATGAAAATGATGGATGGTGCATGCTGTCTTGCCATTACAAAAAGCTCTCTTACCATCCTGCTTCCCTCACCGATGTACTTCTGCACCAGCTCCGAGCCACTTACCCTGATAAATGTACAATCAGTGTGATGAGCCACAGCCCTGGCCAGAAGTGTTTTCCCAGTTCCTACAGTACGCTTAGATTACACAGATTTTAAACTCTTACCTGGAGGTCCATAAAGCAATACCCCTTTGGGCTGCGAAATACCGAGTGATTCAAATATTTCTGGGTGTTTAATTGGCAGTTCAATAACTTCTTTGACCTCTTTAACCTGTTGCTCTAATCCTCCTACCATTTCGTAGGTGGAATCAGGCACCTTTTCAACCTTCATAAGTGCAACCAACGGATCAACTTTTGTGGGTAGTATTTTGTGCAGTTTGTAAGAATCACTCATTAGCGCTACTCTTGTGCTTGGTGTGCATTTGGAGATGTCGATATCCTTACTAACATCGACAACATACTTTCCCTCAAGGCTGATCTTGACTAGCACTTTATCATGACACATTTGTTTCACCACTTCTCCTACGAAGCTTCCCGATTCCAACAGTCCATGCAATTCATCTTTAAGTGCCCTAACTTTCGCATTCAGCTCATTTCTTTGAGCTACCAGTCTACGGCGTGTTTGTTCCTTCTCATTGAGCAGGGCCTCGCAGTCCGCGATACGATAGCGATAATAGTTTATGAGACCACTTCCTGCTTCGTTATTTTGCAGGGTGTCTATCTTTGTAGCTCCATCTGACATATTGTAATATGTGTAGTTCCCCTGTGTGACAAATTTATTTCCTCGGCTCGTGGCGTCGTGTTATGACGTCCAGTTTAAAATATTAGATCGAAATATGACCTCCGATAACTACAATATCCGATGGGTATCGAAAGTAACGAATCTATCAGATCACCGAGACTACGCTGTGCACAGATTGTCGAGCTTATAGTCCCACTGGAGCCTTGTGACCCCTTGAACAGCCTTTAAGCAATTTTATAACGATAAATTCGAGTAAATTTCTTGAGGACGGTCGTACAAGCAGGCAACAGCGCGTTGTCACTTAATCACACCAAGGTTACGTCACGACGTTTAGCCATGACATTGAACCACCTTGCCGGACTGTTGTAGAGCAAAAACCGCGTGCTTATGTTGGGACTTAAATAGAACCGTATCGCAGGTAGCGATATGTCTTCGGAAAGATCAGTCATTCCCCATTATGCCCTGCTCTCTAGCAACATCGTATGTGTTTGGCTAAAACGCTCTACACATTGACTGTTACTTCCTTGATTGTGAATTTCAAGGAGAGTCGCCCATGAAAAACAGATTGAAGCTTATTGTTTTATTCTAGTGTTTCAATATATTGTTAAATTACAGCACGGATTCTGTGTTAGAGTAAATAATACTGATAACGTAAGGCGGTACAGTTACTTTGCTAATACCTTTGCGGTAGGCGTCTTCACTCGAAATCCGCGCCAAGCAGTTGTACACTTCATTTGTGATACTCTCATAACTGGACGTTTCCCCAGTATGGTTGTCTTTGCGATAATCTAGCACCGCCAAAAAGCGCCTATCATCTGGCCGAACGATGTTAGTGTATATATCGTGGAGAAGCTTGACGTGTCTTCTTACATCTGCCAGATGCCAATAAGTCTGCACTGCCAGGCAAAGTTTCGTACGCTCTTTGACCGAGAACATTTCCAGTGCAACTTCTTGTCTTAGATAATGAAATATCTGTACTATTGCGTTATCAAGAGTAGCAGTATGTTGTCTCAAGTTTCCAATTTTCGCTGCCAAACAGCAAAGGCACATGAGGATAGTCGTTGAGTTAGCTACTACTCTCTCATTTACGATTTCTGGCGTGCCCTCCATTTCTTTGTACGCCGAAAAGAGATATGCACATATTTTTGCTATATGATCCATATCATCAGCACCTAGTTGGTCAGCTCTTACCAATGCCCTGAGGAAAAGGGTGATATCGTTAACAAGTGGCAACAGCATCCTCTGTGCTGTACCCGCTTTAACGGTGCCTTTAACAGGCACCTTTACCTTCATATAACGTCGTAATTGATCACATGAAGCGGATTTCTCTAAATCTGTGGTGAACCTCTCTACCGCCGCCTTCGCGGTGTTCTGGTGCCTCTTCCGCAATGCACTCAACACATCAAAAGTTAGCGCTATCTGCAACAACATGATATTATTGTGGGATTTCGCGTACGTCAAATGTACTCATAGTTGTTATCCTTTTTGCAAGCTCCTGTTCCACAGTCTTTTCATGGAGCCGTTGCATTCGCTTGGTCCTTGCCAATGCATTGAGGAAAAGGGCGTAATCCGAGTTAGTCATGTCAGGGAGTACCAACCTTAGAAGTTCAGGATCGCACATTTTATTCAAAATAGATTCCGTTTCATCTGTTCGATAGATGGCACATACACTTGCAAGGGTGGCGAACTCTCTAGAAGACAGCCCTCTGAGTTTGAGTTTACCATCATCGAAGGCATTGTTAATTAACCTAGACGAGGTATTTTGAGGAGATTTAGCACTCACCTGAGTGGTGTCACTAGTCTGATCCCGTACATTTGCGCTCTCTGAACAGCTGCTATCCATGCCCCGTGGTCCTTGATTATATGGGTGAAGAGATCACTGGCCACCGCAGCACCTTCTACACATTGCGCTAGCTTGCAAGCGCCATCATAATCATAGCGTGTAATAACGGTTTTGTGCTTCTTCCCGGGTAAGATTGCCAGTAACCTTTCCGGGAACTCTGCGAAATCGCAGTTGACTGATGGTAGATATTTTTCACATTTTAATGAACCAATTCGCTGAAATAAGGTTCTAGATATACAAATGCGCATTTCTTATACAACTAACTATCCATATGCGTAATACCATTGAAGACGTTATTAGCCACCTAAACTACGGTATCTCCATATCATCCATACCGCACACACTTGTAATTTTTAACATTTATTATAAACTCGGCACATTTATGGGTGAAAAACGGGATAGAGTTGCCAACGGAAACCGCCGTCCTCCGTGGAAGGTTTGTGCATTGTTAATAATAGACAGCTTTGTCAGAGAGGCAAGCAGGATACTGGCAAGATCCCGTTAGGTTCTCGCGGCCTTCTGATTACCAATAGTCAGCCGCGTAAGCACAAAGAGGCTATGCAAGAGTGTTTGACTATTTTACGTGAGGTATGTGTGTATGGCTTGATACTAAACGTTCCAGCATTGCGAAAGCGTCGATCCCACTTTTGGGAAAGTTAGAGGAACGAGTGATATCAAGGGTGGAGCTGCTAATGTAGAAGAAGCAATAAAACTGGAATTGGAGGAAAACAAATCCTTTTTTGACCGTTTTGTACCTGGCCCTTGTATTTCCAAAAATGTAAATATAGTATACTTCAAGGATGAAAACGATATACCTTCTACATATGTTCGGGAAATATTTCACTTCATTTTGAAGGACAATGCATACAGCGCACGATTTCTATGTCGCATGGTCCCTTACGACATTGTTTGCAAGGCAGAAGGCGAGCCCTTCACAGAAGCTCTCACAGCGCTAGTTGCCCGCGAATTTCCACATTCACAAGCAAATGGTGTTTTGGAAAACGGTAAGTTACTATTTTATGGTATATTCACGTTCTGAAGATGAGAAGAACGAGTTTTGCACATGGTCGTTGAGCTATAGTTGCCGTAACTCTAACGCCTTAAAAAGGCAGGATGTGCTTGATCTTGCCGTGCAGTTAGTAGGTAGAAACTATAGCGTGGATCTCAGAGCGCCAGATAAGCTATTATTGGTGGAAGTAGTGAAGGTTAGCTAACTTATCATACACCATAAAAAGAGTTAGGGTTCGTGCGGTTTAGCTGTAATTTCTGACTACAAGGCTATCGCACACTTTAAACTTAATATTTCCAGAGTACATTGAACAAATATGTACTCCAAGAAGGCGGTCATCTAGCGTTTTCGTATCGCGTGTCTAGTCTCTCAAAATGTCGGATGATTCCGGGAATGATGAGGTTAGTTCTCACTGAATTATAGCTAATACGTCCGTAGAACGTCATTGACCTCGTCGTTCCTGTAGAAGGAGCATGGGTGAAGCACGAAGATGACTCTGACGGATCCTGGTACACCCATGAAAATTTGGAATGGATGTATAATTCCCGTGATCAAATTTACTACCATATAGAATCACAAATGGTAGTATCAAGTGGTGTAAGAATCCCCGCTAACCTTGTTACTAACCATGGTTCTGCTGACGGTACCGGTGCAGTGCCAGAAAGTTCAGATCACGTGCATCATGCCTCTTGTACAGAAAGCGAAAGCGATAATGACAGTGACGATGGTTCACAACCGTCAGATGATGCAGGCGATAAAGATATTTCAATTGATTTTGAGAAGGACCTTATGGCGGCAACGGTGTCCCGACAGGTTAGTTACTAAAGTGCAATGTACAGTTATGCTCTAGGGTCGTTCCGATCACAAGGATACTTGTGAAGACTATTATGTGACGTTAGAATGTTTGTCTATTCATTTGGTGAGCCGTTCAGAGGCTTTGTGCTACTATACAGGGGTTTTTGATGGCCACTGCGGATACAAGTGAGTTATAATCGGCGTTTATCTTACGCTATTTAGGTGTGCGGAGTACCTGACAAAACACCTGAAAAACAATATTTTGAGTGTATATCGTCAGGCTGTTCGATCGCTTAGTTCCAAGAAGCCTGAGAAACATTTGTATCCCGTGGAATCTGCTGAGGTTAGAGCGTTAATGCAGGGATGCACCAAGGGATTTGAGATGACAGACAAAAATTTCTGCAGTGTCGCAAACATTTACAAGCTGTTGGACGGATCCACAGCCACAATATCGCTTATATATGGTCCTGACGCTGACGGTTGTCTGAAACTAATCACTGCTCATGTGGGCGACTCTCGTGCCATTTTGTGCAGTATGGCGGACAGTGATGGTTGCTTTGCCCAGGCAATGACTACTGACCACAAGCCAAATAACATCAGAGAACGCCAAAATATTGAGAAGAATGGTGGGACGGTTGAGTTTGCTCAGGGCGCATGGCGTTGTCTACCTCGATCACGTACTGGTAATCCCTTGTCTGCTCTAGCTACTTCCAGGGCTATAGGCGATTATCCGTTAAAGTACCCCAACCGCATAGTCTCTTCGGACCCGGATGTTTCTGTCTACACTATAAATTTCGACAGCGACTTATTTTTGGTCCTTGTAACTGACGGTATCACAGCAGTTTTGACGAACCAGGTTGGTGGCACTCTTGCCCAGTTTTTATGGCAATGCAGGAAATAATTGATATCGTATCTGAGGCAATAGATGAAGAATGTACCGCTGATGCAGCAGCTGAGCGTGTTGTTGTTACTGCTGAGCAATGCGGCTCACTTGATGACAAAACGTGCACTGTGATTTATTTTGGTTGGCATAAGGACCTCTTCGAGAAATGTGTTCGCGATAAGGAAGCCGATGCTCGCCGCGAGGTTGTTATAATATATTACCATATGCATAATTTTCAGGCAATGAAGTTAATGGAATCTAGCCAAATGAAGGCTGCTAACGACAAAGAAGACGATATGTTTAGAGCTTGACGTGTGTAATCTGAGCATAACACAATGGGGGTCATACACCCGTATAACGACACATATAATTTTATCGCTTCTTAAATGGAACCTTCCACAGAATCTTCCAGTGATTCTATGCGCGAGAATAAGCGCATAGCTGAGGAAGACGACGGTAAGGGGCGAATTGCGCCAACTAAGTCGGTCGATGCCAAGAGGCCGAAGACCTCGACGCCGTCAGGGCAGGGTGGTCCCGATGCTCGAGGAAAAAATGCTACTTTTACGAGTGGCAGGGTTGGCTACGATTCTGCGCTAGAGCGAGGCAGTGGCCCCGTTGACTCTCAGCTGCAGTCGTTACTGTCCTTCGAAGCAGAAGACAGACCCGCAAGCCAATTATTTCAGCTTGTTCGCAATGTAGGAAATGGAGATATACCCGCTGCTTCCGCAGCGGCAGCTTTGAGCAAGAAATTTGGTGACAGTCCTCCGAACTCCCATATATCTTTCCTATTGCTGGACTGCATTGGTTATTTGCTGGAATATTCATCATATCGTACCAACTTAGAGCTATTGCTTGCAGCACTAGAACGATTTGGACTGCTGACTGCTCGGGAGATAGTTGCCACTATTGAGGCTAACAAGTTGGACGGTTGTGGCTACTCGGCAGGTCTGACTACAGTCGCTATTCGTGAACGCACTCGAAACCAGTTCGTACTCAAATCGTATGGATTGTGGCGTGAATGTACCGTCGGATTCGATCTTTTACAACGGGTACTCTATGACCAAGATTGGGATGCAAACAATAATGCAGAAATAGATAGGTTATGTTATTCGGTAAAGCACATTTCGGGAAAGTTTTCGCTTTGTCCAACTCGAGTACTCTACGAGCTACTAGCTTGGTGTTCATGGCATCAAGGCGACGCTTTATTAGTACCTCTGACACAGTACCCCAAGGAACGTGTTGACGAGGTGGTACGTCTCATACTTGTACAGAGACGTAACATAAAGCACGAATGTCAGACTATAAGAAAACAACCATGGCGCATGCCAAGCATAGTCGGTCCCTATTTCTCCAATTTGTGCGCACGTCTAATTGTAAAAGGGATTTTGGATTTAGGAGATCTTTATGGTTACCTTGAGCCTGCGGATTCAGATCTATCTAATCTGGCTTCGCAATTCTTAGAAATCGCCAAAAAGAAACCAGCAAAACTCACTCGTATAGCTTTGCCAGTGCCATGTCTGCTTCCCATAGCTAATTGCAGCCCGGGAGATAATGAACCGCTTCACGTGTTATCTTTAATAAGTGGAGGTAAGCTGCGAGTAAATGCTTTACTGGATACAACCACTATAACAACAGCCCGCGATACTATAACTTCGAGGCATACAAAATTATTGGAACAACATTCACATAGATTCGTTAATGACACGTCTAAAACGAATAACGGGGCAACTCCTCGGGACAAAAGACAACCAACCTCAAAAGAAACTGATGGAAGGGTGGCTAATCCTACCACAATATCTAGAGATTCCAGCTCCATGCCGAATTCTGATCCAGAAAAGGCAGAAAATAGTATAATTGATATAATGAACTACCACTTTTTGGAGAGTGATACTTACGCATACGCTCGTGACCACATATTCTCTTTGGAATGTGACAAGTTGTTGATACTATCACAACTAATCGACTTGTGTAGTGGTTTGGATACGCCGGAGTGGCAATTGAGTAAACGTCTCTTGGACCATATACAGCACACAGTTAAATTCCATGTTGCGCTTAATGGAGGTGTGTGTAAAGCACTATGTGGTCTAATAAAACGTGTCATTTCGAAACATAATTCTGAAGGCAATGTGTCCAACTGTCTGACGGATCTGGAATATTTATTGCGGATTATTTCCCCAAACCTACACATCGACCTTATATGCTTCTCTAATGTTATCAAGGTCCTGGATTTATGTTTAAGTGAACATTGCGATCGTGTTTGTAAGATGATATGGAGGTACATATTACCCTCAATGTCATTAGTGGTGGAAGGTAACTGCCAGGTATCCGACCGACTGTGGAACGTTTTATCACGCCTACCGCCATCCAAACGATACTGGATATATGAGCATTACCTTTCTAAGGTTTTGGATGCCAAGTCGCATCCCAACGATATATGGGCTAATGTGGTTCGTGTATCGCACAACGGTATTCTGGTAAAGACTAGGTCCCTTTTCAAGCGTGTAACGTCGACAATGCTGAAGACTACTAAAAGCGCCTCAGTGCGTGGCAACGTTTCCATTGTCAGTGGCCTGGCGTCTGTCGACCCTTTTGCGGTAGCCCATAACATAATATCGCAATCTGAAATGTTTGAAAATCTGGTACCACCTCTCGCTGAGATTGGCAAGTACTTTGGTTACTTAGCTTGTGATGTGTTTTTCTACAAGTTATGTTCTAATCAGGATCTCGTTTGTTTCGGCGCTACTTCAGAGGTGGATGACCTTGGGCGAAGCAAAAGGCTATTGGTTAACGCCGAATTGGCAGCTCGATTCTTTAGGCGTCATGTAGATATCGATCTATCTCCATTGCTGGTAGGAACATTAACAGTGCTGCTGCGCAGTATGATGATACACAGTGTGGACGTTTTGCGTCGCGAAGACAAATCAGATTCTAATCCAACTGAAACAGTCAATAAACATTCAATAACAGTGAAGCCATCAAAGACTGGGCGCACCCTTTCATATCCTGACGAATTGTCACAGGGTTGGCTTGCTCTGGAGTATGGTTCTAAACTTTTAGAAATGGCTGGTGGAGTACCGCAGCTTGCAGAGGCCCATGCGTTGACATTAGACCAGTTGAAAGCGCAAGGAGGCGGTGTACTTCTACGTAGTGAAATTATGATGCAAGATGTTGATGATGAGATATGTGGAATGACCTCGCGTGACTGCTTGGCCAAAATTATTTTGAGGCCATTGTTTTGTTACTCATTCCTCTTTCTATGCGGTAAACTGCGACAAGAAGTGATGTATGACTCTGACTTCCGACCTGGAATAACATCATTATGTGCCACAGTTGATCAATTGCAGAAAATGGCACTCCAACTAGTTGAGTTTAAGGAGTCGGTGGATACCATATTTAACCGTGGAGAAGCAACAACACATACACCAGACTTTCCGTCTTTTGAAGAGCTCAGGAAATATTGGGATGATGCGAATGCAATGTACTTCTCTCACTCCGGTAGCAGACTATCAAGCGTTTCAAGTGCGACGTTATCGCACGTAGCATTTAAGCCAGAATTTCTGAATTTTATATGGAGTATCCACCTTTCAGACATATGGGTACCGACCGAGCAATATGAGAAGACTCTTCAGCGGTTGGATGGTTGGATAAAGGAGGTGGGATCCGCGCATTCGAGCAGTGCTCATCGACGCCTAAAGAAACTGCGGTCACGCCACCAAGCTGTGGAGGAGGAATTTGCACAGCAAAAGGAACGCGTTGCAAAGACCAAAGAGCGTTTTGCAGAAGTTTTGTCCAACGGTTGGCTCACGCCTGATGCCCAAATTGGTCCTGCTGTGACCATTGCGTTTTTAAAACACTGCATTGCACCTCGAGTGTTCATAAATGAAGCTGAAGCTGCATTCTGCGGTCACTTGGTGGATTTGATGCTCAAGAGCCGCCTAGAATGCTTCAACTTCTTTGATTTCAGCAACTGCTGGACCAAGATGTTGATGTCAATGGTAAGATGTTGTACAGAACGTGAGGCACCGTTACTTGCCATTTTCGTCAACCACGCATTCAGCGTTATACGCGAATGGAGTAGCAACGCTGAGGAATTCGAAGCCATGACTAAGGAGCATCCTTGCTTCTGCACAACCTTCAAATATGTCCCCGATAAGGCGTTGACACACCCGCAATTGTTAAGTGGTATTAGGAAATGGGAAGGTCGTATTATGCGTGCATTGAGTTATGCACTTGTCCTTCACATTTCCGATCCTGATGGAAGTTCTTCAAAACTGCCCTCCCAGGCCGCTCCACCAACGTGGATCGATCAAAAAGGCGCTGTTGTTTTCCTTGCACGGTGTCATGAGAATTTCCCTATCACAGCTGTAGCTGGTAAACGTCTGTTGACTGGTTTATGTGGAGTGGTGGAGAATGCTCAGAATCAGGGATGGAAGGATGTGGTCGTTGCAGCGAGTACACTCGTGAAGACTTTTGAAAAGTACGAGCGTGAAGAGAAATGGATATAGGTAATTCTTGGTCGCATATAAAGAATCAAAAATCTGCTGGTCTACATATACGGCAGCCGATATTATGAAGACTGCTTTGGCGCTAATCCGAAGACAGAGATGCGTGCTACGCCGTCGATTCACCGGTTAGACGCATGTCATGAGACATATTGTCATCTACATGTTACCTAAGATGTTTTTAGATTCGTTTTTGTGGTTTAAAGCGTTGTCGCTTTCGGGGGTCGAGAGATGCGTTATATATGCTAGAATCGACCGACTACAACAGTTCCTACACCTCATGCTATGGAACCCGCCGTCAGGAGTTGAATTTAGTGTATAAAGGTAGCAACCGTTATAATCTCTTTCGAGATTGCACAATATATAGTGTGAAGTCACAAACACAGATAATAAATTGCAACTATTAAGTTTTTTTCTTAAGTTTACTACGCTGTCTGCTGTACCAGCCCTTTGATCCAGATGTTTTCTCGCCCTGTATTTCCTTGTACTTTTTGCGGGTCCAAGTTTGGTCGGTTGCCAAAGTTTCCGCAAGCATCGATATACCTCTGCGCCGTTTTCGTGAGTTCACTGCCCCCGATGCTTGGGATTCTTCACCAGGGCCAGCCCTGACCCCCGATGATGTGGTCATGACTCCAACTTGGTAACGTAGGGGTAACGGTTCCAATTTCCCGCTCTTGTTCCCCTTATAGAACTTTTTCGGGTTCATGAACCCACGTAGCTGGATAGCTCTCCACTCCCTTTCATGTTGTACTGTAGGTTCGCGTTCAGTAAGAGGGTCCCACTTCGCCTCCAACTCTTTACGAAGTTGACCCTTCGTTTTATCCTTGGGGATGACCTTTTCCGTCGCCAACGCATCTGCAGTTTGAAGTTCATCAGCGAGGCCTAAGTCAGTTTCTAGATCCTCGTCTGGAGCGCATGAGGTCGTGGATACGTTACGCAGAGTGTCAGAAAATATGCCTGCATATTGCAAGAGCGATTTGTCTTCTTCATCTTCCATTATTGCCATTAATATTATTTATATTGTATTTGTGAAACCACTTTTAGCCGTTCAAACTGTATGCAACAACATTTATTTGCGATATTAATAATGGACCATTAAATGCTCAAGATTGTGGCTCCATTATATGGTACTACAAGGTACGAGCCGACGTTAAAGAAAAACGATAATAAGTACAATTTATATTGATCCTGAATTATATAAAATTTATGTTTTGAAATAGGTTATACCGCCCTCGTTTCACTACCCGCCTAAGGGGCGGAGGTCCAACCGATGCAAGGGACTGCGATAATGCTTACCGTTGACGAGGCGTGATTTACGATAAATTGGAATAATCATTGCTGTGTAAGAGTTAATCGCTCCGTTTTGTAGTTTAGACAGCCTGACAATTACGACATCACTGCAGTGTGTGTGGAGTAGTTATTTTATAGTCAACATGTCGCGATGTCGTTACCAATTTTTATGAAAATCTTACAAACTATGTTTTATTACATAGCTTTGCTAACCCCTCTCGTTAGTTTCGTGAAAGCCGATCTACCTATACACGCACTTTCGGTAAGTTACAAGATACACTGAAATGTCAATGTGACTATCTGTAATAGTTACACATGGCAATTATTAGTATATGTGTACATGCGTTAATTTACACATCTCTTGCAGAGCGATGTATTAGGGTTATGGCGTGTGTTGGAGACCGAGAAGTACCATGACAAGCCACAATCATGCGGCGGAACACTGCCTAATCGCAACATCGAAAATTTGAAGCTCGGTAATTATCGTCATTATCTTGAAGGACTCTACGGGTCTTTGCGAGAAAATGTGTTGGAGCTGGTGGACGAACGTTACCACCGTCGTAGTGAAACTCCTCCAAGGAATCAATGGCGTTACTTAGGTGTGAGAGACCCGAAGTCTGGTCAGGGATTCATAGGGAGCTGGTTGGTGTTCAATATATGATAGATATAGCTTCTCAGGACAATGGTCTACGACGAAGGTGTGGAGATAGATATCGGTGCTACAAGTTACTTTGGTTTCTTCAAATACAACAAAATAGATAGCCGATCGTGCCCAATGATCATGGACGGTAAGTAACCATACACATTGACCCTTGACGTTCAATAGGTTCCCAAGAAGATTCACACGGAAACGTACCATGCTATAAGACAAAAGCATCCGAGATCGGTATTGGTTGGGCTACACGCAAGGTGATGGAGAATGGCAAGGCAAGATACCTGTACGGCTGTTTTTATGCGGAGAAAATAAAAAAGGACCATCAACATTCTTACGTTCTAGATGAAACTGCGACAGCATCTTTTAACAAAGTCAAACCCAGGTATTGATTCAGCTCACGTATTATACATTTTGTAGTAGTTCAAACTTATGGGTGAAGAAGGAATACACACAATTTACGGATCTATCACCATTTAGGTTCTTACAATTACACAAGGGTGTTTCGTTCAAGAGTATACACCACTCCAACATGCACAGCGGCTCTAACGAGAACAAGGGTTTTGTTCACCGATTCCTACAGGAAGGTAGGTGGGAAATATAACGGATTAACCCGAGTTAAGATAAACCAAGTCTTTATGCGTGCCACAAGAAGGATGATAACACCGATTACTACAGAGATCTTGCATTGCCACAACAGTGGACTTGGGGAGACTCATTTGACGGAAGTACAGACGAGATACAATCGTTCGGTCAAGGTATGTTTATATACACATAACAACAGTTTTGACCTATCACAGGTCAATGCGGTAGTTGCTACGCAATGTCGGGAATTTATATTCTGATAAAACGTTCGGAGATTTTATTACGCAAGCTCTACCCTGATATAAATTGGAAGAACACGCCCATGCCATCGGTTCAGAACATAATAGAATGTTCTCCATACAACCAGGGCTGTTTTGGAGGTTTCCCCTTCCTGGTGGGAAAACATCTTACTGAACTGGGTGTTGTGACCGACGTTCAATCACCATACAAGGTGGTCACGGATGAAACCGCCACTCATTGTACCGTCACCAATGCTGACCCAAATAATCGTTGGTTTGCATCGGGATATGGATATGTGGGTGGCTGTTACGAGTGCACGACAGAATTGGAAATAATGAGAGAAGTATACCATCACGGACCCGTAGCTGTTGCCATAGACGCGCCACAGAGCCTTTTTAGCTACCAAAGTGGTAGGTTGAACTCCAGATAGTATCATTTTCTATAGGCATATACGATGACGATCCTGTTAACCATGGTAAAACATGTGATTTGCCACTATCAGGCCTAAACGGTTGGGAGTATACGAACCATGCCATAGCAATCGTGGGTTGGGGTGAGGAAGATGTTGACGGTGTAAATACCAAATATTGGATCTGCCGTAACACTTGGGGGAACAATTGGGGTACAGGTGGTTTCTTCAAAATGAAGCGTGGAGTGAACTTATGTGGTATCGAGTCACAAGCGGTCTACATCGATCCTGACCTTACTCGTGGATTAGCTGCTGCTATTTTACGTAGAAATGACGCATAAGTCATCAGAAGTCGCAATTCATGCAACGCAGTGGTACGCCATCAGTAGCGTGCTCATAATAACATAACTACGTTAAAAATTATCAGTCATAAGTTTAACGTCTATTATTGATGTAATACCGCCAAATTTAGCGTTATTCCAGCTGTTTATTGGTGGCATTACCATCCATAGCAGTTTTTGTTGCAGCCTTTTGCGATGTTTTCACAAGCCCCTTGGCGTCCTTTAAAATCCTACCACTATTCAGCTCAAATGCGCCCCAATCTATAACACCCTTTCCATCATCGTCAAGAAGGCTGAATATTATATCGATCATAGTCTTGTTTTTGGAGTTGGCTATAAACATGAAATCTTCCTTGGATACTGAAAAGTCGATGCCTTCTTTTCCTTTGCTCCTACTCAATGTAAGGTCAAAGAAACGTTTACGCATATTCTCATATTCATCGATGGTCGAGTTGTGAAATGCGTCGTAGTCTCTAAGCGAATCCTCGAGATCATGTTGAATGGCAGTAAGCTTGTTGATTAAGTGGTATGTAATGGCTTTAATGCTGTCTTCTAGTTTCGATTCTTGCGACAATTTCAACCCCGAGAGTATATCGATGAGCGACTCCTTATCGATATACTGTTCCTTAGATATTTGTGCTGCTAAGGCGTCGGTGTCACGTATACCTTTTGCGATAATTTTTATGTTGAACTGTTCCGCATCAGTTAAGCAGCTGCGAATAAACGCTTCCCTAGACTTTAGTTGCAGCACTTGTTTATCTAGACGAAACAACCCATCGCAAACACTACTTAGTCTCTCAAGTGAGTCGTAATCAGTATCTCCTCCTGTCATTACTACTCCAAGTGACTCTCTTTCTTGCTGATCTTCGGGTCGTCGTTCTTTGCGATTGAGGCACATAAATGGTGTGCATAACCCCAACCAGGGTTCGTCGATTTTGTCTTGAGCAGTGGACATGTTGTGACGTATTGATATGTTATTTACCCTAATTGCTGGTCAACGATTATACACCTCACAAAGATGCATGCCGCACACTTCAGTATATAGTTCTTGTTGATATATATGTAGCCCACATAGATAAACCAAGGCTTAGATTACAGACAGCCTATAGGTAGGAGATATCAGTCGACTTGGCTATGCTCTTTAACTTGTTTGACGGTCACATTAACGTTGTACACAGTATATAACGGGTATGAATTTTGTCAAAAAATGATAATTGTAAATAGTTTTGTAAATGATTGTTCATATCTCAGGTCCCATGGCTCGAATAGACCGTTACATCATTATAAGAATGGATGCAATATATATTTATAAAATATTTTATGTGTGTTTTCATCACCCTAGAGTATTGTGTACATGTTAGATTCGACGTGCTACGGGCGTGGCATTGGGATCGAGTGTGTATGTCAATGTGAGCATGATGTGTAAATTTATTTGCAAGTGTCACTAACACTTTCTTGGGTCTTACCAAAATCATGATGGCCGCATTTTACTCACATGGTTGCGTCACGGTTATGTGTGTGTCCACTTATCGCAGACACTTGACGCACGGTAGTTGGACATCATATATAATCTCACCCTTTTATGACATAAATACAGTACCTTTTTTTAGGACAGCAGATATAATGTATCTCTTGAACATTATTGGCTTTGATGTTGGACGCCTAAGAGTTGATCTGTAAGCATTCGAATAATTATAAGTAGCCCATACATTCCGTACAACAACCATATCGCGCCAGACAACAGAGCCACAAATATACTACGTTGTATTTGCCGTTGGTCACATTGTGTATAACAAATTCCTCGGAACTACCATCTTAAATGTTCCCCTTTATATGGTGCGGCGATTGGACTCATGAAGTCCAATTACAGCGGCTTTCGCAGCTAGACGTTCAATACAAATCGCGAATTATGTCATATTTCTAATTATAGTAACCTAAATATTACTTTTACAGTTACAGCCATAGGACCTAGTCTAAATGATACCGATTGTGAACTGTTGCATATATATTGAGCGCAAGGAACGAGAATCTCACAAATTATAGCCTTCTAATTAATACATATAGTACTTCAGGTAAATACGGTGGCGAATTTACTGACTAGGTATTACCACCTTTTCCTTCTCTATATTATCGCATATTAGTAATGGAAGTTGTATAACGTTTTTTTCCACAGATTTAACAATGGATGTCAGTGGATTCGGAATCGCACGTGATGTGCGCAAACAGACATCTGAGAAATCGGAATTTCCCACGTTATGCGAAACATGCCTGGGCCCTAATCCACTTCTTAGAATGCTGAAGGAACGTTGCGGAAAGGAATGCAAGATATGTGAACGACCTTTCACAATGTTTAGATGGAAACCTGGTCCCAAGGCACGATACAAACAAACTATTATTTGCCAAAACTGCTCCAAGATCAAAAATGTATGCCAAACATGCTTATTCGATCTTGAATATGGTTTACCAGTACAAGTGCGTGACGAATTTTTGAAAAATGGTGTTGAAATGGCTGAAGTTAAAGCAAATTTAAGTCATCAGTTAAGTAAATTGGAGAGTGGTGCTCTGGAGCTGCCGAAATCTGAATCTAATCCCATGTTAGAGAAATTGGCACGTATCGCACCTTATTATCGCAGAAACAAACCACGCATATGTACATTTTGGTTGAGGAACGCATGTAATCGTGGTGAAGAATGCCCATATTCTCACGACAATGACGATATACGCCATCACGACCCGGCGTTGGCAAAACAAAATATCAAGGACCGGTTCCGTGGAGAAAACGATCCTGTTGCAAATAAAATACTCCAGAGACTAGAAGAGTCGAAGAAGGAAGAGGCAGAGGCGGACGAAAGCAAGACTATTACAAAGGAGGGTCTTTACCCCTCTATGCTTCCTCATGAGGCGCAAAGGCGCCGTTGACTCTAAGATATCTACGCTGTAAAACACACTAGGGGTACACGGACCCATTAATATACTGCATACACGTGTTATCAAAGCATGTAAAATGGCTATGAGTGATGAGTTTCAGTAACGGGAGAATAATCATAAAAAATTCGTCAACGACTCAATCATGCTGTGCGAAATGCTAAAGGCACCGTCAATCTCATTCCGTCACTAACATGTATGACAGTAATGATTACTATTGTTTTTCACGAATATAACCTAATAAGTTGTGTATTAAATGTTTTTAGAAAATTAAGACACGTTTACTTTATTTCAGCACATCGAGTTATACATACTCATTAGCAGGTTTTTGTTCTTCACAACATTCGTGGAGTCTTCAATTTAGTCGTTTGCTATTTCGTGAACATATCTCGATCGCTGGTATCCTGACCTGCAATCCACGTACGATCATAGACCATATGCAGCATGACAAAATAGGCACGTACGATGCGTTGAATCCCAGTGTGACTATGGTGAAAACGCACTGCGCTATTATTGCGACATAGACTACTTTGGACGGGGTATAGAGAAGGTAGAATTTGTTAGAACAGAGATACGCGGTAAACGCAATTGTACTAAGAAGTAGTGACCACACATTTATGCGATGTGTAAATGTTTCAATAGAGTCGGTTGATTTCATGGTGAAGTTATACATAGTGTGTTTTGTGTAACGCTCGACATGGTTAGACTGTTACGGTTGAGCCACACTTTAAATACCGGAATGAGGAAACATAAACGTGCTTCTACATTAAATATAGAAGACAATGACGATTTGGGTTTCGTGACACGCAGCAGCGGAGGTCAGCTGAACTTTGGCAAAGTTGAGGACCTGCCTCCACTAGAGGAATCTGACGCAGATGAGGGCCCGGTTATCGTAAATGCCCATGATTTTGTACAACGTAAGATATTATAGTAATTTATTAAATTATATCGCAGAAACTACACATCTTGGACAGGAACGGAAGCGCTCTCTAACTCCGCCACGTCGCACTGTACAGTACGTTGCTTTTGTTACAGCTCATATATTTATAGAGCCGATGATGAGGTGATATATCGTGACAAAGGGGGTCGGCGTCGAGTGTGTATGTCAAAAGGGCCTAGTACAGAAGGAAGATCACGAAGCTCGTGCAATAGAAGAACTCAAAATTGCACAACAGCCTCTAAATCGCTATGATATCGACGAAGAGTATGACCAACAACTGAAGGATCGGAATCGATGGAACGATCCTATGTATAACACTAGCGCCCCGCGCTCAGGTGAGATACATCTATTTTAGCAATGAAAATGTTGTAGAGAAGGAAGTACCGAAGTCTAGATTTACTGGTGTTCCAAATAGATTTAATATCGAGCCAGGTTACAGATGGGACGGAGTTATCCGTGGAAATGGATACGAGGAACGCTGGTTCAAGGTGAGTACCCGTTAATGGGTGCAGATGTGATTAAAATGTATCCATATTATTATAGGCCAGGGCCCATCGAGCTGCCAAGGAGCAATCTCATTACCTGAACAACATCGCAGATATGTAATTCTACTAAAGTTTCACACCACAGGTACAAATATAGTAGTAATAGCGTGCAACATATGCAATAATGATACCCTGTTGCGGAAATTTCCAATCTCATTGCTGTCTAAGCTACGTTATCGTGTGGCAGAAGGTCGCGTGCGTGGTTGAATAATATCGCTGTGGGATTAGCATAGTTGATATATGAAACAATGTCATTGTAAATTTACTATGAATAATAGATATTTTGGTTCCTGTGTGCGATTTGCAGGTACTTCAATTCGACATAGCTCATTTACAGCAAGTTCTGTGGGCATTGGAGCTCATCGAGTTACCTCCAATAAGCAGCGGGCAAACATACCGTTATACGGACGTTTCTATTCAACTGAATCGAAGGAGGTTTCGCCGTTCGTTAGATTGGATTCTAAGGGTGGAGCTAGATTGGTGTATGATAACTTCGGACGATTACGCGTCTTTATCAAGTTCCTAATCTTCCAAAGCATACCTATTGGGATCTTTGCGTACTTCTACCGACGATTTGAACAAGAGAGACAGTCTCTATATTCTGTTCCACTGACTTCTGTGGATGAAGTTTTGCGACAACTATTCTCTATTCTTCGTAATGCGCAATGTTTTTTGATAGTAGGAGGGAAAACGTTCATGGTTAATTATTCGATCGGCAATCGTATTGATTTTGAAAAGGCAGATTCCTTCGACTCATTTATAAACCAACTTCAACCATCACCTCGTGACTCCTTACAACACATATGCATTTCGTACCCCGCTGGACTGGGTATTGAAGCTGCAGTTGAATCAGAGGAGGAAATTGACCTATTGTTTTACAACCAATCTTTGGACTCATTCGCTGCTGTTAAAGCCACAGCACAATCAATAACTGACAAAAACCAAAAAAAACAACTCTGGACTCCTAAATTGGGCGACGACACCAACAATCTGGGCTTGATAAACACTAAATTTGTACGCATAGGCTTCGGAGGAGACAGCAAAATAGTAGAATTGGAAAAGAAAGAAGATTGGCTTTTGCTATAATGATTAGTGAATTTTTGCAATCCATCCTAATAATTGCACTCTTTGTGCTGCCAGCTATCTGGTTCTACTTCTCGTTCAGTGCGAATAAATCAAGTGCAAGCGTCGTTTTCTGTGGCCCAAGTGCTGGCGGCAAGACTTCATTGTTGTTGTATTTGGCAAGGGGCAAGCACGTGGAATCGCAAACATCGCAATCGGTCAACAGGTTATCATTGAACTTGGGGAATAAATCAGTTTCAGTTGTTGACACACCTGGTAACTTCAGATTGTTGCCCGAGTCCATGAAACATATTGAAAAGGCCAAGTCGCTGGTGTTCGTAGTTGACTCAGCAGATAAGCAGAGTTTCAAGGTAGCGGCGCAACAGCTGGTGGACATTCTTCTCAATCCCAAGGTGATAACTGCACGGCCTAATATGCTGTTTGTTGCAAACAAAAGAGATCTCCTAGGCTCCAGAGATCCCGAATCAGTACTACACTTTGTGCAGTTGGAAGCTGAGCGCATTTTAAAGGCATATGAAAGCGAGTCGCACATGAAACACATTCCTTCGGAATCTATGCCTCTGCTTCACAGTTTGACCCAAGGCAATTTCTCACTTTTCGCTACACCGCTGCAGGTCTCATTATGTTCCGCTTCGGTCTGTTCAGGGAATGTAGCAGATATTCTTAAATTTATGGAGTAGTTTTATGAAGTTTTGCCATATAGCTTTCCAAGAAACGATCTAATTGGAGTGTAATCTTTTCGAAATATTTTATACTGACCTAGCTATACAAAAGGCGCTGTGAACCAATATATTAGGCACTACGACAAAACCTTGTTACGGTAAAACCGCAACGCTGATACAATAAAACATGTACGTTGATTGCATCCCATCGATCTATATCTAATTACAAAATCAGATAACGTGTACCCAAATGTTGTTATAATATTAGTTGCGCTATTTATACGAACACAGACGATCACGTAGACGCTAGTATCTTGGACAACTCGGCACAGGGGTCGCGCAGAACATCTGCTTTCGTTCCGAACTGGCATACCTTGCCGGAGTTCATCACCTGAACCATTTATGTATATATATCGCCATTCACGGCTTACCATCACATAATCTGCAATTGAGATAAGGGTTGGTCGATGGGTAACAACAAGAGCAGTTTTATCTTTCAGAAACTAAAGCACACTTTGTTCTCATAAAGATGTGAACCTACATCAGATAAAATATGGTTTAATTGCCGTTCCGATTCCATATCCAGCGCAGATGTCACCTCATCAAGTAGTACCAGTTTAGGATCTCTCACAAGCATCCTAGCAATGGATATCCTTTGTCGTTGGCCTCCTACATGTGGCTAGTTAACTGTTGCTTTTTTTGACTTACCGCTCAACCCTTTACCCATTTGACCAACCACAGTGTTATCTCCATCGGGTAGGTCACTCATTATGTTAAGAAGTCCAGAACGTTTGTATGCCTCAACTAGTTTATCCTCAGCGCCCGTTTGCCCATATAGTACGTTGTTCCTGATGGTGTCATCAAAAAGCGTAGCCTGTTGTTCGATCCACGCGCACTGAATACAATGATACCAATCATTGTTGCAAACTAACCATTGATCTTAATTCCTTGATATCAATATCGCTCATCTCATTGCCATCGATATAGATGGAACCTGAGTTAGGAGTATAAAGACCTAGCAGCAACTGGAGGATGGAACTCTTTCCACAGCCACTTTCACCCAGAACCACTAAAGTTCTTTCTGCCGGTAGCACGAATGAAACATCTCTCAAAATAGGGCACTCTGGCCTTGCTGGATATATGAACGAGACCCTGTTGAACTCTACTTGCGGAGCGACTGGTTTTAGGGGGACGTAGGACCGTTTCGTCCTATCTTGATCAGGTTCAATGTATGCCGCTAGATTAACAGCGGCTCCTATGCATTTTTGAATATCGGCAAAGCTGGTGGTAAAACTCTGCAAAGAACCTCCCACAAGGGCACTATACATAAGCAGCGACGTGACATCACCAATCGTCATAGTCCCATTGGACACTAGCGTAGCGCTTGTGTTTGCCATAAGAAGAATTAACGATCCCACAGCTCCCACCGCAACAAAATTCATACTTGAACAATAGAGAATTCCCCTTATAGATGCGTTGAACAATTGACGAATCTGCCGATGCAAATTAAGAACTATTGGGGTAAACGTACCTTATCGGCGAATACTGTAGCTTCAAACTTTTCTGCATTGGACGTTTTCACGGTCTTTATATGTGATACTCTCTCTTCAGTATATGACACCAGTGCCGCAAGGTGCCGCATCTGTAGAGATGTCTGGCGCTGGACGCACCTTGATAACGGTATCATTATGAATAGAGAGCCTGCTATGGGCAGTACAGTATGTATGATTAGCGATATATGAGCGATCTTAAGAGAGAAATAGATGCCCGCAGTGAAACTGATTGAGGCCCTGACTATTTGGGAAAGATGATCAATGATACCTGCTGCAACTTTAGCATCCGTCGCAAGTATGCTAGCAAGTTTTCCTGACGAGTTCAGATCAAAGAAACTGGCATCCTTCTTAAGGAGTGAATCAAACATATCTTCACGGATCCGTCTAGACATGCGAAGTTTGGCAAACCCCGAAAGGGTTGTTTTAATAAACGACGCTAGTGCAGCACCCAAAATAAAACAACCACCCTGTAGCATACTTGGAACAGTCTGTGCTGAAAAGCTGTTGATGTAACGGCCCACGACTGTTGGAAACAGTGATATGAGTGCACTTGATGCCATCAGTGCCACGAATGTTGGCAATACAATTGGAAATTCCCTCGTCATACATCGTGTCAGACATAATACTCCACGTCGTTTTTGCAATGATGTTATAGGTTTTTCTAGCGATGGTTCGTTGTTATCGGATTCTTTATTCTCCGATGTCTTGGTGGAGAAACCGCGAGATACCGTAGTGTACGTGTTTATAACACCACGATTACACACTTGTACCCTCAAAAAAGCATTACATTTTGTATTGTGGTAACCCCAGATATACGCCTTTGTATATATCGGTACGGATTGGATGTACGGCGTAATATTGATATGCAATATGCCGCCATGGTTAAGGAAATTTACCTTGAAGCGGCGATCCCAATATTTTTGGCTATTCCACCGAATACACCCACTCCAGATGCATCGTTCGCCGATATGCGAGTGAATATTACTACGGAGACCCATTACTTTGCAAATCGTCCTACCATCATACTTCACACGATTGTCACATATTTGAGAAACAGTACCTTAAACGTACTTTGGAGCGTTTTCAGTATTATTCGTACCACTTTGGTATCACGTTAATTATAGAAAAACTGGCAAGTAAACGTTATTTAACGACCACGATATTACGGGGAGTAGGTAAACCCAAATATATGGGTATGATAACTGAATTTGGATGATTTTAGGGATATCACTTGATTTGTATATTCTCGAAACAGACCATTAGCCTAATACATCCACGAAAGGGGTATGTGTGATGACATAATGAATGTTTGATATCCAATGTCCTTTCCATTAATCAGTATATCTCCGAATAGGACATATTAGACTTGACCTTTTCAAATCATATAAAACTATACGACCTGGATTCTATCAACTTTTAAGGATAGCCGTAATTTAACGTCACTTCATTCAACACGTGGCTTACGTAAACTGATAAGGGTACTTGTGTATTTAACACATTCAATTCATATCAATTCTTACAAATTAAAATAAGATACTTGATGCCTCAAAGAGATTTTTGCGACTATTGGATGACGATCATTGCCGATGGAGTGGGCTGTCGCCTACACACAACCAATAGTAACGGGCCGTGTGTCTAAAAGACAAAATCAATAATTTCATATTCAAAATATGATTGTGAATCTAATTCTCATGACTGTGCTGCAGTAGATTCGTCCTTGCCATACTACAGGTATAGGTGAGATTAACACATCGCAAACACGGTTGGATGACCTAGGAAAACAAATGCGTTCTAGCGATGTGTAATGTTTAACCGCCAAAGCATCAACGTAATCACGTTATCTTGCATACTTGCACATATTATCCATATTGAGGTAGTGATTATGCAAACTCAGAAACATGGAGCAACCTGTTGAGCAAGATACACCCTTCAAATCTCATAACGTTGCAGAGCTGCTTTATAACCTCACAGAGCAGCAAACACGTTTGATGGAAACATATAAAGGATTTCTCACATCTATGCAGTTGGAGTCTAATCTACAAGATGCAAAGGGGAAATTAACCGGCCTCAAAAAGGCAGGAGCGGAATTGATAAGCTTACAGAAGGAGCATATAAGGAAAATGTTAAGCATGCTACATCCTATTTTTAGGTTGGTCATGCCTGCGTCACAATTTGAAGAGGACGCATGTATTCAAATGTTAGGCAACAATGAGAAGCTGGAAACATACGATCTTGTTGAACTTTCCTGCGTGCTACGCTGCTATTTTGCCAAATTAGCAATATATATCTATCACATGGCCACATTTGTACAGGATAGAGCTGGATACGAACGAGCTGTATCGACAGACCCAAACTTAAGCAGCCGTCGTGACATTCTAGGTGAGCCAGATTTTATGGGAGGTGCTAACATTTTTGAACCGCCGTTTCCGGAAGAAGATACACGCCTACATGAAGATACTATTAATTTAAATAAGGCCGACTTTTCAGTCCCCGGATCATCCGTAGACATATCGCGGATACACCAGTCGTCACCCGAGCGCCCTGCGTTCTATGATGACATGTATGAAGATATGAACTTCAGTGCTAAAGAGGATGATATTTTGCGTAATGTTATGCCTCCATACGAAGCTGCTGCCCCTACCGCACCGCAGAGCTATTTTACAAATCTACACGAATCAACACAACCAGATAGGACCGGCTTCAGCGAACTCAATGAATCGGTGGATGTTATGGCTTCAAAATATCGGGACCTATTTGAAACTATGAATCCGACCGCTACGTCATACGCAATGAACAATTTGTATCGAGATGTCAGTGACGTATTCACGCAAGATGTAGACGATTTCCAACAATCGATATATGAATCGCATGACCAAGGGAAATCAATCACAAGTGAAACGGATCAATTCATCGACAGAATCATTGCCAACGGGACACACACATTACAAACGTCACAAAACGAATACTATTCGTCATACGACAATCAGGCCGCGGGATACAATTTCTACGAGGATTTCACATCACCAAATGTTGTCAACAGATCGCCTTTTAACGTATTAAAAAACTGGAGTCAACAAAAGGCATGTATACCCTTAAGACAATTATCTTATGATAGTAATCATTGCCTTGGAGGTGCGACAATGAATTCAATAGACAATCCAGTGAGACCTCTGACACAGGTACACCGCAATATACCAGCACCAAAGCCACATCCATTGGCTGCAGGAAATTTCGGAAGGCCAAACGATGGGTACACGAATTATATGCCAACCAACAAAACTATAAGACCATTAGGTCGTCAGGATATTTTCAAAATGGCTCGCCAAAACCCATCACCGAACGATGAAAGTGGTCAAGTAGCATCACAGACATATCGGGATGAAGTGGCTCCTGATATGGTAGAAAATATAGGCACTAATAGATGCTTCAAGTCTCCATACACAGACCTGTGCTGTGGTGTTGGTTATTTTTCTGACACCAGACGAAGACAACAACCAGGTGCCGCTGTGTTGCAAGAAGCGTATCATCCCAGCTTCTACGCTAAAAGGAGCGTAGTTAGAGAGAGCATCCATGTTGAAGGTGCTAATACGAAGGATGTTACATATTTATTCTATGACAGGCCACTGCATACATCTGATTTCGATAGTATCAGCGATACTAAATTCAGTCAAATGAGCAATCCTGTGGATGACTCTCTACAACCAGCCAATGTTACAGATCGTCAAACCAGCATTCAAACAACTATTATCGATGACAATATGGGCAAAGGTATCCACGTTCAACGTCATAACGGGATAGCGCTGGGCACAGCAAACCAATTAAACGTGCCAGAATCGAAAGTGGTTAAAAGATCACAAGAATATCAACAGGACATCCGATTTAGCTCAAGGAGCAGGGCGGATAGCGCCGATCCAACTATTGGTTTGGTAGAAGATTTCAACAGAATGGCACAAATACAAAACCAAAATTTGAACTCATTTTCAAGGAATGCGGGCGGTTACCGCACTACTGCAAGGCATCGTAGCCTAGAGGCGGATGTGGCTAAAGCTCGTTCGAGACCATACGACAGCCTGATAGACCAGGTAGAGCATTCATATAGAGAAGGGTTCTTTCCAAAGACTACAGTCATCGGTCAAAAGAGAATTGAAGGTATTGTCAATGCGCCGAATATAGCCGATGACGATGGTTCGCACGTTTGCCTGAACGTTCAGCTTAGCCAGCAGGATATACTGGCGGATCAAACTGTAGAAAGTAGTGACCGTGATACTCTCGGAAATGGGTTTCCAAGTATTGATATGGGACAGGACGGACACGACCAAGAGATATCAGGTAACGTGCAACATACCACTGCTGAACTAACGGGACACATTGGTTATGATACTATTAATACAACTAATGTAAATCCGGGTGAATCAGCAGCCGTAGTCCGTGAACAAACGGAATCGCAAACTGTTGTAAGTATGGACAACCCTCAGAATTCTCTACATACCGATGCATACGATATGGATCTCATTACTAGCAGTAAAATGATCGTAAGGCAGACCCACGGCGAACCTCCTCTCAACGTATCGCATTCGTTACCGGAGTTAGGAGAAGAAAACCTGTCAACATCGCGAATAGAAATACCGCCTTTAGACATGAGTAAACTGAGAATTAGGACGAGTCTGTAACATGGTTAAATTTCAATCCTAATCTGGTTGCGTATTCCTATGATATCATGACCTATGTAGTTGAATGGACCTACTTCGAGTTGCATAACGCGGGCCATATCAGAGTCGAAAACGACTGCGTCGTCAATCACCGGCTCGAGCATTGAAGTATATGCGTTGTCGTTGAATCCCAACTTTATAAATAGCCGCAATATATCATTCAAACGTTCCGGTTGTATACGGCGTGCGTATATACAAATGCACTGTGCGAGCGATGAAATATCGATGTCACGATGCTTGGTGCAAGCGGTAAGCAGACTTACTGCTATATTGCAAAAATGCCTAATAATCACCGCATCCTCCGCGTCAGTGTTTACCCGTTGAATGAAGCTACCAAGCATGTTCGGCAAAATCATGTTCACCCCTGGGCAATCCATGAGGTTTAAGTGTGCGGCCAACGTTGCAAAACTCTGAGTAGACATGCCAGCGATTGTATGCTCATCTGTGAGGAAATGCAGAATTCGTTCATGCAGCCGTTTCAGAGTATCCGGGATATATCCTTCAATATGTGAAAGTTTTATTGTCCTCCTTAGCATTGCGGGGATTATTTCAGGCTCTACAAGATTTATTGGTGCATCTAATAATCTTGTGGCAAGCTCGCAAACGTAACTCGTTGATTCAGCATGGCATATTCCCAATGCTAAATCTAAGGGTGTAGAGCTGTTCCTTATTTTTTCAAGGTATGCCCACTTAGGTTTAAGCGATGCCAAATCACATATATCCGCATTCAATACGGACTCCTTATATGCCCTATCCAACTCTGCGAAGTATTGATGGCAAAAACGGAATACTTACTTTGAAATTCAACATGCTTTATGAACATTTCGCGACACTTGATTGCCCTCGTGCAGGTCAAATCAATTGAGTCCATGGTTATGGCACTTAAACAGGCACGCAAGCCTTTTATATAACCAAGTTCACTGAACACGGCCACAAGGTCCATGTATTCGTCAGTTGTAACATCGATGAGCGGTAACAAATCGGTGCTCTCTCCAGACTCTATATCGCAGCGCTGTTAACATTATTTCGCCGGCCATATGTGGTTACCTGAAAGGATGACAGAATAGTATCATATAGGTAGACAAGGGGCAAGGCGAACCCCTTGCATGAGCGCAGTACATTAATTTTATCTTGAGTCGAAAAGTCGGTAGAACATCGTTTCCGCAAAGTGTTGCATAACTCATCTAAATATATGTCACGCTGTTTGATGGAGTCCATAGCATATTTAACCTATGGACGAATGTCAAACTTTGAATGTGTATACTAACTCCAAATATGGTTTTCCAGTGCTCAGTTCCTTGGTTACGGGATACGACCCTGATAATAGATTGGTATACTCGATCTGTTAGTTCCTTGTGTTTGTGTATAGAGATCAAAATATTGACGAGTTGTGGTATGTCGTCAACGTGCATAAAATGTGAGTTTGATGATACAAATTCTTCGACAATTTTAACAACATTGCCCTAAGAAATTAGATATTTACATTACCAAATCAAACATACATCCACATAATTAAGCTCATGAAATGCTTTGATCAGGTCGTATGTCGGATGGGAATGGATCGTTGAACCTGCGAAGTGATCCGCGATTAATTGTAGTAGGGCTACATTCCGGTAATTAAGAGCGGATATAGATCGAAGGATCAACTCAAGATTCTGCAATTAGTAAGTACTGTTAGCAAGGCCAATGACTTACGTTAATAGAAAATTGTGATATATTTTTAAAAAGAGGTGACACTAAGGCATCCAGTACCTCTCTTTTCGGATTGCATGTTGCACTCACTGTTAGACTATGCAAAGTCAAAGCAACACCGTCAGGACCTAGGGAGCATACGTTAGGTACTATAAACTCCAATGCCCTGTCAAAAAGGTGGTAGTCGTAGACATCACATGCTCTGAAGGAGTTTAAAAGTACGGGTATATCGGTAACACGCCACGTTTCCTCACACTGTAATGCTCTTTTCGCAATGGTTCTGAACAGTGATTTGTCGTGGTGATTCACTTTGCCAAATGAGTTGGCTATCTGAACAAGTTCAGCTGCATTGAAATGTTCGTTATGGTAGATGACAGCGTTAGCACATCTCATCCAAAAGTTACGATTTCCATTGCTAGACTTCGCTCCTGCAATATCGTGAAAATACAAAATGTTTTGTGTCTAGTTACCTCGCACAATCGTTCGTAGCAACTGTCGAGGTGTTTGGTAATGTATCGGTGTGTCTACGACATTTGTGAACACATGTCGCCGTGATTGGGCTGATATAGATCTCCATGTATATTCTGTTAGACGGGAGGGTATGGAATCCGATAACTTTTTGCGGGTAGCAGCAGAAAAGGCGTTAACTACCATCACCTCATCACAGTCCTAATTTTATTACATTCAATGATTCTACTATTTTCTTCGAATTTTAAATATATTTAAACTGCTATTTTATGTACAATATCACCTCATAGCTAGCTCCGTAACGCTACACCATTACCCGTGTTGTCACAGAGCGTACACGCGACAGTCTCTAAAATCTCGGACAATGACTACCGAAACGACCACAGCTGCTGGGGCTTCTTATAAGGTGGGTTAATGGTTATTTATATTGTAAATGATGAAACCATCCTGGCAAATAGTCTTATATCATATAATATTATGCAGATAAGTGACGAGATCGCTGAGCATATGTCGAAACCTGCTCTAGACCATATCAAGGAAATCGCAAACACATTCATGTTACAAACTGAATATGCTGAAAAATATGTTAAATACATGAACCATAACAAACGAGGAATCACTGTTGGCGAAGTGGTAGATGATCTCCTTTACAAATGGCCTCCTACCGTTACCCGACCGTTATGATTCCGCTGCTAATGAGAAGTGCAGCAATTAGGAAATGTAGGCGGTATATGAGTTTCATGTACCCAGTGCCACGAACGTTGAATGAGGTAGCCAAGATACCACTACTAATGAAATGCGACCCACCTACAATAGCAAATCTATGGGAAAAGCAATTTCAAGATCGCAAGGATGTAGTCACCTCAACACTTCGCGGTGAAGTATATGAACATTTGTCAAACAACGTAAGGCGTAGCCGTATGTTCATTCTACCCGTTGACATAGCTGGCAGTGGGAACTATAACATGGTGCTGCAATTCGCCGATGCAAAAAGTGCACTGTACACCTCTATAGACTCCTTCAAAGCGTTAGGAATGGAGAGATCGCCGCCTTACTTCATATTGACATTCTTCAATGAGTTAGTGAAACAGAAGGATATTGTTCTAGTGCGGGGCGACATTGTTAACCCCAAAGACGTCTCTAAGGCTAACGCAAAGCGCTTAATGGAGCTCACTATACAATTCTACACCGATATTAATCTGTATAGGTGGGTAAATAGCTTTAATAACCGCCCGAGAGAATTCAATTTTGACGAATTTCTCAATAAGTGCAAACACATAATACACGGCAATTAAATATTGGAAACCATAAGTGTGTACATACAAGTATAATTGCATTAGTCGATAGGTTATGATTTGACACATCGCAAATATGCTGATGTGTTCGCCTATGATTTAATCCAGTCATCGCAATTGAAGGTGAACGGGAAGTTTTCAAAGTAAGCGCTGCTTACGACAAAATCTTGGCTTGATTATTCTCGTTTGTCACCATCAGACCACTTATTTCCATTACGAATGTCATCCCAGGTTTTATATCCACCTGCCGAAAACAATATCATTAACAAATAAAGGGCTCACCTGTCTTACTCGGGCTCCACGCGTTCCTACTCGTAGTTCCCTTGTGACTGTTGCTGAAAGACAGTTAAAATGGTATCGTGTTCGGCGGCTTACTGCTCTACTTCAGCAAAAACTGGTTGGTCGAAATTATCGGTGAACGTATTTTCAGGTACTGGCTTATTGCCATTTGCATCGAAATGCGTAACATCTGCTGGAGTAGGGTAGTCGGCACTTTTTGTATAAGCGCTGTGATCTCTTGATGTTGTTCTCCTGGTATCGTTGAGAATCTCCCGAGCTGCAACTCCCAGGCGTCCTTGTGACATGAGCAACTAAAACTAGTTATTTATTCGATACCTCCAACACACCTTTGTATAAAGTGGTCTTCGTTTGTGGTTTATACATACTGCAGTGAAATACAATCCGGTAAAAACGGAAAAAAGGCAGCGAGGCGCTGCTTTCTTTACGATGCCTATTTTATTGAGTGCTATGTTTGCAAGAGCTCCAGCCGATAGACCTAGACCGAAACAACTATATGTAGCGCTTTTAAAAAGATTGCCTTCTTCACGAGGAATACTACTTGCGTTATCTTTCAACCATCGTCCATATTGACGCTCAAACAAACGCCACTCCTGCTCCGTAGAAGGAAGCGCCTGCGTAACAGGAGAGGAATTTATATCGCGATCATGAGCCATAATATTTTAATGTAGTGTGTCTTAACTGGCGATGTCGTGTAGTACGGGATACACATTGATGTGTGGTGACATTGGTCTTGCGATATCCCACGCAATTACTATATTCATTTGGAATTGCTATGTTATGACGCAAAAACGCGCTATAGATCGTACAGAGGACATATGTCTGTCTCCGAAAACTCACAGTAACCAAAACAGGAACAAAACGGAGGTCGACAGTGGTTCCTCAACCAATGCGACGGCAGTGACAAACCATAAGAATAAACAAACCTTTGAAGAATATAATGCGGCATTAAAGTTCGTGCCTATGCAAGTGCGAGCACAGGTGTCTAACGTATCAACGGAAAGGAAAGGACAGATGCGTTAAGTAATGACTCATCTTATCGCACTCGCCATTTTCTCAATATATGTATATGGTTACACCGTTACACGCATTACAGTACCCATTGATTCGTCCATCAAGTTACTCAAAACAAGAGACCGATTGCAATCGACAGCCAGTAATTACTCACGTAACACAGGAAACCGCCCTGGAGACAGTATAGACCAAGATTCTTTGGGTTGGCAACGTAAAAACTTATTAATATCATTGGAACAAACTGCGAAAAATCAATACACATCGAGGTTGTTACCTTTGGAACTAACAAATACAGTACTCATAGAAGATATCACAGACGTGTCTTCCTTCCCTGTGTTAAGCATAGATTACGGTTCCAGATTTGTGGGATTGTCTCTACATCATATGGGCAAATCTGAAGCCCTAAGAGGAATTTTAAACACTGGAGATGTCGAAAGTTTATGTAACGCCATATACGCAGTGGTAAAGGAAAAGGTTCGCACGCCAGCGAGGTTCATTATACTTGTAGGATTGCCTATAGCTATAGATGATATGACCGATGAAAAGTGTCTTTTTCAATCGCTATATAATCTTGATTTTGCAACACGGTTATCGAGGTATATTCAGAAGAGACATTTAGAAGCCTACGGCAATTGGGAACACATTCTTAGGAAAAGGGAAACGAATGAAAATTCGGGGCAAGACATTATACATCACTGTATTGCATGCTCGCTAGAATTAAATTCTTGTTTGTACAACAAAGCCTGTTCTGAAAGTTTTGCCCTAGAACCATCCGATTACGGTTCTGCTACGGTAATAGGAATATCTGAAGAGTTGTCTTCCTATCAAACAGCAATATTCGAAGATGATAAATCTAAAAGAAGGGACTCTCTTTCAAGCATTATAATATTCCGCAATTTTATTGAGGCCTTGTACAGCAGACAAATGCATCGGATGCCATTTGTCGTACTACCCAGTAACAATAACATATTCCGATCACACACTAAAGGTCATTGTTGGATGCTATACAAGAGCATCTCTGCAAAATTCGCAACACGGGGAAGCAGGACAACCTAGGATAATTACTACCGCTCTAACAATGTCGCATAACATGGGCAATACAACGTCTATGACGTTTCAAGTGCACCCGTTCTATGAAGTGTTTGTCTCTCTTGTTCGTGATCTTGAACTGGTGACACTAAATAGGCTTCTTGGCGTAATAGCCACACAAGAATCACGGATCATGGCAAAACTACTAAAGGATGGCTCTACCAGAATACCACAACAGTATGTACATCTATATTCAATGCAATTTATTCGATTAATGGGCATAGAACATCTGCAAGCTGCGGCAAATGTCGCGCTGTTCATTATGTACGCTCAGGTTTTCAATGAAGCTTATATGAAAATGGATGCCTCAAATGGAATGGACGATGGTGAGAAGTTAAAACTTTTCCTCATCAATCTTTTTGATGAGATGTGTACACGTTTCGTGGATGATAGAATATTTGAGAAAACAGACGAAGTATGCCGTATCGAACGTAATAAAACATGCTACGATAATTCCGCATCGTGCTCTCTGAGGATGCTTCTTCGCACTCTAAACTCTTCTCTAAGTCTCCCTAGAGGTAACGTTGTGAAAGTTGCTGACGAGATATTTAACTGTGTCTATCGCTATATGATGATCATAAGCGACGATGCAATGAACAAAAACCCGGACACTGCCGGATTTGCGACACCGACGAAACCATCGTTTCACTCGACACAAAATAAAGAGGGGAGCATTTTGATGGATCTCTTGACGCCGTTTGATTCCACACAACAAATGGCCATGAGTCCCATACGCAGCAACTCGTCGCAATCTGATTTCTGCTTGAACGACGATATGCAATTGTTGTTGAATTTCATTGCTCATTGTATCATGGAGCTTCAATGCAACACTACTAAATCGAACTCCGAAAACGTTTCATCGGATGTGCTAATGGGATTCATTAAAAGTCTCAACAACCTTAGACTTAGTGATAAATGTAGAGCGGTACTTTGGGAAAAGGTGCATCGCGTTTGTCTTGATGGTATTTCTCACACTGAAAAAAGTGACACAATCGCTGCACTGGAATCACACGTCATCAAGCAAATATACCGTCAGTCAACGTGACTAGCCAACAAAAAACTGCCTATTATGAGTAACTCCATTTTTAATGTGAGAGATCTTTTTATCTCAATAATATAAATTGTCACACTAAAGGATAACGTAAATAACGCAAAACATATCAGTGCATATTCCTTAGGGTCAATGTTTCATCAAATAAGTCACAGCCGCTAAAACGGCTGAATTGGTTTTATGGCGTATTGTACTAAGTTCTGCACAATTCCACACGCAAGTGTTTCACATAGGTCACAAAGTATATAGATAATATATTAGATTCTCTAAATTCATTCAATCTAAAGGATCTGCACGTCTATGTGAAGTCCAGATCCCGCCAGAGTCGCCACTGCCACTAGGAGCTGGAGTGTTGAACATAGAGCCGGATTTAGTCGTATCATTCGCATTGACAAATGACGAAATGCCCCCTTGTGGAGTTGGATGCTGGAATGTGCCTGTTTTGAAGCCCGATAAGCCTGTAAAACTTCCACCAGCAACGGTAGTTGGAAAGGCACTACTGCCAAATGAGTCCGATAGTGGCCGTTCGATTCCACCAAACAGTGTGCCTCCGCCAGGCTTCGAGGATGCCAGGTCGGCAAATGATATGTTGGACTTTGTTGCATACGATGCAAAAGTAGAGCCACCGGAAGTTGGCAAGGGCAGTTGTGAACCATCACCCAGTGTTAATTGCGATAAAGTTCCAGTATCTCCGAAAGCGTAACTTTGACGCTGAAACAGCTGACTTTCAGAACTGCTAAATGGAGGACTAGAACTGTTTCCAGTTGTTCCCGTGGTGTCAGGCTTTGCAGAAGCAACGAACGACGTATCCGAACCAATGACACTACTTGCTGCCGCAGGCTGCGGATCACCCTTAACTTCAGCATTAACTGCTGGACTTAGTGTTTGACCGAAGGGAGGTGGCGAACTGCCAAGGAAGGCAAATGTATTTTTCGGTGAAAGTTCCGATGATTTCTTAATGTGCTCATCAAACGGTGAACCGGTAGGCACAACATTAGAAGCCACGTTCGCCTTTACAGGTAGCGTTTGGCCGAAAGCTGATCCTATCTTTAAGATATCGCGTACAGTGGGTTGTTCATCACCCGCACTGGTGGAAGACAGCCGTGCTAATGTGTCATGAGCATTGTATTTCCTTTCTATTTCCTTGTGCTCAATTTCCGTAGTACATTGATAATTCACAGATAGATCTTTCAGCTGCTTTATCAAACCATCAATATCAGAAATTCTAGAATCGGTCCTACGGTAGCTGTTAAGACTCCTATGGGTTACAGGAGGGCTGCTTCTATTCACAAGCACACGAGTGTTTTCAATATTCAACAGGCGCGCTTCACAATCATCCAACCGCTCATTAATGATCTTAAGGGACTCCTTTACAGAGTTCAGCGTGTTCTCCATCTCACCCAATTCGACATCGGGGCCTTGAACCCGAAAACGAGAGACGTAAAGTTGCATACACTTCTCATACAACTCGCTAATATCATCAGAGATATCTTCAACAGCATGGTTTTCTACGCAGGCTGTAGTCCCTCCGTTGATGCATTCAACGATGTACTTCTGCATCTGCTTCATATCTTTCACATCACTTTCGTACTTCTGATCGTACTGGAACACAGAAGGCCACGGATCATTATGCTCCACGTCAGATTCGCAATCCTTTAAGCGATTTTCAAAAATGTGGAAGCTGTTACACAGCATTTCAGTTAAACGTAAACGCTCGAGTTTGACCTCCTTCTCAGCATCAGACTGCTGGTAGTATTTAACCGCTGATTGATAAATTCGATCGATATTTCCCGCAACTCCCTCCTCAACCGGTTCTTGTACATAAGGCGAAGGGCCTTCCGTGTATCGAAATCCAACATGAGAGAGGCCTCGGCTGCCAATATTTTCTGCCTCGCCGGGAGCCAGAATGCATTGGTTTGGGGATGCGCCAAAAGCATACTGCATGGCGTTCACTTTACTTTCTCCCCCTGATTTTAATGTGTCAACGGCTAAACTCGAGAACAGATCGTCCAGGGCGGATTTAGTTTCTCGTTCCATGTCATTTTGAACGTTGACTTCACACTCCGCTGCCAAACCACCTGCAGACGGAGTAAAAGAACTAAAATGCGTCCCTTCGTTGCCATCGCTCAAGGTAGGCAGCTGTTGCAGTTCACGTAGGTCCCTATCAATTATCCAAATATCGGCATAGTGTAAAGCAACTTTGCAGTTACCCTGGGCGATCAGGAATACAGCGGGATCTACGAGTAATGGTGCATCAACACTTGCATTTTTACGGTACAGCTTGTCACGGAATGACGTGCAAACTGCAACATCATTTGGGCAACAGTCAATGTCCGTCGATTCAAGACAGTATCCTTCTTTCATATTGATAACATGCCAATCTCCATTATTTACCAGATTACGATGTCTAGATATGACAACCACCATTGTCGCGGCATTAGACCACGCAAATAAACATTCCCACTGATCGATCCAGATGAACTCAACAACGAGATTGCCGTCATTTCCGTTAAGATAAAACTCGTTTAACGCCCAATGTGCGACTTCATAACCATTAGGAGTACTCCTACATAGTAATATCAAATTGTCCTGAATAGGGTCAACCAAAGCTACAGCAAACATATCTGCCGAGATAATATGGCAACCGGCAACATTCGTAATAACAAATTCCATAGGCAATTCGAGAGTTTTGAAATTAGCGGGGTCTGGTACATCCTTGAACATTTGTACTTTCAACTCCGTATCGTGAATACAGACGAGGTGATTCCCATCTTTGCCTATTGGCGAGATTTTAGCACAATTTTCAAGCAACATTTTTTTCGTGCCATCCAAAGATACCGCAAAAAGATGAGACATAGCGTCAAGTACCAAAAAACTATCACTATTAGTCCACTCCATGCTGGCAATTTCAACATTGAACTCGCAAGTTACCTTAACGGTTGCCGAGGAAAAATCATAGACAACCAGTTTAGAATAAAATTGAACAGCCAACAAATGCGACTCTGGAAGGATAAGAATCCGCAGGATTTTTTCGTCAAACGATATAGTATCCAGTTTATGGTTGTCATATGGCTCGCTTGCAACAACACTGTAGGCAAAATCACTTAGCCTGTACACGTGGACCTTTCTATTCTGCGAAACGAAAAGCAAGTCATGCTTATTCGACACTTGGATATGGATTTTATCATCATCCGTTGCACCAAATTTGAAATCCACATGTGGGCCATGCTGAAACATCAGCCCATCGCAGTCATCCAGTGTTTCCAACTCTGACATTTTTGAACTTTGTATTTCCCTTGAAAAAATCTAGTATATCCTCTTCTACAGGGAAATCAAAATTCAATCCCCTAATTATCGCAGACAACTGTACCGTTGCCGCTAAGGTGGCTGACAAATCACCTTTTCCGTTGGTAGCGAACCAACCACAAGAAAAAATTCGTTTCGAATCTACCTTTTCCAATAATTGCAGCGAATCTGGACTACGTTGGAACCCAATAGATTTGACAAACATATCCGCATCTACTCGACTGCGTTTTTCCGTGGCATGGGCATTCAAATTCTCATCAAGTATATTGTGTTCCAAAATGAGTCCCTTTAGTGCCGAATTAGCTCCTTTTTCGATGGAATGTACACCCTTGAAAAAATCGAAGTGGAGTTGTCGCACTTTTGCGTTTATTGTCGTCGAGTTGTTCGCAATGTGTTGAAAGAGGGCAAGCCTCCTTTGAATACGGCGGTCTAGCGTTGCAGGTTGATATTTGCAGGACTGTTCTATGTATTCATGATCCGTAAAAGGTATGAAGTGTTGTGTTTCTGTAATTCTGCGTAGCTCTGGGTTCGTGAATGATGACTGAAAGATCCCACGACGACCGATGACTCTTACACTGCGAACGTCGATCCTTTCTAGGATTTTCAAAAACTCTCTACTAATATCTGTATGTTCAAATGCCTTAGCAGGTGTTAGAAGTATCCTTGCTACATCCAGTGCGACGTTACCGTTTCCAACGACGCAAACCTTGATGGGCCTAGCCAAATGAACTAAATTATGCAAATAGGATAGTACAGTCTGTGGAGTATCTGGATGCCCGTTGTAACACCTAACTATGTCTAATGCGTCAAATACGCCTTCCGTATCGTCACCTGATATGTTAAATGGTCGTGGAGATTCAGCGCCGCAGGAAAGAAGGCATACGTGATAATAACGCATCAACTCATCGATGGTAAGATCGGTTCCCTGCGCAACACTAATTCCAAACGTTTGTGGTTATTATATAGATAGGATACCACATTATACTCTGATGTATTACTACGGCACCACCATTTAACACAACTCGTAACATTGAAATGAACACTCACCACCCGCACATTAAAAAAGAAACGCTCCGTGGCACCGGCTAGTAATGTTTTGCCGCTCTGTCGAATTGAGATAGTATCTGGTGCAACTCCAAATCTTAATAGTCCCAAAGGTTGAGACAATCGGTCGAAGATGTCGACCCGCGCGCCGGGCGACACACGGCCCCTTAAATTTTTTGCTAAATACAAACCACAAGGACCTGCTCCAACTATTGCTATACGTGGAAACATATTACAACAAAGTATTCATACTGCTCAAAAGAAAAATCTCTTTGTGGAAGACAGGTGAACAGTGATCGCCGAAGCGAATCTTAGGCATCATTAATATTCCACCACTAGCGACATTGGTTGCTGTCATTTTGAAACACAACTGCATACTTTCAAATGACTTCAACGTCTGATTACTGCCTGTAACTGGACCTTCCACAGTCCACTTATCGCTTGCCTCCAGGTCGTAGTCAAACGGAGAAACGTCTCTTGTACAACGTATAGTTATAGTCGCTTCAAACGGTTTCTCCGGATAACAGAAAGGTGGTGCGATGTAGTCCACAATAAAATCGCTGCCTGTTGTCTTGGGCACCTTGAAATTATATTGTAAAATGTCCGACAGCGACTCCACGTCGTTCTTGTGAGCGTACTGATGTACGCATCTATGCCTAAACATGCGGTAATTGACTGTAACATCCATTTTATCCATCACATTTTCAGCGATGAGCCCATCTTCACCTGCATCAGTCACATGGATTTCGGCAACGCCATCAGATTCCTCGTTAGCGTCGTCGACCTCTTCATCACGTAACGCTGATCCCTCTTCATTGTCGGGATGGTTAACCATCGCCTCGTGGCTTGCTCTTGAACTAGTTGAAATTTCAAGTTTAGTACTCGTGTCCTTTCGTGCTATGAAGGCGCTTATAGCATTACTACCGGTGCGATAAAATGACGCAGAACCGTCCGGTTCAACAGGAGGGCATGACGCACCAAGTGATATGTGGAATGGAGATGACGGTTCCAACATTGTAGGTTCATTCACAATGAAACGCCCGTCTACTGCGGCATTCTCTATCAAAGTGTGGTATGGAGCCAAAGGCTGCAATACTACCTCGGGAAGCCCCTCTTTTGTCGTTGTGACCTCCCTACAGAAAGGCGGAATTATAGTGAATTCAAGGCGAATGACATGTTTAGCTTTCCCGTAAATAACCACATCCTGATAGACCTTCATTTGTGTTGAGTCAACATCGACAGTTACCGGAACGCACATTACATGGCTGTAGATATTGCTGTTTGCTATATTCAACACTGTGCCATCCTCTGTTGCTGTAACCTCGAACATCGTAGTGTCTAAACCCTCTGAAAACAAAGAGAAGCGTCGAATATCATAGTTAATCTCCGATTTACAGAAACATATACGCCCACTATCGAATCCAGTTAGGTGAAACAAAAGATAATTGCATACTCCACGTAATATAACAGGCTCCGAACATAGAGCCACATCGGAGCATGTATGTGCCGTGAGATGTACGACGTCCTTGTCAACGCAATAGGAAAACCTCGTGGGCAACAATAAGCAAGATAGAATGTGTGACGATTTAATGTTTTGCCTCTTCAATGCTCTAACCACACCGCTGAGAATACCCAATGGTATTGGTGATCCAGGCTTTTGAACAACTTGAAATCCATTACCATTTATAAGGAACGACTCTACCGTATAATTACACAACTTCTTAAATGTGTGTTTCAGATCGAAAACGTTCACACCATGATGTAGTGTTACATCATCCAACGATATTTCCTCTAAGTTATGCGCCGATGACCCGCTGGCATTGCCCGTTATACCCTCCTCTCTTAGTCGAATACGGATCTTGGCATCCAACACATCTTCGAATGCATAGACATTTAGCCGAAATTTACATTTCAACGTTGTGAATTTCACAAACTGGCCATAGATTTCGATAAGCTCTGGATGATTACCGATATCCATTTTCGCTTCCGCCAAAGCACGCAGGTAGTCATTAACTGCGTCATCCTCGATGGGATTAGGGGTTAACCTTATGTTGGGGCTACTGTTCAACACGTGAAGGTTAGGGTGTAATGCCGCCTGAACGCATTTTAATGGATCCTTCAGGTCTAGATTTGGGGTATCCACGTCAATCCACGCATACAGGTCTTTTGCATCATTCCGGAGGTCACCTAAACTCCAACCCATAAAGTTACAATCTTTCTCAATAGATGATAGAGCAGATTCGTCATCGTTTAGAATTGACATAACGTATGAAAACCGATGCAGATCACCATGCGAAAAGTTTAATGCGCCATTTTTTGCAGCTTCTGACAACATATCATGCCGAGAATCAGATAACTTCAACTGCTCCCATAGCTGTGACTCCTTTTGGCGATACTCTTCACTACATTGTACCGCAGCTTCACTAGTGGTAGTCTCGAACACTTCCCCATCTAGAAGCAGATTATCCAGATGCTTGAGTGTTTTGTAAAGGAATACATATAACAACCCCAATTGACGCCTTATCGACTTCGTACTATTACTGTGATCTATACACCCAATTGAAATTGACGAAGGAGGCAACTCAGGTGACCGTGTTGTTGCACCAATTTTATCACTGTCACTTCCTAGTGACGGAGACTTATTAAGGTCAGAACCAGTCACTATATCATGTACTTTTTCCACCTTATGTCCCCTAAAGGTGGAACGTAATTTGGAAAATGGTGAACGTCGTGTAGATTTCTGAACACACCCAACAGAATCGTTTGTCTGCTCGAAGAAATCGGATGTGTCAGATGCACATTTCATACGTTCTTCTACATAATCCACTGATGCTTTTATGAAAACCAAGACCCACATGAAAGCTTTTACAGTCATACTACCGCGGGCTACAGTGAATGTCAACATACAGCAGTCAAGTAACATGTTGCAAGCGCGTGACAAACTAGAAACAGAATTCTGTCGATGCCATAACCCAGTGACGGAGCAACATAAATATTGGTAGAGGTCGAACATATTCGTTTCAGCCCCAAGATGACACCCCGAAGTAACGCAAAAAATAAATGGCGGAACTGTTAAGTCAGTTGTACTTAGGCCATTTTTAAGACCTGGCTTAATGTTGTTAATTAGGGTTGTGTACGCTTCTGCTGCATTTGATAGCGATCCAAACTTGCTATATATCCTTAATATGGAGTCGTAAAACAAAATCCCATCATACAGAGACAATGAAGACTTTCGATGCATAACTGCTGATATTTCTGATAATCGCATACCGACAGCCTCGGAAATGAATTCGCTCATCACCAACTTCACATTCTCCCAATTTTTTACAGCATTGATCTCTTCATCCTCCTCTACCTCTACTTCATCCTTCATAAGGCCAGTTGACGTAAGTAAAGGCAAGTTTAACATTGGCACCAAACACAAACTGTTCTGGCTCATAGAAACATATGTTAGCATGTGGCGTATTTTACTTATAGTCTTGGTGTTAGCCTTCTGTTCGGCTTTGTCACCCTTCTTGCAGATGCCATATATAATGACAATGCGTTTAACCTTCAATGCAGAGATTAATGATTTGAGCTGCCCTTTAACATGTTTTTTAAATACTTCGGAATCCATAGGTGGTATCACGTATAAGTGTAAATAAGGATTCTCAGCGTTAATGGCACCATCATGATGATTCTCTACCCCGGCAGAATCATACATCTTAACATACTTGCAGTTGAATGTCCTATTTTCAACAAAATCAAGTCGAAACTCGGGGTGCAAAATGCCGTGCTTCTTCCAGTTGGTACCATTGATCTTCTTTGGGTGAACAGGCAATGGCAATATGCTTTCCATGTTCTGTTGAATGTCGTTCCAGACATTAAAAGGGTCTGCATCATTATAATTTATATAAAACATGTGGTTTACCATAATAGGCGACAGTTACGTCGTCTGACATCGTGGACTCCATTTTTGAGGTGTAATATCCGACAGAACCATCACGTCAGTTGAGTAGTGGACCACCTATTGCGTAGCACACAAGGTAGCATATCGTATAAAGTAGTTGCTCACGTGAAACACATGTAACCATAATTGCCAGAAGTGTGGAAGGGGTCTACTCAACTTGCAGTGGGATGTGTATCTCAAACGTGTACATGGCACTCCTTCGTCGCGTTGGAAAGGTTAACCGACTACCCTGTTACAGATCCTGTAAATATAATATTTTCGTGTGTATTGTTTTATAACTTTAGGAATTTAATGACTGAACGACTATCGACAGCAGGTTGATAATTCTCCGACCCATGGTGTTGTCTCATTCTTGTCCTCCCTAGAAGGAATGTTTCATCGTTCCGCCTATGGGCATACGAAATGGCTCAATGTCGTTAGTTATTTCAATATCATATGCTGTCTATGGGTACATGTTGTAGCCAGTGGAATCTTTAAAGGGCAAAGCTATCCTTTGGGATATGCCTTCCTTCATCGCTCAAGTCAGAATGGAGGCAGTCTACATGTACACCTAAGCAGGCGATTTGATTGCAGATCCTCCTGCGAGGATATCGAAATCCCACCTTATAACTTGGACCCAAAGAAAGTGGAGGCACAGGTACTACACTACGGTCCCGAGATTCCTGAGGAATTATGGAGTAAACCGAGCCGGCCAACAGGTTATTGCGGGCATAAAGGGAGTATGTGCTTTCTATTGCAATTATATGGTCGCAGTGGCACCGGACTTCAGATTTTGTAGACCAGATAAGGCGGTCATGTCACGGATGATGAGAAGAAAGTATAAACAGGTACGTCATACATAGCCTCATACTCTTTATAGTTGAATAAAAACTAATAGATAATAGATGTTTGGTCAGAGCTATAGCATACGTGCCTGCGTGGTGTTGATATTCATATATTTTTTACAGGTGATTTACAAACATGTACGTGCAAGGTACAAGGAGCATATTAAGAACTCTCGGAACGTTGGAGAACTACTCTACTGGCGTGCGAAACTCGATTCGCTTCCCAGAGATTCGGCTAAAACACGATATAACAGAATATGCATGCTCACAGGTACGCAAAAATGAAAAGACCAATGACACCACGGTGACACAGGCAGAACAAGAGCTGTTAGCAGGGAAGTGGGACTAACACGCCACCAGTTCCGAAATTTCGCACATAAAGGCCTGATACCAGGCATTAAAAGGGCCAACTGGTGATTAAAATAATTATGAATAGTTAGAGATAGGCGTCCACTTGTTTGCCGTAAAGTGTAATGGATTTAGCTGTGGTGGCGGTGTTTTTCACCAAATCCTTATTTAATTGGACAATGATGACGGTCATGTTGTCACAACCAACACCCTCACTTTCGCTGGGGTTGTTAGACAAACACTCGTCACACAATTCTTCACACACCCTTGCAAGAGTTTTGCTGCTGACACCACCAGTCTCGCTATTGGGTTCGGAGCTATCGGTATGGGATTCTTCGTATTCCAACAATCGGGACCGCACGAAGTCCACAACTTGTTGGTTACTCTTGCAATCCCAAATACCATCGCAGGCCAAGACAACAAACTCATCATGGGGCGTCAATGGGCAAATGCGTACATCTGGCATCGCAGAAATGCGTTGTTCTGCTGGTGGAAGTGTGTGGTCTTGCTTGAATGTCAAATCGCCTAAAGAACGACTCAAGTTCAAGTTACCGTCAACCCTTCCGTTAGTTACAGAACCACCGGCCCTGCGGATACGTTCCCCTTCTTCTCGCAATTGCGGCTTGTGGTCATGTGACAAGGCGACGGCGCAACCACCACGGCAAAGAACTGCCCTGGAGTCGCCAGCATTGGCTACGAGTATAGCTGGATTTTCGCCTCCAAGCACAACCATTACTACAGACGTGGAACCACAACCAAAGGCTGGGTTGGGTCCATCGGTTTCCATGATGACATCGGTATCAACCTCGTAATCGTCATCCGGTTGGCAGTCGCCAGATGTCATGGAGTCATCTTCATGCACGGTACGTGTGACCAGCTGATCCGCGTTCTCTTTATTTTCATAATTAGCCTTAACCATATCATTTATTATGATGCTATCACGTTCGGGTAGATTGCCATCATTGTTGGGGTTATCACCTTTGTGATAGAGAACATTGTCATGTTCGTTGGATGTCTTTTCCATATATTCTTCTTCTTCACCAAAGCTTGCAATCTCATCATTATTTTCCACAACAGGTTGATTTGGGCTGTGGAAGTTGAAGGATTCGCGCAGCAACCGTTCCGTATGTTGTTCTATGAGTCTAATAGTTTGTTGTCTATTTGACATACGTTCAGGTAAAAGAACTTTGAATAACGATGAACCATCAAGAACAGGTTCATTGGGGTTATCACCACGTGTTCTTTCATTAATCACTTGTAGAGCATGCTCCGTTTCAGATTTCTGCAATTCTTCATCAACCTTTAGGAATGCAGACTGAAGTGACTCTGCAACAACAGCATGTGTTTCAGATATAGTGTCCAAATTTTTCAGTTCGATATTCTGGTTATTACGAAGTTGTGCATAACGTGCGATTTCATTTTTCAGAAGACCTGCAAAATTTTCCGACACCCACTTACTAACGCAGCTTCCACCATGACCATCAAACACACCATATACACCGACCAAATTGCTACTAAGAATCGGTTCACCATTTGCTTTATCATCCTTCGTATCGTGTAGTTGATCATTTGTCACTGATCCATGACCAGGTTGTTCTGCATCGATATGTGCATATTGATATAGATCTGGTATAGCAAGATGCGCATCTTCCATAGACACTCTCCATCCTTGCATAGACGAAGCACCGTATCTTGTGGTATGGGTTGCAAAGTCCCCGCCGCTACAAGAAAACTTGTCAGTTTTTGGACTACTTAAGTGAGCCCCCATTGTGAAGAGGTGTGAATATAAATTCAAAAAAGATAGGGCCGGTTTGATACGACGTCGCAACATAAATCCACATAAACACCTCTATAAGGTCTTTAAAGTAGCCTTTGACGAAAGTTAGAGCCGACGGTTCAATACACCCTTGTGGAAACTATTGATAGAGATTCAACTTCAGCTACTACAAAAGCGATTATTGATCCAATTTGATTTACACACACACATTGATATAAATCTTAGTTTCATTTTTTCTCCAAGCTGCAACAAACTGGCATTTAAAAAGAAATCAAATCCAAGAGATGCGTAATATGTAGCCGTCGATATGAGGGAGATGTTGTATCCGAAGGAATTTTTCGACGATACACTGAAGGCCTATGTCGCAGAAGATCAGTTATCGATAGCCGACCTTTATATGAAAGATACATAAAGGGCTGTTGGCGCTGTAAACAAGAGCGCGGCGATTCTCGTATAACTTCCCGCGACCTGTACCATTAAACCGCGAACACAAGTTAGAGGTCGAAAATATCCAATTTTATAACTCAAATGACGACAATATCACTTTTTTCTAAGCAAGCGATATGGATATGGATAATCTCCGCAACACATGGGGCGCAAGGTGGTCAAGGATTACGTATAGTGAAGTACCGTCGCGCGATGCGTACAAATACTATGGGCTCTAAACAAGGCGACATAGTGGGCAGATCTGGTACGAGACACAGATACATACGTTGCTGGCCCTCTTTGGGCACTAGCGTGAAACGAAAAGGTACTCCCTATTTGCATGTCTAGATAACGTTAGCGTCGCCAAATTAAAATATTTACGTACGATAACAATGTTTTAGTTATTTTAGGCATTTCTAGCACCAAGCACACCAGCTCAGTCGTGGGCAATGGCCGAGATGTTTCCGCAATACATGTGCGGAAAAAATAACACGACGTTCGCCACCATTAACCAAAACACTCAATGCGAGACATTACATCACGTCAGATGGCATCAAAATTTTCGCTGGGTTATTATTTCGCTGCGTAATTGGCGGCTACACATGGAAGATGTCGTTAACAGCTGTTGGTGTAGATGTGTGGGCGTCGAGCACATGTACTTCCCTTAAATGCAAATTTAGTGCTACCTATGAAACAGTGATCATTATGACACAATCAACGGTTGTAGTCCCGCTGCCACTATACTGTGGAAAGCGGTTTATACGCGAATAGTGCCACCATAGATGCCCTCTGGGTGTATTCCTGGCAAACTATAGTGATACACCACACAATGATATATGTTATCTCACATTAAAACATAGCGCAAATCTGGCCTTTCTAATCACTAATAGAAATAACAGGTAGTCGTTAACTCCGGAGAAGAATATCGATATGGAATGTTAGTGGTGTGTCACAACTTTGTAGCTATGAAACGCATCGCTCATGTTTCTATCTATAGTGAAAATTATTAATCTTACATTTTTTCCGGGCACAAAGGTAACACGGCATTGGCCACCTCGACAATTGGACCTGTGGCACTGTGCACATAATAGTTATTGATGTTGTATGTGTGAATATGTGTTATAATAAACACTAGTAAAGGAATGTGTAAATTAGTCGACCCTTTGTTGTCTCACAATACGGAATGTAATGACCGTACGCGTCTCCCCGATCATTTATACAAACAAACCATATTTACCTATGACAGCGATTCAAGTGTAAAAATAGTAGCTGTATCAGTAGGTTGTCAAAGTACAATTTTGTGATAGGTACAGAAACTACACTATTGTCATGTCTATGGATGCGCGCAAAGACGAGGTCCTTTTGTGCAATTGTACCGACCTTCCTTCACAATTAAGCTCGTGAAACGCGGAATTGACATTGCTGAGTTATGAAATCTTATTAAAAGGATAAGAAACTAACACCCTAGAATTTTGTAAATACCGCACTTCGCAAAGTCGCACACCCTCTTACACAAACAACAGGATATACAGTCGATTAAACCCAAGCCTACATACTTTGACCTCCTTGAAACGATTGTGCTCATATATTCAAACAAATATGACTGACGTAAGCTCTGATGTCAAGGCCGACGCAAACGCCGAGTAAGTTGAATACACAACAGGTGAATAGTATATCAAAATGACGTGGTGTTTGATAATATAGGCGAGATAGACTAGTTTCACAACGTACCATTGCTAACTGCCAATAGTTACCCGTAATTGTCCATTCAAAAATAATCTTTTTGCAGGCCTACAATCGATATTGATGCCTATATCACCCGCTGTTTGAAGCGTTACAAATATGGAGATTTCATATCGGCATTGACGGACGGGTTCTTAGTATATTGGGTGTATAGTGCATTTGATCTGCAAGGTCGTTCTGTTGAAATGAGAAAGGCGTTCGCTACATGGTTGAGGCTATGGTTCATTCTAAAGATTTTAATACATTTTGTTCTCATGCCGCTATTCGCCTTTGCAGGCTCACTCAGCAATATGCTTAAAGTAATCACTTGCAAATCAAAAGAGGAAATCATCAGATCATTTGAAATGGCACACAAAACAACCCCGAATGATGGGAAGATTGAAGCTCTAAAGGCAAGGACTATACTGGGACATATGCTTTTGGTAAAACTTCAATTCTTATTCAAGGCATCCGCAATGGTTTTGTTTACAGCACTTCTGCTCACTCTAAACCACAAGTTCCAAAGAATTGTGGACATTACGCTTATGACATTGTGGTATAGTTGTTCATGTTTCGCCACACCGGTACACCTAATTTATTTCCCAGATATGTCACATTTGGGGATGAAACAACAAAAGGGAACGATCAAGATTATAGCGAAACCCGTATTATCACGTATGGTATTTATACATACTGTTCTGTTGACTGCGGGATGGGCATTTGGGAATTATCTTGCGTTGCTCGACTGGGAGGAGCCACTCATATTCTTCCCAAATCCAAATTTCATTTGCATGCTAGGAGGCCACATGTTATCGGCAACTGTTACTATGCTACTTGTTAGGATGTAGTAGAATAAGGACTGCACATAATGTGCACGTAGACACATACACCTATATACTAACGTATATAGAGAATCAATTGATTTAACGATGAAGCGTATTCAATGTTGGTTAAGTACGATACAACCGAAAATTTTGGTCTTAAATCATCAGATTGATAGAGCACGGATGATAGTAATATTGAAAGGGGATAACTGGGCACACATCAAGGTTTTGTGACTGGAGAGATGGTGAAAATATAATAAGTAAAAATATTAAATGTTGTTTGTTGAGAAGTATCTGAAATGAAGGGCGATGAAGATGCACATACGGCAACACGTGTACCCCTGGTGTGTCGGTACATACACACCTAACTTATATGCCCACAGGTGCGTCACCTATCAAATCACTCCATGAATCTATACATAGACACATAACTCCATGTATATATTCTAGGTGTGAGGGTAGTATTCGAATATCTGCGTGGCCAACATGTCGGTTTCACTGGAAACGAGCGCTGGATATATAGACTCCGAGTACAGCGACTTTGAACATGCTTACCCCGTGTCTAATTACGGTAAATCATCTCCCAAATTCGGGACTGATGAACTGCAATGGAATTATAATCGCAATGTGTTACATGGATTTAAATCCGCCAAAACACGAATGACACAAAAGGATATCAAGAACCTAGATGAAGTGGAATTGAACTTCTCGCACAGCTTAACAGCTGCATCAACAACTAATGATGATGATTATGAAATCGCTACAAGAAATTCCGATTCGGATTTCTCTTCTTATCGTGATCATAGACGCGAGTACGCCACTGATGAATCGAGCAGATATCTCGAAACATCAAACGATTTTAAATGGTGGTGTGATGAACAAGAAGTATCCGATTTCTCAATTCCAAACACTGGTGAAGATGTCACACCAATCAAATTAGACGAAAACACTCCCATAGAAGAGAACAAACTCCTCAGCAAACTTAAAGCAGTGCAACTTGCTGGGGAACAACAAATGAGTGATAGGACACATTGTGGTTCCAGCACTGCGGAAGAATGCGAGTCATATGATGTTGGCAGCATCTCTTCTACACAGAGGACCATGAGTATTGACAATGTTGCTCAAGAGGAGTGGTCTAGTTTCATGAAACCAGCAAATTATGAAGAAGAGTTGCATATACTGAAGCAACAGATTCTTCAAAGGCTCGGATTCAAATTGGCAAACGTTGACAGGCAAAAAATATCAACCAAGAAAAACACTGAACGCTGTGAAGCCGCCACGCAGACCTACGACGATGCTTTTGTCGACCCATACAGAGATTATCAAACAACGTGGTTACGAGATGTAAACGAATTACTTGCTAAACAGTTTGTTGAGATCATAAGTAGTGGTAAACTTATGGCCTACAAAACAGACCAGAGGTTTATCGAATCATTGCAGGTACATATCAACAGATCGCAAAATGAAATCGACCGTTTACTGCATCTAGGAGCTGGAGATTCAAACGCACAACAAGATTGTCAAGATCACGAAGAGATGTTGTTGGAGCTAGAAACCTTGAGAGAGAATAATGCTAAACTTCAAAGTGAGCTTGAGGTCTTGGCGGCTCGGTTGCAGAAGGCAAACCAGCTCGGGCCAATGGCACAACGCGCTAAGATGCTTGAGCAGAAATTGAAAGAGGAAAAAACCTCTAAAAAGGCACTCATGGACGATTTTACAAAAACACTGGGATACATGAGGCTCATGAAAGATAGGCTCAAGATGCTTTCAGAAGAGAAAAAGGGTGGAGTAGTAGAACCCGAGCGTAAAATCAAGGCACCAAACAATGCAACTCCAACGCCTAATACACCAAACAGGAGTCAAACACAGCCTGTGCCCTTAAAAGGGTGCATTAAACGCTCAAACACTACGAGTTGTACCCCCAGTAAGCAGGACAGGGTCAAGTTTGCCGAGACATCTGATGTATACTATCTGCCTAAAAGGTCGAATTCCGAATTGGGGCCTTTTGTAGTGGATAGTAAAAAACAGATGCCAATATTGCCATGTAAGATTAGACCTGAGTCTCAACAACCACAGCAAAGCGGTGGTTTGATGGGTTTTCTCAGAAACATCAAGCAAAGCTTCGCACCAAACACTCGACACACATCGCCCAGGGTTAACGTGCTCAAGATGCCAAACACACAAGATTCACAAACCCCGCAGAAGCTTGCTATGTACAAAAGACACTTGCTATCTAGAGGACTGGCATGAGTGCTGATATATTTAATTGATGTACTTAAGATCTTCTAATAAGTAATCAACGTTTTCTTCTTGCCTTTCAAGGGGTTCACGAACGGGTGAAGGATCGAATTGCAAGCTGCAAATACGTCATGCAAGTATTGTCTAACCTACAATGTGAATCTCATGCGTTCGTCAATCTCCATGATCGCAGCTTGATTGCGACAACGATAACAGTAATTTGGTGCCGAGAATACTGTTACTACATTGCGATCTTGGGACCATTGATAGCCCTCCATGATAAGCTGGTGGGCACGAACTATTAGCTCGAGACCATTTGTGCGATTGAAGGCTTTCGAAATGTCATAACCGAATGTAAAGCCCGCTCCACGAGGGCTAAGGCCCCAACCTGTACGTTCCTCGGGATCTGACCACAACAGATCACACATTGGACCTTCATGTGGAATTTCTTGTACCCTGGAGTTGTGTAAGTCGGACATGTCGGTTTTCTTTGCACAACCTACCTGTTGAGATCTCGCACTTGGTCTAGCGAATCAAGAGATGGTGATAGCCCTGCATGAGGACAGAATATTTGACCATCGATGAGTGCTCCCAGAGGTAGATAATCGAAAAGATCTGAGATTAAATAACGATTTAATAAGAAACAACATACTTGTTAGTGCTACCCATACGTTAGCATTACCATATTTTCGTAAACATTCATCGTAAAACCCATAAACTTGAGTAATTTGACGACATTCGTGATTACCCCGTATTATGAAAACTGCATGTGGTCAGTGGCATCGTCATACAAACTAACCTCTATCTTTGTAACGTACTTTAAGGCATAAGATAAGTGTCACACTTTCTATGGAATAATAGCCCCTATCTACGTAATCCCCAAGAAACAAAAAGTTGGTATTAGGGGCCGTACCAGCTATACGAAAAAGCTCTTTCAGATCGTACAACTGTCCATGGATGTCGCCAACCACTGTTATAGGTGCAGATACAGATATGATATTGCTCTCATTAGACAATATCTCCTTAGCTAGGTTACACAGCTTAAGTACGGCTTGCTCAGGGATAGCCTCGCTATTGAAAATCCGGTCGATTGTTGCTTCCAACTCACCTAATTCAATGTCAGATAGATAATAGTCTACATCTCGCTCCATTAATAAGAAGGTCGCTCATTTACAAGGTTTTCAAACGTAAAAGCACAAAGCAAATTGACTTGCAGAAATAGACAAACTACATGGGTATTAAAAAGTAAAAATAATTTGCCACTAATATTACTTTAATTAGTAGCTCATGTGTGTATCAGATTCTTTACTTGAAACTATGATGCGATAATTGGATCATCCACGGGCACAGGACTCTCTCTTGGCGAATCATGCAATGTGTGTCTCACTGTATGTTATATTATCTTTTTTATGATATATAACAAATTCAGATATTGTTTTATATTTATAAAACATGATTCAGGGACATGATAGGAGGGAATGAGATTTGCGAAGTTGAGCTGGAATTTGCCGGAGGCCTCGACACCCTTACTATCAATCAGAAGAAACATTTTAAAATTCAAATATTAAATGATGCTCTAACTATTTCTCGGTTGGTCGCATACGTGCGCAAAACGGCCTTTGCTGGAAGAAAGGATATGTTCGCTACTCCTCCGGAAATCACTACAACAGACTGCCAACAAATTGAAGTACAAGGTGATCTACCTGGACACCTGAATGCGTCCGAAACATCCAAAGTTAGACCTGGGATTCTAGTACTAGTAGACGACGTTGACTGGGAGCTACTTGGAGCTGGAGATTATATAATAAAGGGTAAAAAGAATATATCATTTATTTCATCATTGCACGGAGGGTGATTTTATAGCACATATTCTCATATAACGAGTTTTGGTATCGATTAGGGGCGATATTTTTATGAAGACAGACCAAGCGCTGCTTCGTGGCTAATAGGCTAAGAAGGTACTCACAAAACTCCGTCATCACAAAAGAACGACTGAGTATATCTAAATCGTCGTTATATATAGGGACATTTAGTCATCACGATGAAATTTACTTTGGTATTCTGGAGAAGGAGAAACACGGGAGGAGGGCCAGTGCCCCTTTTGAGGAACCCTGTCAAGCGTTGGCTCCACCTTCTAATTTTTCTGCATATATTTTTACTGATACTCACTTGTATCGCAATTAGCTTCCCGTTTATTTACGATCTACATTGTTCAATTTTGTTCAATTCATTGGCTAACATTATAGCCTCATCAGTGGGATCATTTGTCATGGCCGCATATTACACCGGTATTGCTGCAAAAGATTGGGGTACGGAAGTGGAATGGGCAGCGACAACGTTAATCACGGCTACTATGGTCGTACTGGATATCGCAGTTAGTTGTTGGGGAATATATGCCCTGAGTAATGCGTCGGTAAAAATATACCAAGCGCTACACAACGCACTGGAGCTAGAACCTGAATGCTTACAAAAGAAAGCAGCAATATTTTATTTTGCAGCCTTTGCAGTTATCTTTGCCCATCTTATCGTCGCCGGCATGTGTGCCGTGGTGTCGGTGCTACTGGGCAAAGGTATCAAAAGGCAATTATTAGAAATCAGAGATATACACTGAGACTTACCTTCTAGTAATCTTAGATATAGAAATCGGTGCTATGTATTTTCATTATACTTTCCCGTATTAATTAACGTGTAATTGGTGATGGCAATTTGTTTAGCCGGATTTTCGTACCAACAGTTTTACGCATGTATCCTTGTCTTCGATAGCATACAACATTTATAGTTTATGACTGAACATTAAATGACAGGGTAACGTGACTCACATCCCACTCATGGAGAAGTTCTGAAATTGCCTTTTCCACGTTCCGGCATGAATGCAATGTGTGGAACAATTTGTAAATTATTAGTGATATGTGGTTTAGTTATGGCTATATTACCTCCATAATGGGCAAGAATGCCACTGGCATCTTCAGATACCTCTAATTATAAGAGTGATCGTTGTCACCAGAGGTTCGTATGTCTCAAGTACTTGTCGAAGTCCATTCCCAAATCAAGCATTCCATTTTTAAACCCTTGATTGGATATGAAGCGTAGGACTTCCATAGCCGTGTTTTGCGATACTTCAGGCTACATTTCGTTTATCGTCACAAGACTCGTCCACTAGTGCCTTCAGATTGAGGATACCAAGACCATACCCCAAATCCCGATAAATTGTTACTTGATGAAGTTCTCTCCACCAATGTTACATTGATTGCTCAATATATCGTGACATTAGTCTAGCTGTGAAGTATCACCGATATACAATGAATCCAACAATTTCCCCTCAGGCAGTAGGAGATTCATCAGAATTCGGCGTCCTAGGCAAAATAGTGACTAGTGCAAATCTTCCAGTGTTGTCCAAACTGGGATTCGTGGTTGTAGTGGAACGTTCTGAAAAAATGTGTACGGGGTGAGGAAATGATATGGTACGACGGTGTATATTAGCTTTGGGTGATGATAGCTTAGAGCGTAGAATAGAAACTAGATCTTGACATTCTCCTTGCGATAACTTTTGTAGGCTGTCCGCTAATTTACGCACCTTAGACATTTTATATATCGCATCGGCCTGTTACGACGCTTACACAGATAATATCAGACCATACATCATATAACTTATCACCTTATAATACATTAAATTAAAATAGCCAATTGTCATCAGAATCTGATGTGATGATGTAGCTTCGGACACAACGGTCGATGACTTGTATGTCATTGTTGAATTCGAAAGTGAACCTTTCGGGGAAGTTAGTCATCAATATGAGTTTCAACCTTTCGGAAACACACATTTTACCAGGGATTCCATGGCTCTCCATAGCATTCGCTGTGTGAATATCCATCCCCCAAAGGTCATAACGAAGTCGACCTGAACCAATAACACCACCTACAGCATGACCGTAATGTAGTCCGATCCTCATATTTAACCCTGGTATATTGAACGATTCGCGAACCTCTTGAATGGTCTTAATCATAGATTGTGCCATTTGGAGGATACCCTCAATATTTGAGATGGCCTCTTGTTCCGTAGGAACCTCAATAGCAGGCTCACTAACTACCACGTAAGCATCACCGATCGTACACAGCTTGTATAATCCGTGTTTTGTACTGCTGCGGTCAAATCGAGCAAACAGCCTTTGTAAAAGAGCAATAACAAGAGATGCGTCGACGGAATTTGCCCATAAAGTAAAACCGACGATATCAGAAAATAAAAATGACATCTTCTCGTGACAGTATGACATCTTCAATTTGTCGTTCTTGAATTCTTCAAGTACACTCTTCGGTAACATGTCATTAAGCATCTGTCCAACACGCGCCTCAATCATCCTAGCCTTCTCATTTGTGTAGAAGGTGCTACGATCAATAGCCTCCTTACAATGTGCCGATATCAAGTTGAACAGAATGTACGCAGGGATGCTGAATAACGTCACAGCAGTCGTAGCAGTCTGTACAACACTAAACGAAATGAAAGTCATTGAAACCATCATAAACAGTGCATTTACCAACAAACACGTTTGGAACAACATACCATTATTGTGATGGATCACCACTATATAAAAGTAGAACTTGAAGCTATCTGATGGCAGCCACATATTCACATAATGAGAATAAGCTGCCGAGTGTGAAACGGCCCAAGAATTCGATAATGAGAATACGCAGGCGGCGCTTACAAAGAGCAAGTTCAATACAAACGTCAGCCACATGGTTGTATTACATTCCGAACGTTGTGCAAAAGAATTGAAACGGAATAAAAGCCACATCACAAACACAAGCAATATGTAGATGGATCTCACAGTCCAATATAGCGTATATTTGAAGAAAACAAGCCTCTCTACTTTATCCAAATCTTCGTAACTCCGAGGTATTGCAATCTCCAAGATCGTCTGCGCAACGAAAGTCATCAGGAAAATAATCAATGTTTGCTCAATGGTGTTGATATGCGTGCGATTATGATAAAAGTGAGACCTATATCGGTCTTCTTGTAACTTGTCATTAAACCTCAAAAATACCCATTCACCAGTTTTCATTCGCATATCACTGCTGTCTATCCCACTATTGAGCTCATCGTCATCATCCGTCTGTTGTTTTGAGAAGCTGGACGAACGTTGGAGGGTGGAAGAGGCGATAGTATTGCTCTGCGGGGGTGGAGTGTTCGACCTACGTAAAAACGCAAGGCACCTAGAAGCATTTGTCGGAGTAGAATTACTCGAGGTGCCGATCACGCTGTAAGTACTACAGTGACGCAGAAGGGCAGGTTGACCTCTAATCATCATACCGTCTTCATCTTCCGTCAGAACACCTATAGCAGCGGATATTCGGATCTTACGACCACATGCACGATCATAATCGATAGGGAAAAGAGGGAATGAGGCCCTCGAGCTTGTGCTGAGTGCTCTATTCAAGGTAGGAGACATTTTGTTCAATATATGGGTCTTCTCCACACACTCAAATAGCACGTTACTTGAGGGTGTGCAATCACCAACCTCGTTTTCCATTTCTAACGAGCCAAGCGCAAAAGTTTCTGAGGACGATTCTCCCAAAGTGGTTTCGCCAGACGTAACAGCAACTGTATCCAGCGTGGTACTAGTATCCATTACTTCAAAGTTAGGGTACGCTGATCCTTCTGCAGATAGTAACAAGTGAGTTTTCATTATCCCCTTTCCCTTCACAAATGTTTCACGATGATCGAAATTTAGTGTTGTATCCGATTTAACCAGATCATAGGTACTCTCTGAAATATGAATATGACCGCATTCTCCAGTTGTTTTCATCCTACTGGCAGTGTTTACAGTGTCACCGAAAAGAGCATATTGAGGCTTCTTCGCACCAACCAAACCTGAAATAACTTTTCCAGAGTGTATACCGATTTTGACTGTAACACATTCATCTTGCTCATGAAACGATCCATCTGTTGTTTCATTTATAGCCGGATAGCGTATCTGACGAGCCACTTCAATCATAGACAAGGCCATGTCAATGGCACTAGCAGCAGATTCGTATGGGCATTGTAGGCCCGTCCGAGATAGACCAAGCGCTGCTAAATAAGTTTCAAAAACAGTTTCAATCTTGGTTGCACTAAATTGTTCGGCACAACGATCGAAAGCCAAAAATAGCGAATCTAAGAGTTCCACCAATATGGTAGGCTCCACTGTAGCAACCAAGTTTTGGAAGTTGCATACGTCACAGAATACGACAGATACTACCTCATGTTCATCTGCTTCAAAACCTATAGGTATACCATCTTCATTCAATCTTGCATTGATCATTTTACTGACAACGAAATTTGGTAACATGGTGTTGAGCAGTTCGCTCTGTTTTTTCCTAGCGTTCCTTGCGGAGAACTCAAATAGGAAGTTCTTCCTGTTATTATACTCCAAACGGTAACCCACGAATGCCACAAATATATTTATAGCAAAAAATAATGGCAAAATGTGAACTGATGCTTCCATCCTATAAATGGAAACAATAATGAAAATCACATTGGCCACCAGAGCGTAGATAAAAGCTATATGCAATATGACAAACGTGAATATTGGAAATAGCAGGGGTTGAAGAGTGCCCAGTGGCTCAATTATAGTCAGAGTCACTATATATTGCAAAATCATACAACAGACCAGAATTCCCAATGCCTTATTCACGTGTGTCATAAAATACGTTGTATGAAAGGTCAATATTGCACAGCCCAAAGATAGTAAGGATACACAAATCGGGGGTAAAATCGAGTAAAACAACGCAGGCTCATTGTGCTCCACTTTCAAGGTGTAATCCAGAATCCAATCTAGAATGTAAAATGTACCAATCGCAATGAAAATGATTCGGTACCAAATTCTATTTGTTCTATAATGGTTTCTCCGTTTATGTAACTTATAATCCGCTTCTAATTGGATATCCTTGAAACGCAAAGTAAAGCGATCAATTAGATGCGATACTGATGATCGATGTAGTTTCACATCATTTTGTGATTTCTGCATATCCTCCATTTGATCCTTGGTCATACTGGACGTGGGTCTCAGAGGCTGCATACCAGACAGATCACCTTCACGGACACGGAATGGTCTTGGTGTCGGTATCATACGCATCAAAGCTTCTAATCCATGAAGATTAAATTCATTTCGCACCTTCATAAGCAATCTGTCACACCAAAAATGGGTATTGCTTGTTGTATTTGGCACTGAAACAGAAAATCCACCTGAATCTGTTGAATTTAGAGCGGTTTCCACAGAATCACCGCCTCCATGTTTCGGGCAATCACACCTCTGCGATGACAACCAGTGCTTTAGATAGTTGCTCATATTAGGGCAAACCAATGATTGAACCAAAGCGGTTGCTACATGACACACCACTCCTGTACTTATCCATACCGGGAATAAGAAATAAACTGGTTGCCATAATACAACTTGAAATGTGGCATTACGTAAAGTTCTACCACCAAGCAAGAAGCATAGACATAAAAATGCCGGTGGCATGGCAAAAAGGAATACCAAGGTCAATAAGATTCCGAAAGAATTGTTGCGTGCAAATGACTCCATCAAAAGACGTGAGTTTGACATTTGTAGGCTTCCTAGAGAGCAGAGTAACCCAAAGGTTCGCGCACTGATAGTACTACCTCCTCTGAATATAGGTGATTCTAACGTTGTAGTCTGAATGCTAAGGTAGCAGAACAGAGACGACAATATACCTTCCAAGATACAGAACCCCAAACGCAACAGGTTGATGTGGAAACGACGCCTACAAAGCGTATATAGAAGCGGAACATGGGTTAATATCGGTTCAGATAACGGCTGATCGAACAGGCCGCAGAATATGATCGGAATTGCAGTGAAGATCAAATGAAATGCCAGCTGAATAAAAGAACCATATAAGTCAAGTCCAACCCAATCCGTATGTCCTTGGTAGTAAAATATCGGCATGACCAGACAAAGAGATTTGAAAAAAGTCCAGTATATGGCTGCCGATATGACTTGTAGAGAATTACTACCCTGGAAAAATAATAGACTCCTGAGGCCCGCGAAGTGTGACGTTACGAAATCTGCGTAAGCCACCGCGTCAGGGGTTGATCCCAATACAGCCACACCTACATGAGCTTCTTGCATCATTTTGACGTCGTTCAACCCATCACCAATGGCTAACGTCACCGGAGTAGGCGTTAATCGGCATTTTACCAACCTTACAAATTCAGCCTTCTCCGATGGTGACAATCGACATGCTATGACCACGTCGGAAAGGCATAACATATTGACGAAACATGTTTGCAACCGACTGGTAGCTAGGAAATCCTTTAAGTCGCTACCTTCCACGACAAGGCATAATTGCTCTGTAATACCCATTTCTGATCGCTGTTGCAAAAACGATTCGTAGAGGATAGTACCATCGTTATCTGTGATATCATCCATTCTGCTATATGGAAGCTTGCAATCAAATATACGGCATGGGCTGACCAAGAGTTTTGTCAAATATGCCGTCTCAATGGCAGCATTCCTGTTGTCACCCGTTGTCATCCATACACGTACACCTGCTTCCATCAACAGGTCCAAAGTTTCGTGTACACCAGGTTGTATCTCATCCCTAAAAGCAACAATACCAAGGTATGTCAAACCACCCTCAACCATCACAGCTGCCTCTTCGTGAAGCATATCTCCACTGTATACCGAATCTTCAGCATTGGCAAATTGGCGCTGGTACAATCTCGTTTCATCTGAAGTTAAATTCCTATATGCGCAAACCAATACGCGGTAACCAGCGCTGGTAAGTTTATCGAGTCTGGTTGGTAACATCGCAAGTTCACGCTCCTCTTCATCTGTATTGGTCCTAATTAGACGCACTATTGTTTCACCAGAACCCTTTACAAATATCGTAGCCCCTTCATTGTCGGCCCTCTTTGCGACAATAGACATGCGACGTCGTTGTGACGTAAACTGATTTAAACCTACGATATTCCATGTCTCGAAAGCACCACGGCATTCAAGTTGAACTGTAGATTTTGATCTGTGTATCACTTTGTAACCTAGGTCCCTGGCAAGGCTTATCATACATTCGTCTTCCTTAAACGGTGATTTGTAGAAGACTGTGTTGATTGATCGTCCAGACTTGCTTTGGAAAGCAGATGATGAAGATGTCTCTTCACCATCACCCTCAGCATCACCAGGGTCTGTGTATTCCAAGGAGTTGTTCGAGTCCAGATGTTGATAACTAAACTTCAGTTGATTGGGCGCTTCTATGTATGAAACGTTGCCAAAATGGATCTTGCTCCTTAATGGTCTTATAGTAGCTGGTGCGTTATTCGATGTGCCAAATGAAAGATCCGAATTAAGAGATCCACTATGTTTCAATGACTGGGAGCTAGAGGCTCCCATTCCTCCAGGAGCTGAGAAACCATCTGCGCTAATCGTTCCAGGGACTGGAGATGTGGCATTGCATAGACACAACAACTTGAGTAATTTATCTAGCTTATCGTTATGCTCTAGTTCACGTTCGACGTCATTTTGTAATGTTGTCCTATCACCGGATGTATCAAAGGTCATGTTACCGACGGTGAGGAGAGAAATCTTCAGGTCATTAGATGTTAAAGTGCCCGTTTTGTCACAGAAGATAATATCCACCATTCCCAACTCCTCCAAGAGTCTATGATTCATAGTCCATGATACTGGTAGTACGCTTTCCAAATCAACCGAGTTTGGGTTTGTTGGATCTTTGGATGCGGTTTCCCTGAGGAATGAATAGTCCATGTGTCCATCGTAGAAGTTGCTAAATGCATATCGCAGTAGATCTGCAATGGCTGGTAATGTGACTGGTATAAACCCTGCGTAGAGTACGACGAACCTGAGTGTCACGAATAGCAGTGACTCTGTTACTAGTGGTACCCCTGCCTTACGTCTTTCCGACGATAGTATGGTAGACCAACGCGTTCCCATGCTGACAAATAGGCATAGTAGGTATATACATGACACTATGATTGTGAATTGGTTGATTAGAGCATCTACAGAGCCGAACTTGACACATTTTGTTTCCTTGCTGATATTTTGTGCAATTTTGGTATCTGGTCCTGTATGTGTTACAACACCGTATACTGATGCGGTATTGCGAATGATGCTACCTTTCATAATGAAATTGTGTATATGTACATTCCTAGGACGTGGATGGCCTTTCAATCTAAGGGTAGCATTGAAGTTTTCCAGGTCAGGTGACGGCCTATCACATATAACTTGTCCACGAATATTGGTGAATGAGTGTAGTGAAGCATCTCCTTTTGTATATTTTGTACAATATTTTACTTTCAAATCCCTGTCTCCATCAACTAGAGCTGTATCCACGTGTACTTGTCCATCAGGGTTACTGCAGGACAGAAGTATCATATCGGCTGGTACCTGTTCATCGCATGTGAGTTTGACTATATTTCCGACAACAATATCTCCAACTCTTATTTTTTTCATGCGTGACTTTTTTGGTTGTAGGACTTGGCATCGTTTATAATCGACGCACTTTCCAACTACAAATCGTTTGATAGCGTCGAGTCCGCTGATGATGAATGATATGAAAAAGGATGTGATTAACACTGCTCCACTGCTTTGCCAGGACGTTGTGGGCGTTCCTTTTCTGAGCAGTATTGGCGATACTAGGTGTATAATAACGATAATAAAACCCCAGATGTATGGCAGTCTTTTAGCGTTACTAAGTAATATCTGCAGAGCTTGTTTGGGTAATGCCCATCTTTGTGTATGTTGTTGGTTCCCCAGGAACCTGTGTATATCGTCTGACAGTACCGGATTAATGTTCAAAGAGCGCGATTCCCATTCAGGTTGTAACTTGGCTCCAAAGCATAAATTTTGTCTTTTCGTGATTAATTCATCTTTATTTGCCGAAGATCCTATATACCTATTTTCTGACCTTTGTGCTGAAGGTGTTTTTTCTCCCCTGCTATTGAATGTGGCATCGCTCTTTGCGCCTGACGACCTTGATAGTAGTGGATAGTTTCTTGACGCCATTTTTACGACATCTATGCCCTATAAACTCAGCCTTTGCGATACTTTTGATTCAAATAGGTAGCATTACGATTGGAATAACATGAATAATTTGTTTTTGGATACCCATTTTTGGATATCCTGTCTTACCGCCTGAATAGAGGCATGCCAGGTTATACGTGTTGTAAGAATCGGGGAGAATAGCCTTATTAAGTTAGGTAACCAGTTTGTTTGTGGGTGGTCGATGCATGTATGATCACTAATCCAGTATTATACCTGCCTATCCTGTGACAATATGTTTTGCATGACCTGCTTTTCCACATGTCTTATTCATCTTTGATGTCAAGGTCGTTCTTTTTGTGGTCCCTGGTCCCCTTGAGTTGCTTGATTCTTAACTATCTTGGTGTATAGCCTTGTAAATGTTATATAATGGTTGGTGATAGTTGCATAATGTTATGACATTCCCTGGTCACACACATACAACATCTACATCTACTGTGTATTTTTAATGCGTACTGGCACCAATTTTAGGTACACATGTACATATATATTGCTGGGATGTAACGGTAGGCTGTTAGGTTGTGTATCTATTAAAATATTACGGTGGGCATGGTAAAGTGCTGTTACACTACGGAACGCGCGTGATGCGGCATCCAAGGTCTACGTGTGTCTAACTGTTATTCCAAATTATTCTAATCATTTACATATTTATTTTACCGTTTGCATTTCAAAAATGGGCCTTGAATAAAGCATAATTCTGCGACATTCTTAAAAGCAATCTGTGTATCTACTCTGTGCCTAAATATTTTTGTTAAATTTCATATATACCATGTCTAACTTGTTATGTACTGACATACACACACTTGGCTAGCTAAGTATCTACAGTGTAAATTTTATACGGGGGTGTGTTCTGATGAAGCTAGCCATGCGTGTTGCGACCTTGCTGCACTTTTATATAAACTACCGGATACTACAATCCGTCTATTCAAAATCTAGCGTGATAGAAAACTGATAATCTTTGACCTTAGCCATCATTAACTATGTCATTTAGCATATGATGGTAATTATATATATTCGTGCCTTAAAGAATGCCACATCCATGTAGCTCCGTATTATTATTCTTTGCAATATTATTGCGTTTTGAAAATCAAATGGATAAAACGTGTGAGTCATCTAATGACGTCAGACTGTATATGAAACTGAAGAATCTCTACACACTTCCTTCTTTAAGATAAATTGTGTCACTTGTGTTGTCAAAATTGGTTCAAAATCAATATAACTGAAGCCTTGATACAGATTTAACGCGTCCTGAAAGCTAGTATAAAACGGTCACCGTTAACGAATGTCACTAAAAATTGGAAGCGACCCATGAGTTGTGTATTCTGGCTGTAAATATTATGATTAAATTATAAATTTGATGCTTGTTCGGTACATTGTGTCTTAATAAGTGTCATGTGTAGGCACAATAGTTTTCCTATGAGACGCAGGTGACATTCCATCATCTAGCGGGTGATACATACTGGAATGAGTAAGATATAGTGTGTTTTAATATATGTTAATGATATTGGTGGCGAAATACACGCTACTGTTTGTGTAAGTATGGATTATATCGCCTACTTCTTTATACAATGTACACACGTCCCAACTGTTTGGATATATCCTTGAAACAATAGAGATTCTTGACCTCGTGCATGTATGACCTGAAGAGGTGTGGAATGTACCTGTTTAATGATATAGTTAGGTACTTGTTTATCTCAAAATGCAGAAGAACAAGCTCCTTGTTAGATTGATGCAACGGTTATTTTCAATACTGACATGTGTCTCATACCCCCAAGGGATACTCCTAGAATATAGCATATATGATTACTTCAGAGTGCTCCTGGGTACCATCCCCACCCAGGTATCAAAAATAGGGACCCCTGATACCATTATGGATTTCGAGAATGTTTGCAATGAAACTATCGGGAAATCTGTAGGTTCAAGGGAGTATATATAAATCATGTTTTTAGCGTATGGAAACCATATATGAAGAAAAGGAGAGCATCGACGACATCACTGATGAACTACTAGAGCAATTGCAGATCCAACGTCAATACAGAAACAAACTTGTTGATGTAAGCATACAAATGAGGCAGAAATATTTCAAAATTAAACAAATTGACGAGGTGTCCCATACCAAGGTTGATGAAAATAATCCGGAACACTGCAAGGTATGTTATTCATATCTACTATCCGACGTAATTGTAATCTATTTTGAAAGTAACTTTTCATGTGCTACATGTGTGGCCATACCATCATTAGAGTGCTATTAACAACCGTGTTTGGATATAATAAATTTTTAACAGTTGTTATATGATCTATGGGGAGCACTGGACGACAGGGATTTACCAGTATCATTCGCCGTAACAAAATCCATAGGGAAGGAAGATGAGACCGCTTCCAGTTGGGGTGATTTGGGATTCCAAACACCTTTGACTGATTTTAGAATGACTGGGTTACTGGGACTTAGGAGTTTACATTATCTGGTTGTAAACCATAAGAAGCAATCTAGGGCCAGTTTGCAAATATCGCAAAACATGGAGGCGTGGTTTCCATTCGCCATTACCAGTATAAATGTTACGTCATGGGTTATGGAAGATATTAAGAGTAATATGCACGACCCACTCTTCTATCACAATGACATGGATGGGATACATATATTGTACGTCTTGCACACTTACTATTTCTTCAGTTTCGTGAAATACTGGCAACAGCACGCTTTAACCAGTGTACTCGAATTCAAAGCCGTAGGTATTAATTGCAAATCACAAAAATCTCATTGCAGGTATCATCGGAGTTCAGAAAATATGTAACACAACAAGTCGAAGAAATCATACAACAGGTATTAAACAACATAACTATGGGTGACGAGAGATTTAAAGGATCGACTCTCCTGAAGGCTATACAAGAAAATATTGCGACAGTAAAAGTGGAGCCGTTGCCCTTAAAAACATAAGATATTGCTCTAATGTCCCAGGCATTTGCGATAACAGTGGTACATTATCCGTGTTTAAAAAATATAGTACCGTTGTACCAAGGCGATTTTAGGATATGATGAACGCAAAGTTCATGCAGGGAATGATCCAACAACCTAAGTGGTCGCCATACCGCAGCGCAAATTCACCCCTCCTATGGCGAAGTTTCATAAGTCTCATGTATGCGTGGTGCAAGTGGACCAGACACAAAAATAAGGGATTTCGAGCATTATTCGAGTGATAGTCGAGGATATTGCGGTTAAATGACACTTAAACCGACCTGGAATGCTGCAAAACTTCTTCACAGGTGATATAAAAACAGTTCCATCCTATACCGTGATTATATTACCGACCTAATGCGTAAAACGTGACAATAAACAGTGTGCATGTAAAAATGCTGGCACTACAGGGCCCTGCTTGCAAATAATCGTGGGAAGGGCATTATTGTGTGAAGCCTGACTGTGTCCTTTACACTGGTTAATCGGCTTTTTCTCTGGAATATTGGTATTAGCTAACCTGCCGTATTATAATCCGGTATTTTGTTATATAGAACCTCCCTATCGAGTAGAAATATCCTGTTTTTACCAAAGGATATTTTTCTGCTTGTCACAAAATTCATATTAATATACACATCTAGTTCAAGGACTAGATCAGAAGTGTCAGTGGTCTGCTATAGTTTGTAACTATAGATTAGAAGGTTTTTCGAAGATGGCCAGATTCAAGTTTTCTAAATTCTTGATTACCCTCTTGGCTTTCGTCCAGATCATCGCTGGTAATGACGTAGAAGGTGAAAAGGTTGATGTACCCGAAACTGTTGCTGTACCTGAAGCTAGTGAAACTGTAGGTTGAGGAAAGCCAGCCTGCACAAGATGTCTTGGTATTTAATGAGCGTGCCTCCGATCGTGTTAAGCAGCTCATCGCCATGCTTCCCTCTCACGTGTCTAAGCATTTCGACCCGGATGCAAAGAGCATGTTGCCTGCACGCATTGCTGAGGAGCTTGCCGCTCTCGAGGATAATAAGATTACTCGGGAACAGGCAGAAAGTGTTGCTAGGTACCTCCTCAAGGANGAAAGTGTTGCTAGGTACCTCCTCAAGGAGTACACCAGGATCATTATCAACGATCCCGCTCGGATGCCTAACACCCGCGAACTTCGTCAATACCTTGGTATGTATTTCTTCAAAACTTTAATTAAGAACTCTGATCCTGAGTACTTGGCTCCCCAAGCCCAAATTGGATCTAGAAAACTCTAACGAACTTTACGATCCCGAGGTGATGCTAGCAAGCGCTGGATGCAACAAACGTGAGTCGCACCTTGACACTGCTGATATCATTGAGGAAATAACCAATGTTGCTTCATCTGAAGATGCCGAACAAGTTGTCGAGGAAGCTGAAGTTGAAGAGGATGAAGGAGCTGCTGGTAACCTTCGTGGTGAAAGTGATTAAGCGGCTTATAACTGGAGCGAGTTGCACAAGAGGTTCGACATTGAAACAAATCCCGCGTGTTGACAACATTGGGAGTAGCCATTGCAGCGAATCCTTGTGCGCCTTATTCCGTAAAACTCCCTCAAAAGATATCTTAAACCACGCTAGAAGGTAAGCGAGGGACTTATCGGCAATGCTGATTTTACAACACTAGGATTTGTTCTTACTGCTAGGTGAAGTGTCTTCTCGCCATCTTCGTACTAAATGAGCATTTCTTTCATCTTTTAACGGAAGTCAGCTATTCTGCCCACCGTAACATGCTGTGAACGCTTGCTAAGATTGCGATTTGATAACAAATCTGCCTTTTATCGTGCTAACATCTGTTTAAATTTTCACTACAACTTACGTTACCTATTGAACTCATGCATTATGACATTTCGCTGAGTCGTAATGTCAGATAAGACACCGACCGCTATGTTGACTATGTGACCACAGATATCACAAATGATGTGAGTCTTTGGGGACCGTCCGTGGGAAGTGATGCTCCCATGGAAAACTAACAATATTACACAGGAGGTTTTGCAACAGTCCATGTTTAATGGATCTATGAAGAGTGGGTACGACTACAGATCTTACAGTTTAGGCTTGGAAAGATTTTTTCGGGTCCAATGTCACACAGCACTAGTGAGTAACTGGACAACGCATGGCAGATCAGATAAAATTCGCACCTAACCTTATGAAAGAGGGGGACAATATAACCTTGGTGATTCAACCAACACATCAATGTGGATTGACATCACTACGTTCAATTGCTAAAAGGAATCGGCAGGGTGACTTTTTCATTCGATATAAATTGACTGTCTATTAGCTGATGTTGAATTTGAAACATATGGTATGTAACCAGTGAAATATCTGTTAGACTTCCCATAACATGTTACCTTGCGTTATATTAGCGTCTCCAGGACGACTTAAACACATTCGTTAGGCAGGTGTTTGACAATATTGTCTCATAAGTCATAAATATTAAAATTCAATTGTTACATCGCAGTGCGCCACATAGTAAGTCACCAGTGATGGTACCATTGTTTTCACGGTTTCAAATATCCTGTGCCACTAGGCGATATTTTGTGTGATAGCAGAAGGATTGGTAGCAACATATGTGTACCAGCCAATGGCCAATGTGACCGAATGCGCAGGATATCGAGTGGTATGATCATACCATATGTTAGGTAGAGCATGGTTACGAGCCATAAGGTTAGGAGGTATGTAATGAAGTGCTGACGAATGTTGCAGAGGAAGTCGTTGATGGCAGACAAAAGGTTGATGAATAGAGCACCTTCTATGACATTGTAAAGTTGTTTGGTGAAGTCTGAGCATTCGCGTTTATATTCCGATAGTTTTTTATATTTTCCAGTCAGCCTGGTGGCGTAATTGTACGTAAAACCAAAGCGGTACAATAGTCCGAGTACTCCAGCGCACTCCACGATGTTTTTACAAAAGCATTTGTTATTGGAATGACAATTTGATGTGCATGATAAGCCAGATTTGTTATGCCTGCATCCACCATATTTCTTACAATCGATACTATTAAATGTTTCAAGTAGTGCTTGTAATCCATATTTCAACTCCTCTGTTAGATAGATCATACGTGACAAGTAGGCCCCTGCAAAATCCTTAGAAATGTTGGAGTAAATACCACAAGAAAGTGTTGCGAGGTAGGGACCACAGGTATAAGTTTTGGAACGACCGGAATTCTTGCATTCGCCATAACTCAGGCTGCGTAGAGTTGGTTTGTCCTTAGGTTCGTGTGGAGTTGTGCCATCATGATCACCAGATTTGCCACTTAGAAAGTGGGCCGCATCAGTAAGCTCTTCAGATTTGTCATAGTGAAATGGTCCCTCAGCAATCGTCCCTTTGATTGCATTCGCGACAGTTTTAGCACTGATTTTCATATTGCAACCCATGTAATAGAAAAAACCAAAGAGATCACCTGCTGTTCTTGGTGTACGCAGGCCGACACAGATTGAACACAAAATAAGGTTGTACAGGATGGCATCGTTGATGCTCTCTTCATTGGTATAGTATTTCAGCGTACAGGAGAGATGATGGCCTCTACGAGCGGATGATGGAAGATAGGTTTGGAGAAATCCCATGGGAATGTGACACTGCTGTGTTCTAGATGGATGTTGATAGTGGTCTTTAAAGGGTGGATAATCGCTTCCCATTTTCTCACATCTGAAATCTCTTAGACTATCACACAAATTGGCTTGGAGGGGAGAAGGTTTTACTTGACCGCAAGTGGAGTGCTCTTCTTTGCAATTGTTGCATTTATCAGGATTTTCGCCATGCTCAATGCCAGGGTTACCTTCACATATCCAAGATATCATGTTCTTACAACCTATATTAGCGCCGCACTGACACCATGTCCATCCACAACCCATCAGCAGACATATTTGGCATTGGCGCTGAACAAAGTACAATTGATCATAAACGCACGCGACAACGTCCCACAGCATAGAAAACCGGGAATTTATGTTATCGGGATAGTGAAATCCAAATTCAGTGTTGCAGTATATCTTGTGAAAGATCAGATTAGAAGAAGCCTTGCGGCGATTAGTTGATTCTTTGATATTACCGTGTAAGTTTCCCTCGATAGCTAGTAAAACGAAACAAGCATATTGGCAAGGGGTGAGAAGGAGAGCAGGGTATGAGGTGGAGTTGTTGTCTAAGACGATGTCTTTAGTCACGCTGTTAGCGCTTCCTTTGATAAACACGACTCTGTTGTGATCACTCGCATCTTTCTTATCGTTATATTTACTAATACCAGCTTCAATGGCATCTTTTGCTCTAGGGAACATACTGGAGTATGGAAGTCCAATGAGCCAGTACAACATTTCACGAATAGTCCTAGGCTGACCCTCCATAGCGTCGCCATTTTGGTGATACCTTTGATAATAAGCATTAGCAGTAATATAGAGACATGTTAGAGGGCAGGTTGGAGGGGAGGTTTTTGTAGTTATTAAGTTGTTGACATATCGGCAGTACCCCTCCCCAATGTCGAGGCTAGAGAGTTCGGCGAACGGCCCAAGAAAATTACCTCCATCCAGCAAGTTTTGTAGACCAATGCCAGTCATCTTATTGTTTATTTCAGTAGATTGATAACCCATTGATGAGATATAGATGCCTAGGGGGTCACTGCCGGAAACTGCCTGATTGTTCCAGCTATTACCACCTTTACTATTAGACTGCCAATATAAATAACTTAGGCCACTGAATATTAGTGGAATGCAACAAAGGAAATTTTGAGCGCAATGCTTTACATTATCTTTACTTGACTGAATTGATTCCCACGTGGTATGCTTGTCATAGGCGAATTTGTAGCCTCCATGTAAAATTCCCACGGTGAACGTTCTGAAGTTGCTACTTAGTGTGCACATTAGGCCTCCGCTAGCAGTACATTTAACGCCATATTGTACATCGTTATCTAATGCTGCAAATAGCTTCTCATGTATTTCCCGAAAACCATGGCCTGCATCATTACCATTTCAGATCTTCCAAAACACCGATTAAGAGTTCCTTGTAGGCTCTAGCCAAACCCTTTATCCCCGTGTCTAAGAGCGTAATGGCAATATACGAATGTTACCTACCTTTATCACCTGTGCCAGAATCACTACCAGTTGCTCGCAACAACCAATCTATTGCCTCTTTGAGATTGGTAGGACAATCCGTCAGTTGTTGATAACTGGTAGGTGTTGCTGCGGATGATGACCCTGCTGCAGCTGGCGCCATTTTGCCTTTAATCCACTCTAAAGTTACCAACGTCCCATATATAGCGTCGCCATAAGTGTTTGGTGACGAGTCCTGGAGTAGAAATAAGAATGCCCGCGGTAGCAGCTCGTGATACTTTGTTTGTGGTCCTAGCAATGTCAAGAGGGGTGATAGGTGGACGCTTCATCTTAGTCGATCCGCCGGCCACATGATGTACATCCCACCCCCAATGGAGTTGATGGTACCCCTAGTACAGTCGAAAGAGCATCGATGTGCCGGTGCAATCCGTGGCAGAGCTATGGGGAGTGGAGAAGGATCGCAGGTACTACAGTAGTCATGACGACTAAGGAGTAATTTGGCGGTTAACCGCCTGAAGGAGCGGGGACCTACTCCACCGTCGGTATCCAGAGTGTTACCGTCACAAAGGCTCTTGTTCCTTTGCAAATGAACGGGATATATCGGTCTCAAATGTGACTTTAGAGGCTATTTAACGTGGTTCCGATGTGAGGATGAACGTCAGAACCCTCCAACACAATGAAGTCGTTCCACGGGAGTTCACCATAGGACGTACGGCGTTCCAGGTGCTTAGGGAGGCCATAAATTCAGTAGTAGCTCCAGTATCCCTTCTCTGCAAGATCACAGAAGTGTATCCTTCATTTCCAACGGCCCTGGTAGAGATGCACGGTTGCGAGGTGTAAGTAGCCGGAGCCTATCCACTTGACGAGGTGGCATGCAACACATAGATGGCCAAGATCCGTGATACAACAGGCGATGGGCGGTCCTCGTCATTTTCGCACTGCGTTTCATCATGGGCATAAAGCAGTTGTACTGCACAAGAGACGGGGCGGTACAATCGTCAGCATTTCGTTACCGACGAAACTAGAGGTAGACTGGGTCTTGTCATGACGTAGGTTCGAAATCGTGATCCCCAATGAGTCTCTGGAAACTAAACGGCTCACATATGACCTGCAACATAAAATTGGCATGGAACTTGGCATGCTATTACATCTGTATCAGATGTAGCCACCTACTCTATTAATGGCGAAAGGCATCTCGGAATGGGTCCACTGCCACCTTGACTTGCAGTGTACTGAATCCCGTATACTCGGGACAATGCCACCCAATCGACTTGAAATTATCGAAGCGAATAGTGATAGACCGTCCACCATCTGATAATCATCCATGTACAACATGGATCTAGATACAAATAAGATTACAATACAAGTTGACCCATCATTGTGATTAACCTATACCAACTTAAGTGATACCATACCCTGTGGAAAGGGTACATCAACTAGAAGCTCATTGGCCCTTCTGACATGTGCATTGATTACAAATCTCATACATTGTCTATGTCCGTACATTAGACCATTGGGGACACCTTTAGCGTCACCGTGAACGCAAAATGGACCTTTCCAGTTGTTAACCAGTTCCTCCATGAGCTTATGGCTATCTGTCCATAGACCCTTGCGTTCGGGTATTACATTTTTATCCTCGATAATTGCAACATCACCTTTAAAAGACCAATCTGCAAACTCCAGACGTCTGCGAGACCGTAAAGCGGATTTAAGTAACGTTATACCAGCAAGTTTACGGAGGACCAGAAACGCATTGGTTGTGTCACCTAGTCCTGTTGTACCAAGTAGCATCCTACAAGAGACATGTTCATCTTGGAAAGCCTTTCTCAAATACTTGCTGTCAATCTTAAAACAGACTGCATCGGAGTACACAGAACAATTATAGGTAATATTGAATTCAGTTGACAACGTTTCGTAACATATAGCACAGGTCTTGCGGGTAAGGTCAGCATAATTTAATGGGAACGGTATATTTTCTGTGAATCTTGATATGTTAAATCCTGCTTTATGCCATGTTTCCATGAGTAAATGCAAGTCACAATCTACACCTATAATTCCAGGACCTTTGTTTTTAATTGACATCATTGGGGGGTCTGTGCAGTCGGTCATCGTCCCCCATGACCATAGCAACCTTAGTGCATCATTCGAACCTCCAGTAAAATCACTCTCTGACTCTTTCTGATGCTCCGCAGAGGGTTCAGAGTCCATAACGACATCGGTATTGGCAGAAATAGCCTCCCTTTTAGAAAATATGACGCTGGCCAGCCACTTGATGTTCCCAGATGCGGTTTCATCTATATGCTTCAACATCTCGGTAAGACTTTGCACTGTTACAACCGCCTTTTGACCAATCCTCACGGTACTACGAGGGACGGGTTTGGTTACCCATTCATCCATGGTTGACCAGAGAACTTCACGTCTGCCCCCGTCATGCGATGTGGCATGACGATATCTAGCATCATGTGTACTAAATCTTAACCCACAGGTAGGACATTGAGCTAGTTTACCCTCATAAAGGCCCATGACAACAGCTGTACCCACCACATTTGATACTTTACCAGTTTGTTTCCATACGTTGGCAGACATCTCAATGTTCCTTTCCAAAGTATCATCCAATAGGCTAGTATCCTGTAGCTTTTGAGCTAACAATAGCAAGTGTGCAACCTCGTTGGCGCTAAGAGGGCCTACCGAAGTCTCAATACCATGGGTACCTGTAGCAACACGTTTAGACATTATACTTTTAGCTTTACGGGGACTTTCCGGGTCGAGCAGAGCATATATATCATCTAATCTTCCCATAACTGCTGTAGATCTGATTTTAGGTCCAGATATCATACGTTCTACATCAATACGGTTTTTTACATCCCTGAGACATCGTTGATGAGATAGATATTTTAACCCTTCATCAAGCCCATCTCTGCTGGAAGGTCTATGTTCATCACCATCTGGATCCAGTGGTGATAGTTTTAGCTTCCTAAGTGCAAGCTCAACCAAAGCTCGACGTAACTCGAAATCCTCAGATTTAGGTGCGACTGAAGCACTCAGGCGGAAACGGTTAGAGGCGTAGGTGATGTCACCACGAACATTTGTAGGCACTGTTGAATCATTGCGCCCTCTATTCTTAATCAAGGAATCAGAGAGCTTTGCGCGCTTAGTCATATACAGACTACTTGAAAGTGGCGCACACCCTTGGAGTGACATTTTGACGCCTTTGAGCCCGAAATTCGATCTTTGTTTGCGATGAAATTGGCCCTTAGAAGGTTAAACCTTTCGACAAACTGTATTTAGACCGAAAGGTGGCAATTTGGCATACCTGTCATCACCATGGATGCCATATAACCCTCAAAGGCAGAGATTGAAATATAAATATGGACATATATATCACAGATTAATATGCTGCATTAGAAATTATATTTAACAAAATTATATGTAATGTGACGAGGCCACACAACCTCCTCGGCCATAGCCAACGAACCGGACTGTATACTACATATTCTATGATGAAACATATAACACACTGACACAGTAGTATCTTAACGTCACTTTGGGTATATTCTCATTGCTCCTCGAGAAAATCAATGAACTCGCTCGCAAGTGAGCGGACATCCTTTTGCGTAGCGGCCTTCTGCGATTGGCTGGGAGGCTCGATGCCTAGCATACTCTCTAAAAGCTTGATAATATCGTCACGACGTTGACCTCCAAGACGATCTTGCTCATAGTATTGCTGGATCATCTTACCAACAGTGTCCTTGTCTATAAATTCACTCTTCCTCATAAGTAACCTCTGGTTCGATGCGATAAGCTCTTCGTTCTTCTGAACTAGTTGGGTTTTCACTGTATTCGCAGTCAACAGAGACTCCGTAAGATGCTTAATCTCCTTGCGCTTATCAACCAATTGATCCTCAAGGGAGGCAATGCGATCCTGCAACGATTTTACCTGCAAAAATGTACACATAAATAACAGAACTAACCTTTTCTTCAAGCTCATTGGCCTTAGATGCCTGAACAAGCGCAGAATTCTGTGTAGATTTTAACTTCTCAACGCGACGGTCGTGATCAGCCTAAAACATATGATACAACGACAAGATAAAATACCTGAATCTTAGATATATACGTTATTAGACGCAGGTATTCACCAGGACGTTCCTCATGCAGACCCTCGCCGACACTAGCGAAAGATGATAGAGGTTCAGTGTCCTTTAGAGAGTCCAATAGCACATTGGGGCCATCAAATATACGTGTGTCACCGATCTTCAAAACACGACAAAGGACACCCATTGTATGTAAAGACCGTTCTAACCATGATAAAATCTTCTCAGTATGATCATTATGTACACTTTGACATTTTTGCCAACTAGGGGGACGCTCCATTGGTGGTACGAACATGGTGTAGCCCGTAATCTCACGTACACGAGATTCAATCTCCTTCCACAAAACTTCCAAACTATCACACAACTTATACAGAATATATAAACGTGAAGAGACGGCGATGGATGAGCCAGTGTCTACCGTATCGTTCCCGATAGAACTCAAATGGGCCTTATTCATGCTGGCGTCCCTTGAAGCAAAACCAAAGTTGCTTTTAGACGAAATACTAGAAAACATTGACGTGGTCTCCCCAAAAGTACCACCACCCTCCTGGAGACCGATCTCATATTGTGATATTAACTTCGTAGTAAAATCACCCAAAGTATCATGGCTATCCTCCTTAGATACCTAGAGATGGATCGACAAATGGATATTTACATACCTCACCAAGAGAATTTATCATTCGCATACGCTGATCAGCCGCTTCAAGTGAACATTGGCTCCCCTCATCATGTCTAGCTGATGTTGCAGCAGCGGGAGAAAGACGACTCGACCCCTGTGGTGAGTCCTACAGAAAAATTGAAGATAAAGGGATGTGTAGATAGGTACCTCAGACAGATCATGGTTATAGTGCCGAGGGTCGCCACCTTCCGAAATGCCCTCTTCTTCCGAATCCGTATAAAGCAGTTGCTGTATGCAGCATTAACACCAATTATATAGGTACATACCTTGAAGTTATTAATTTCGTTGACCGCCTTGCGGAGGTTTAACCACGTTGATCTCATAGTTAACAAGGATATAAGACCTTTCAATCAGGCACTAATGCCACATTTGCATCCTGAGCAAAGAAGTGTTTCAGCACATCGAAACGGCAGGTGAAAAGGGACCCTTCCAAGTCAATTTGCAATTACAGCATGAAACCACGACTATTAAAGGGATAGTGTAACCAATGGATGGATCATTTGAGGTGGACAATATCCATGTCTTCCAGGTAAACCACTGAGCACTTGAACGGGTAAAAATCAAATGTTCTCGCAAACACTTAGGTTGTACTTAATACCGATGTGCAAACTAGACAAATACAATGGAATAACCACTACATAAACTGCCAACACACTAAATCATAGGTATAGACACGGATGATGCCAAGTGATATACCTGGTCCTGGAAATCTGTAAACATAGCGTAATTAACACTGACATTAGAAACTTACATAATAGACGGTTGGATTTATACACTGAGAGCAACAAATGAGATTCTGCTTGGGACTAGGCTCATATGATAAGAAGGTACAAATGTGTCCTCTAAAGTCACGCAGATGTGTGGGAGCCTCGTTCTATATATCGATCATATGGTACGGAATATAGAACAAGATTTGGCAAGTCCAACGTGGCGACCAGGACGTCGGTATTATTGGTCGAGTTCCCCATACATCGCGCGGATAGGGTGTAAACGACCTCAGTACCATATTCACAATCAACGCAGCAGCTTCGAAATATTACATTACACCATTATATGTAATGTGAAATATCTTGACGGTAACGGTGAGGAATCTAGATCGTAGTCTACCGATACTGGATTACACAGCGACAACTACGTACGGCAACGTGAGGTTTCTGGAGTATCGACAGTGCATATTACCGATAGCCCGGATATAAAAGACTTAAGTGGTGTACAGTTACGCCATTGACTTATAAATGTGTGGTACAACTCGTGAGACATCGTAAAATGAAGGAAACCATGGAACCAGACGCCATGGACGTCGACTCTGGGGACGATGACCCAGTTGTTTGTGAATTCGATGTGTTCTTAAACAATACTGTATTGCAAGATCTATTGGGTAGCGTTGCAGAACCAGCTACAACAGTTGCTGTGGCAAATGAACTTTCCAGCAAACCTTTTGGGGACCTGTTCTTGTTCCAGTACCCATTAGAAGTCGCAGAATCAGACTTACAAGATACCCAAGAAGATGTAGAAACACATAATACCATAGCAAAGAACTCCAATGCCACGGAGATGCTAGAAATATCAAAATTATCCGTTGGCACAGAATCCAAACGAGAAATCGTAGATGAAAGGATGTATGGGGTATCATCTATTGTCAAAAAAAGGAAAAGAAGCAGCTGCCCGTACTTCCAAGTGGTATATGATATAGGAACGAAGTATCAAGGTAGTGCGAAACCAGTAGCAGGAAAGAAGGGATCACATGCTTCAAGCCCATTCCTTCGTTGCGAACCTTCAGACCCAGCCAGCACAATCAACCTTTTGGAATTAGCAAAACCAGCACAACCGTCCAAAAAGGGTACCCTAAAACTCAGATCGGAAATAGTAACAGGTGATCATGTATGCGATTGCCTCGGGGTACTAGTGGTAGAGGAAACGGAACATGGACTGGTCAGGTCGCTACACATGGTACCAGTAAAGGGTGTAATACAACTAAGACCAAAGGTGAAACCTTGCGCAAGCGAAATTGTAAATTTCGACGATACACTCACAAGCTTGTTCCAAAACAGAAACCTACAATGGCGTGATATCAACACAATCAGAGATGCTAATTCGCCACAGTCGAAAGAAATAGTACATATACTCACACAAAGGTATATGCCAATACAACATATTGCGAGATCACCAATCTACTTCAAAGGTACACCAGAACTATATATCAACGCAGTATGCTTCGCACAAGAGTATGGAAAGTATCATGATGAGTGGCATTGTAGCCTAGAGTCAGATGTAGATGGATATCGCCACGCAATGAATCCAGCATTCACATTGGAAGGGCGGAGTATAGTATATAGGGAGATGCATGAAAATACACCGAACATAAGGTTCATGAGCACTCTCAGTGTACAAACACAACTCAAGCTACTACTGACACTGAGATATATAGACTCGTTCTATTCCCTGAAAAAAGATGTAGTTTGTGATGAAGATACCACGGATGAACAACTTATAGAAATATTGCAGGAATTCGCCACGAACATTGACGGAAATTGGATACTCTCATCAGAACATGCCATCACAAACTATACGACGGAAGATGATTTCGACAATGATGACAGGGCATACCTAATCGTGTGTCGAGATGTGATGCTCGGACTGTTCTATCGCGATGTTGTCATGAGGGATCTGTTGCAAAAGGGAGCTTATGGACACGTAACAATGGAAGCAGTGCACAGCCTCACGGGACTGCCAGTACCCATGGTACACGAAATGCTCTCACACGTGGCAAAACAACATGGAAAATTATGGACACTGAAGTTGAAACGTGATAGGGATTTCTACAATTCACACAGCTCGTTGATGAAAACTTATCAGGCATACTGGCCGAATAGGCTGCACGAGTGTATGAAACACATCAAAACAATGCGAGAAACTGAAAGCTCCAAAGTATCACAGATCATATACCGCTATATACTGAAATCAGCTATAACAACAGCACTGAACCATCGAGTATATTCGGCAGAACAGATCTCAGAAGAATTGACGTCTATCGGGTATTCAATCGATTCTGCAGCGGTGTTTGAGAGTCTGTTACAACAAGTGGCTATTCCGTTTCTCAGAGGCAACACGAAAATGTGGGTTCTGAAAAAGAGCTGTGCCTCTTTTAACTCGTTGAAGATGTGGTTAGCGGGTGAAACGCATACCGTTACAAGGAGAATAAAAACAGAAGCTGTTAGACGAACGTTGCAAGATACACCTCTACCGGACTTTTTGAAAAGACGGTTAGCAATGTTGCCGTCGTCATAAACACAAAGGGACAATAACGGTCAAAATTGACACGTAGTTATCGTACATTTAGTATATATATGTAGTTCACATCTCGGTGCGCTTGGGTAACTCAGTCGCCTTGCCGTCTTTAGCCGACACTAGCGTGATGCTGCAGTCATGCCCAGTGTAACCTTCATTGCACAGGCATGTGACACCGGAGCATACCCCTGAACCAGCTGGTGGTAACCTTAGACATTGCGCCTTACCTCTGCCTAGACATCGATGGTCAGGATCCTTGCAGGGTAAGAGGTCGAGTAACTGGTAAGTGTCACCAAAAGCCCGTTTGTCGAGTTTAGAGCCGCCATGAACAATCAAAGTGTCTATTGCAGAGTATAATGAAGATCATCCCAAAGTACCATTAAGAATCGCCATAGCTGCAAAAGCGCGACCACGAGGGAGGGAATCACTAGTTGGTATGATGTACCACTTCGATGTAGTGGTATCGAAGCGCCAAAGATCGCTGAATAACATGTAATAAATATGCTAGGTCTTACTTGTAGCAACGATTAGATCCATAGCCGAAGTCGCAGCCACCGAAATATAAAATACTCCTACCAAGGGTTAAAGAACTCAACCCTTCACATGGAGGCGGAGATAACGGACAATCAACCAAACTCCATTTAGATTCCTTCAAATTGTACAACCACCTAAAAGAATGATAAATAGGGAATATTCAATACCTACATCCCGTCCTTGCTGCTACCTCCATAAGTGTAACCACCGTAAAGATAAAGAATGCCGTCGACCAACTGCAGTGATGCAAATTCCTTAGGCGATGGGTTCAACCCTTTTGAACTGGGATCTGTATCATGCAGATTCACCGTAGATATGTGACCCACCGGCACTCAGGAGCTTAAAAGATGCGCTAATATCCTTAGAATTAGATTCTGGAATTGAGTTGGAGACTATAGTGATCTCGTACAAGTCATTAAGAAATATGCCTTCCTGCAACACAAATAGTAGCCAGATTCAAAAGAGACTTACATCATTGTAACCTCCGAAAATGAAAATGCGATCAAGACCATCAGTACAACTGACGTGACCGCTCCTTGACATAAACTTGACATCATCCGGGACATAAACATGATACCACTTGTTTGTGATGACATCTGAATAGGCATATAAAGCCAAAAGTATAGGCATAGTACCATATTGGTGGATGCTGCCAATAGTACCGTTCTCGTTATGACCACCGATGAGGTATAGCGCAGACCCTATCTTAGTCAAAGTAGCTCCAGCACGAGGGGCAGGAACGTCACCACCAGCCGGTAAAGTAGTCCATTTCTTCCTGAAAATGTCAAACGATTTGATACTGTTACTGTAGTAACCTGCAAAGTATCTTGATATGTACCACAGATTGCCACCCACCCTCAGATTCACCGCCGAATACGTGGAAGGAACTGCTAGAAAACGTGGAGGCTAACCTAGAGTACTTCCTAGCATCAGTGGACACTGGATGGTCAGCCAAATGAAACGGCTTTTCCTCATCACCTGGTATCAGAAGCTTCCAGCGAGCACCGTAAACGGATGATAAGAAGGTGACTACAGAAGACAGTAATATGCCTTGGAACAACAATAAGCGTCGCCAATGCATCTCCGTCTCCTTTTCCCGATGCTACAGGAATCTAAAACCTCTATTCAGCCTATATGATCTGATCTAGCGATCAATATCCGACCTTAATCTGGAGAATCTCATCTCTTAAACATATATTGCCCATTGCAATATACTTAGTAGTAATATACAGTGCTAAAACGCTTCTATGGCGGAGTTTATAATAACCAGACCACAAAACCCTGCAAATGGTAACTCACACACCATCGTAATATGACATCTAATAATGACATCTCGCTTTTAGTATGTCTTTTCATAAACTTAGTATGATGCCAGTATTAAGAATCTTATGTGTCTATGGACTGGAAATAATATCGCGCGCAGAAGTTAGGGTCGTACAAAAGATTGTAACTTAAAGATATTGAAAAAGGAATTGGATCAAACTCGAAACATAAACATATATGTCGCAATAGCGCTATGAAATGTGGAATCCTGTATCGCATAAGCGCGCTCGCAATATGGGCGGCGCTGCTCAGCAGTGGCAAAGCAATCACTGTAATACGCAAGGTAAGTTAACGAATGTCTATACAACTCATTGAGTGTGTTATGAACAATCAACAACTGTTATCTACAATATTTGCACTTATACCCCTGCAGCATACACTTATAGGAGCTACCCAGAATCACCCATGCAAAGAACTGATAGCGAGACTAAAGAAAACCAAAGGTGAAACTTGTAATTTCTTCTCGTGTATAGGAGCAAGGAAACGGGAACAAAGAAAAGCATTGCTTGAGGCATTCAATATTGATCACAAACAATCATCGACATTATATGGACCTCTAAAACCAAGATGTGACATTTGGGAACTGGAACAACCGAAACAGTCAACGTTAATCCTAGATGTTGATATTCCACCAACGGAAGATGATATGACTAGCGAGTTGAACAGAAAACAAATTATGCGCATATGTCATCGATCAAGTGTGGTATTGGTACACCTTAACCAACAGGATATACGCTATAATGGAAAGTCGTTCCAAATAAACCGAGAAGCTAGGCATCTATTAAGAGATTTGGCAAAGGGACAAAAAGGTAGAAATACACCAGATGTATATGTATTCTTGCCGGATATAAACACGATTAAACAGGATGCTACGAAAGAGGATCGAACAGCATACGAACAGTTTAAAACACACCTATACGAACTAGTACACAAGAACAATAAGTTTCATTTTAAATCGTATGGAGATCAAAATAATGTCTACAAAAATATAAAGAACCAAGATGGAGCAACAAACACAGCAGGTAGGTCAACCCTTGGGCACCCACAGATGATGCAGATATCGCAAGAACCATCGATATGGATAATGACGATAAAGATGAAACAACGAATAGTTCGTTAGTGCAAATAAGAGAGGCGTCTTTTGGACAACATAGAATGTTCCTAAAGGATCGAATGGCAGAAATTTATAGAGGTTCAAAGCAACCTACGTTCGCAAATGCCGTGCAATCGTCGATGGTGGATGCAGCACTAGCGTTCTATCTACGGACAAGACACATTAATGTAAGTGGAACCAATATACACTAAACTTGTCCAGGATGATGAGATGATAACACACTATCTGGATCAAGAATATAAACATATGGCAATATTCGCAGCAGATGCATACCTCAGAATAATCATGCAAACAGCAGCAGAAGCTAAAAACAGATTAAGAAAGGAACTTGGAGATGACCCCAAACAGGATACGGACATACTTATTAACACTATATTGGCAGATCATGACAGTCAACTAGCAGATGCATTGGAATCGTTGTCAAACAAAATGAAGCCACCTGAATGGTTAAAAAATACAGCAGAAGAAGTTAGAAATCAACTAAGGGACAACCTAAGCGCTATTGTGGCCATGCACAAAGGAATACCAAAACCAACAGCATATACGGTGTGTTGTCGACGATACAAAACTCAGAATATTGCAGAAACATGAACGCGCAGTAGAAAAAAACTATGCTAAACAAAAGAAAAAACGAGGAATCAACGTTATGCTAGCAATATCGTGTATGCTACGCGAACGAGGATATGGCAATAGGCAGGGATACATCAATTATCAATGGGGACCATTGATATTGACTTTGGGGTAAGTTATACAAACACTACTTTAAAATTATTGATACAGTTATGCTAATGACAGAGATATAGCTGAAAACAAACCGGGGACCGGGCTTTTGACACCAGCGTTCCGAATACAGCCAAAACTACATGTCAACATTAGCCTGTGACAACAAAAATTATACACGAGGTGCGACAATGCTCCCGTCATCGTGGTCAACCTGGATAACGGATCAGTGATTAACACAATCGATAAACTTACACTGCCATTTAGTGGAGTTAACAACATCATCGCAGATGTAGTAATAGGGTGGGCATTACGAGCCGGCCAAAATGCACAGCAACGTTGCTCCTGTCACAAAAATGACAATATAACGTTAATTTCAAAACTCACGAAATTACGCTTCTCCTCAGTGGTGAACCATTTAAAGGTCTGCAGAGACTCGCAAGGGCCGCTGTAGTTAGAACCCCTAAACAAAATGACATGATATTGCAATTAAAGACCAACCAGCAAGAACCATCACTCTGCGATGCCCAACCTACAAATAACATTAATATGGTCGTAGAGGGTCAGTACCAGAAGGACATGCTTGTGAGTAGTCGCGTTCGTAGTCTACAGTACCACAACTGAACACATATATATTAGCCATGGTGAACAGCAGCAAACCTGCCATGTTCAGCAGTAAGCTCCGCAGTCTCCTTTTCAATGCGCTTATCAATCTTCTTGTATTCCGCATCGTCCAAACTGTAACATGATAATTAAGAATGAAATAGATGCGAACCGCTTCATTTCCTCAAGCTGCATGTTATTAAATAATAAACAGATTCTACATACCACTGAGGCAGTAGTAGGCATCTTTTGACTCTCATCCTTTATGTTTTTGGCGATATCTGTAATAGATGCAAAGTTCAAAAATTATAAAGCAACCTTTGAACAGATCCAACTGGCTGTCTGCAACAAATTGAGATGCTACATTTACAAATGGCAAAAGAGTACACAGCTGTCAGTGAGTTGAGGGAAAGGTGAATGGAAGTAACGGGGAACATGATATTAAGTCCAACACACAACGAAAAGGTACTAACCTATATATCCCTTCCTGATCCGCGATCCATGGGTGTAGCTAGCAGTTAATACCATAAACAAAGGCAAGAGATAAAAACCGCTAATTAAATATACCATCATAACAAATCAGCAGGATCACACTCATCCAGCATTCAGCAAATAACACATTTGAAAAGGGCATTCCTGGGATTAAAAATGCTCACACATGAGCACATATTGAGAATTTTGTGAATTAATATGATAGACAGATAAATGTGTGTAGAACAATAACGACATCAACACATCAAAACGATGTCGTGTCTAATGTGTGTGGGTCACGCGACGCGTGACGTGATGATGGCAACCATGGAAAACATGTATGTATAACTAGGGGATTGGCAACAATGTTTCTATGGAAGACCAAGAAAGCTCGTTGCCACCGAAAATATTACAGTGGATACCACAAGGGTACCCACAGGAAAGAAATGTAATTCTGGACATGGCATATACCGCATGTATAGTAAGGAAGGTAAGAACACTAGCCACTGAAATGCCAAAATGGTAATAATAACACTATTAACATGAATGTAGGAAGGTGAAGCCTTTGAGTTCAGGCTCAAAATACATCAAGACAACTACAAGGTACCATTCCTGGAGTCGACACATCCACTACACCAGTGCTATACAAATCTTAAAAGAAACAAAGATTCAGTTCTAACAGAACTAATCGCTGGCTATGTGCCGGAGCCATTAAGATCACTTTTCGTGGAACCAAAGGAAACTGGGACAACAGAAAAACAGCCAATACAAAACACATCGCAAGAAAACAGTCAGACAAAACCACAAAATAACTCAAACAAACAAGATACATACTGTATTATACAGGGGTATTCGGATTCAGAATGACTAAGCACCTGATTCTAATTTCAATTGTAACAATTTCTCTTGTAACCTCTTCTTGTACATGAACTTGTGATAACGAGCAGCGTACCATTTGGGATGAGCACGCCGAGCAAGACGATGGTTACTCCGAGTATGTAGAACATCAGATAAACCCAAATTGCGCACAAGAGAAGCACTCTCGTTTACATGAGGAAACGGATTAGCAGACGCTTCCTGCAGATGCGTAACACTACGCCAGGAATCCGATTGACGTATAATACTCTCAAGACGCTTGAATCTGAAAATATTAGCGAACTAACGACAATAGAAAATACCGAACAGCATTATCAGGCCGGTAACGCAGATCCAGGGTTGGCGCTGAAGCAGCATTCACCTCTTTAACCACATCAGCTATATGACGTGACGGATTTGATACCTAACAAAAGTCGTAAAACAGACAATGGGACAAACCTGATGGGTGAAATCAATACCGATACCACTAAAACTCTTGCGATTACTGGGTTCTAACACCTCGTAGATATGGTTACGAACGTAGTCATCGTTCGCACAAGCAGCTGGTTGAAAATAACGCTCGACATTGCGACGATACATTCCTAGCACGAACCCAGAACCTAGAAAGAGGCATATAGATTGCAGAAAAGGCAAACCTACGCTCCTGAGGCCAGGACAACCTCGCATCACGACTGTATTGAGGCTTGGGAGGCAACTTCTCGGACCCAGATAAAGCATCAGATGACCAATTAGGTAATTTCACATCAGACAACAGACGAGGTTCACGTAATGGACCCCAAGAAGGGCGGAAAATCTCATTAGTACAGTGATGATATAAACCACGCTTACGACGACGACCAAAGGCCGTAACAGCGCGACCACTAACAGCAAATAAACAACCACGATGACCTCCACGAGGCATTATAGGAAAAAAAATTAACAAATTAAGTGCCGAGTCAAGTGATCTTAAGAGGGCAAGAACTCATACGCGGAGCAAGGGCGCTAAACCACGTACAGAAGTAGGTTACAGCACTAAAGCGCTGGTAACCCTAACAGGAAACAACACAGAAGGAGGAAACGGATAACACAGGAGTCAGAAAAGGATACACATTTGGATAACAGGAAATACAGGAACCAAAAATGAAACTCACTCCTCACCAGAGCCCATCATAGCAGCAGCTATAGCCGCACCCTTTCCAGATCCATCATCACAAGCGTACATCACAACAGAACCGATAAGGTCAGACCTGCTAACCTTCTCAAGGAAGTAGTGAAGACGCTCACGGTACCAATCGTTCTTAACATACAATGAACCGTCAACACCACAAGTAGTCTTGTTGTTCACGTAGGATCTTGTCTTACGAGCAGTAGCAACAATAGCAGCAGCAGCGAGACCAGCAGAACGAGAGAATGCAGCCTCACAAATACGACGAAGACCAGCCAACTCGGTTATGTCAAACTCAGCCTCCCAGTTACGCAAAACGATCTCACGAGCACGGTCATAAGTAGCAGATTTGTCATTAAGAATATCAGCAGCATCAACAGCCGTGAAACTTCCAATGTGCCACATCTTAGCAGGAGCCTTCTCACGCAAATACAAAATCATGTTACGACGAATGACGTCACCAAGGTAAGCACCAGCTATCAACTTCTCCATACGACCACGACCACTGTTAGAAGTGTACCAGTCAATCTCGAAGTCAACGGGAGTTACAGGAAGGGTCTTGTCAAAGTTACCACACTCAATGTTGACAATTTGACCAATGTAACCATAGTGCAAGTAGTCATGCTCAACGTAACAAATGTTGAAACCAGTACCCAAAATCAAACCCATACGACATTCAGGGTAACCTTGAGGCTTCTGGTAAGCAACGGACATAAGAGTACCAACAGTGTCATTAAGAATAATAGACACACGAGCATTCACATTATTACGCTTGAACGCTTGGTCCATAAGCATACCAACGTCACGACCCTCAACCTGCTCAGTGGTGTCACGACCGGTCTCAAAACCCTTAGTCCAATCAAGCAAAATAGCATTACGACGAGAAAGCATAGTACAGGGGAAAGAAAATGTAAAACCAATAGGGAAGGTCTGTGTCGAATCCTTCGCATCACCTGACTCCTGCATCAATTTGCCAACATTCTTAGCAAAGTGATCAAAAAGCTCGGTAGCTGTGGCAGTTCGATCCAATAATCCCTTAGGACGAAGAGCGGTGGCATGACGTAAACTAAATGTAGATTGAATACGCTCCATAGTACCTTTACCAGTGACATTTATACGTACAACACGAAGATTAGAACCACCGAAATCAATAGCGTAGTAACAACCTTTCTCATTACCAGTTGGCAAGTGCGTGATGTAGGAATCCAACATCTTGAAGCTACATTCATTTGGGAGCCAGAGATTACGATGGCGGCGGTGTGCCATCAGACCATTAACAAGTTCTGCATAAAAAGTCTGCGCCACATCCTTGAGGAACCTAATTGGAACATCTAACTGGCCAACAATCTGTTCCAGACGTAGGCTAGGGTCAGAATCAAGAACCTGAGTTACCTTGTAAGGAACCTCAACGGACTCAGCCGCCTGCCGAATAACTGAAATCTCTCCCAACATTTCATCAAAAAATATACGTTATATAACGAATGGCTATATCTAAGTACCACATTACGCACGCAATATCGACCTGCACATCTAGAACGCCTCGCCACGGATGTAGGGGTATAACCAAATTCTGCAAGAGAGTAAAATTATATGTCGAAGATCAAACTGTAACATATGCGACATAAAATATATATGCATGTTAATTACTCAACACACCACAGAAGAGCACATAAACACTCGTCGACACATATTATGTACAAGACGTAATGTGTAACGACAAAATAATTAAGGAATCATTATAGACAAATCATTTTATACACAAGCTCGCATCTATGTTTAGCAAACAACGACAAATACACACCTAGTACCCGTCTCATACAAGGTGGGCCAGCCGTGACCACGAATGCGCCTCTAATAGCTCCTCGATGTGCAGAGAATAACAGTATCTGCCCACAGATGTGTATTACGATTATTATCGGCAGAATGGAGCGAATAAGCGGAAATATATCAAGTAATTATGTCTCATTGCAAAATGACCAACGATGGTCCTAATAACAGGTGCAGACCACATGAAGGAATTACGACCATAAAAATATATATAACCGCAACGCAATATAGATATTTTTTCAAAGAAACATTTTAACCAATATACAACGCGTTATCATTTGTGAATAACGATATACATTTTTTGCTTCACGACACAGACACACCTTAAGATATTCGATAGAATACCCATGGCGCTGTAAATGTCAAAAAGAATAACATCGCATAGAGTTTATCGCAACTGGAAAAAACTGAGCTGAAAAAAACCAGTATCAGCGCCAATTGCAAGATTTAGTCAGCTGGCAATACAAATGCGGGGTACATCGAACTACACATAATGAGGAAGATGAGAAATATCGACTGAAAACGAAGTTGATACTCATCACGAAGGGAAGAGAGATTGGAAGTGCCATGGAAGACAACACGTTGTGGAAGAATAAGAACATGAAAATAGCATGACCAAGAGACGCTGAAAAAACCAAAGACAACTTCACCATGTCTACACAAGCGAAACAAATGAACACTATGTACCTTAAACCATCGGAGTTGCCAGATGATGATCCATGGGTTAAACTCATGAAAAAAAACCCAGGGTTCAAAAAAGCAATACAAATATCCCATATGGTAGGAGGAGTATACAAGACAGAAGATGAAGCAGATAAATACATAGTATATTCAAATTCTGAAAATTGCAGAGAAGTTGATATGCTATTCTTCAATTGTAACTGCCCAAGCCAAAGAGTGACATGCTCACATATTATGGCAGCAGCAATAGCAAATAATAATGAAACAGATTATATCGCCAAAGTAGCCATTATGGGAGAACTAGATATGAAAATTGTGGATATTGTTAATAGAAATAGAGGCAACACAAGTAGAATATCGGTACCAAAAATAGTCGCAAACAATTTCTTCAAACTAGAAACGAACGAACGGACCATCAAAATACTACTAGAAATGTTAACAGGAGTGATTTATCGATTAATGCAATCTGATTTTAAGGGACCATATAAAGACATTTTTAATGCAACAGTATCTGATAACGACAACAAAATGGAGAACATAGACTTAAAAGGTGCTAATACACTACCTTGCCAACTTCTACGAGCTTCAGATGAGGCAAATCAAAATCTTCATCAAAGACTGAAAGAGAACGATTTTAGTTTCAACAAACAACACGTAGACTATTTCTCATACGGAAAAGGGGAATATTACGATACAGACGACCCATACTTCCATGAGGGCAATTACGTAGGATGTGATGAATTGCACTTTGCGGTAGCAAGGATATTCAGGAGGTTCGAATATCTTATACAAAGCATAGGAAGGATTCTGAAACCGCCAGAAGGGTTGCCATTACGTGAAGCCGTAAAATTGTTGAAACCTATTGCAACGCAAATATTAGAGGAAGAATATGGCATAGACTGGTTACTACCAAACGAAAATAAGGATATAGAAGAAACATTGAAGTTCTTAATGAAGTCATATAATTATGAAAATGAAAACTCATACATTGTGGACGGATACGCACTAGGCTTTGATTACCTAACTGAACAAAAAATTCCAGCAACCATACAATATGATGAACTGACAAAATCAGGCACCAAAGAAATATTCGAAAAACAAATTATAGAACTACCAATGATGGCTGATATATACAGGGATACTAACTGGGCTGGAAAGTATCAACATTGCTGTGGCACACTCAAGCATATGCTGAAAACATGTCAACTCAATATTGATGATAAGATGATGCTAATCACATTAAATGATCATTCGGTCATCAAAGTGCCTACCACAAAAAAATTCGAAAAACCAGCGGATATTGTTAAAGAAATGAGACGAGCCATAGATCAAGATGATCCGAGGTCGTTCACTGCTCACGGACTCACACTGCTGATATTTGTAAAACGCATTGCACTACTACCATCGAAAACTGAACTGACAAATGCTATAAATACCATGTTCCATGCAGGGGAACGTGGACCAAAATTCGTAGCCGAATGTATAAACTTACTGCCAGATATGCTAGTAGTACCCTTCTTTAAAGCATACTTCGACTATACACTGGCACTAACGAAGGAATCGTTTGAAAAGATTGCATTCATTATGTCCCAAAATATTAAAAAGGGATGCATGACGCCACTGGTACGGGATAGAATGCTTCGCATTGAGCTATATTTCCAAATTACAGTTGAGGAGGAATGGGAAGAAAGCTCAAAGAAACACCTGGAAACCGATGCAACCGAGGACGCAGACGTTTGCAAGGGCAAACAAATGGCTATAAAACTGGAAGGTGGTGTAGGTTCAGCAAAACTAGACGATGAAAGTGCGTCCCTATTTATTAAAAGGGAAGATGAAATTGAAGGGGTCATAGCTCTCGCCAATCCCTTCATAGCTCCGAAACAAACCCTGTCGAACGATTTTCACAGCCGATTAAATGTTATTAAACTCAAACAAAACGCGATGAAACTAATAACAAGTCAATCGTCGTTGTCCTGCACGACTGTGGATAATGCGTCAGATAGAAATGCGAGCGTTGACACGGCTACACAGGACTCAACACAAGCAGAAAAGGGTATGTTAGACGATGTTAAAGGTCTCGGCAGGGAACTGAACTTATCGGAAAAGGATATACGCCACAGTTGTGCCATATGTACTCCTGGAAACATAGCGCTGAATGAGGACACATTACTTTGCAAGAAAGAAGAAAGTCAAATCACAAAAGTTGATGCTGATAGTGGAATGCAGAAAGTATCTGACAACACATCTTTTATAGAAGTAAAATCGTACAGTCATGCAGAAAACGTGAAACAAAACGATTTGGCCCCTGTGGAAAACCGTTACGAAGTTGATACTACACAAGGTGTAACTCAACCGTCACATTCGTTCATAGATTGTCAGAAAAAAGTGGACAGTATTACACTAGAAGAAACACATGATAATGGTAATACGCTCAGGGTTCATTACGATGGCACAGAGTGCTATCACCATAACAAGAAGCCACTGTCATACATGTTGGTGCTCAGTAACGAGTTCGTTGACCTTGTGGCCAGCGTGTCTGTACACGAAACTATCGATGCCTCAAAATACGTCTCCCCCATGAACATGAGGAAGAAACTAAAATGTCATACTAACAACGGAAAAACTCTAGATACGGAACGCAACAAGATGGTAGGATACTTGGGTGAAGAGTATGTATACGAACTGTTACAGGTACTACTCAGAGAGGAGTTGAAAGAAAATAAACTGACGGTTTTCTGGGTCAATAAACACAACGAAAGCGGACAGGCATACGATTTGTATCTGCGGAACATCAAAGGCGAAGAAGTTTTCATAGAAGTGAAAAGCAGCTCCAGTAATACTAAGAGCAATTTCGAAGTTAGCTACAAAGAATGGTGCTTCGCACAGCAGAAAGGGGCCAGATATGAAATATTCCGAGTATCTGGTGTGGGACATGATACCGTACAAGTATCACGACTCGTAAACCCATACTCCATGTGGAGATCAGGGTACCTGGGATTCTGCCTGTCCCTGTAACAACGGAAAACAACTTATCGCATTGTAATCTTAACACTTAATATACACGCTGTTGTTGGTATTAACGGTCAAAAACATGAAAAGACCAAACATATGGCATGCCACCAAGTTAAACCTGAAATAACACTATAGAGGTATCTATTGTAACTGCAGATAGCATCTAGACACCTTATGTGAGCACTGCAACTGCCACCGTTGGGGCACACAGAAGACTTGATACCGGCCGTGCAGCGGTACAACAGACACCAATGATAGCGATCATACCATAGAATCTTTATGTATTACATATATTGGTATCAATCCGCAATTGTTGGTATCGTGGCAGGAATCTTACACATCGCAGCAATACGCTCCACCTTGACCTTCCAGATATACACTGACGTAGTAAGCGGACAATATCGCACTGGTATATCTATCAGGCCAATATTCTATCGAAATGTTGCTAAAAATGTGAAAAGGCGTGTTAATGTGTTCCGATTTCACAACAAAAAAGACACAATGGGTACTATAAGAGGAGATCACTTCCGCTTTGACACGATCTCGATACAAAGGGAGGGTGTTGAGCCACCTCAATATACGGTATTTAGGGTGCCAGTGCCCCTGGAGTCCGAATTGGTCATGCCAGGCGAAGGTTGGTATTGTAACAATGGATCAATAACTAGTTGCAGAGAAGGACAAACAAGATGTGCAAACTGCAGAATATACCTCGACAACTCCTACAATGCCATCGCAACAGAATGCTGTCACCGTGAGACCACCGTTCAGAGATTTCATACAACACAACATGGCAGCAGTGGAAAATAAAATGGGCGTACGGATGAGTCTCAATCCACAAGGCGGCTCGTTTGTTTTGATAGCCAGCGGAGGACGTGCACAGGAAGCAATTAATGAGATGCTAAACATGTGCCGCACGAGCAAAGTCTACAATTATTACTTATGCTTCCCAGTAAGGGGTGCAGAGTTCCACAATGGATTCGGTGAACTCAAGCAACAAGTAAAAAAATGCATAGGTAAGTGAAAATTAAACTATAAGTCATATTTATAAGGACACAATGTCGCTTTCGAAAGACGACCGCATGTAACACTGGCATTATTAAACCTGGTCACGGATGAAGATGTAAATGCAATGGTCAGGGCACTACAGGCTACCACACTGGCGGTAGCACCGCTCTCATTAGATGACGACGGGAAACACAAACCGTATACAATAGAGCTTAGTGGTGTCAAATCTATAAGGTATAAAGGGAAAGCGTCGAAACGCAGCGTGTTTATGACAAACGCAACACCGAATGAAACCTTACATGATATTGCAACTGAATTTCAGGATTCAGTGAAACGGACAATCAACAAAATCATTGCCAAATCGAACGAACAAATCAAAGTTACTAAGACTAAACCCGGCAATAAAAAGGACAATATCGGGAAAATGACAGAAAAGGAGGCTGCAGCACACGGGATATTCATCACACACGGAGGAAACATAGAGGTCACATACACCGATATCGCATTAGTAGACCCAAAAGCAATTATAAGTGACCAGGAGCTCGATGCTATACTGGCAGAATTACACAGCAAAAATAACGAATTCACTGATGAACAGCCGTCGAGGAAAGACAACGTTGGAACTGCCGCAAAGCACAATAGAAGGGGCAATAAACAATCTGATGAAACCCAGCGGAGCAATGCTGTACAACATCCGGAAACCCAAGAGTCGGATGGAGATGTGGAGTACAAGGAAGAAGAAGATGCTACGCAAGAAGACGAAAATATAGGAGATATGTATGATTACGATCCTTCTGTAACCCATGAACTACACGTTACACTACTACGGAATCCAAATGTAGAACGACTAGAACATCTCAAATTCAAAGCGCAAGGTGCTATCTCGTGCGTGGAATTGCGACCACGCGGTGATGAAAACTGCTCATTCAAAGCGTACACAAAAACGCAACTACTAAGCTTTGTAGGGAACAGATATGACGGAAAACCTACGGATGAACACGGTGTTAACCACATCAAGGGTTCTGAACAACCAGACCTGCCTCAACACCTTGTCACTGACGTGGGCGCAACAGAAGGGAATGACCATGGCACACGTTTTGTGTTCTGGATTTGAAATTATGCAACACAAAAACATGATAAGGCCCATTTTATCGCACGGGATATCATGACACTGCTTGAATTTATGTCAAATTTACATACGATTGACACTCAGAGCGCATGTGACCTAATGAAACTAAAAAATAATAGTTAACATTCACACGAAGGTAAGGTGTAATGTTTGTCAGTTTTCATAATGTTGTGATATTCGTAAGCGTACGAAACGGCGGCCATTGCGTTTCCCTCACCTGTTTCACTAACTGCGACTCGTCTGTAGCAGAATCGGGGTCATACCACTCGAACGGAATTGCGCGTTTTTTGTCCTCCAGCATGATCTTAGCAGTAGACCAGCTAACACGCACGAAAGAAGAAAAACCAAAAAGCCTATCCATATGTGATGCCAAAAAGTCACGGGTCACCGCATCACCAGGATACCCAGATCCTACTTTGGCGCTATCAGGAGTATCCTTGTACCATGATTCTATCATGTTGTCACGAATGACCTTCGCTACAATAGATGCAGCGCTTACAACAGGGTACTTGGAGTCAGCCTTGGTAGCTACCTGTAACAAAAATGAGTACTGTGAAACACATGAAATGGATATCGTTGTCGTAAGTAACATTACTTACCACACACCGCAGGTCAGGAAACAGAGTCTTTAGCTTGGCCTCGTAATGTGCAGGCGACCCAACAGCGTCAATGTACACCTGCAACAAATTTATTATGTACAACAGCAACATACTTCTTTGACGTTGAATCCATGCGATAAGAAGTGTCGAATCAGCGCAATGGCAGAATCGTGCGATATACTATTTAGGTTGTAGTCGTCCCTGAGCACTTTTAACATAGCCACAAAATAGACAAACCTTCGTGTCATCTTATAGCTGATATATTTAGGAGTGATGATCTCGGCGCTTAAGGCAAACGGACGATCCGGTGAATTCAGTTCTTTAAACATGGCTTGACGAAGTACAACAGACAAAGTCTTAGAATCGTCGACACCGATCTCCTTCTTCAGCAAGTCTCGATATTCGGAGCCAATGGGACATGCAAAGCCTCCATAGACCATAGGACCCAAAACTGGACCCCTGCCAGCTTCATCAATGCCTAAAACACAATGAAACAAAACAAATAATAGCAACACACCCAGCATCAGAGGAAGAGACCTATCGGTGATTCCCGAACGGAAGATACGAAAACAACGGAGATTATCGTTATTCATAGTGAGGTGTAATGTTTTACGAAACACACATCCATTATTTTGAACACCTGGACACGAATAATCCAAGAGTCCGTAGGGTAAATGTTAACCGCATTCACGTTGGATATTACAGTTTGATAATAAAAAATGAGATAATATAGTGATAAATAGAGACGCATATGTCGGATTCTTCCATTCAATTGTATATATCACACCCCCTAACATACACATTAAAGCCATTGGTGCCGCGTATGAACGTTGGTCAACATCTAACTAACTTTAAAAGCGACATATACGCTATCTCATACACAGTCACAAGACTAATCTACAACTTCATTGGATGAAGTCTTCGCAACTAAAGTAGACGGGGCATTCGAGTCCATCTACATTCACAGAAATCGGCCACAACGAACTGCTCGTATATGGGACATTTAGGAAGCCTCGACTACATATTATATATGATATGACCCGATTTAATGGGTTTGTGAATACCAAATCATGAATGTTTGTTGATCGAGAACCCGTGTTCCGATGGCCGCTATGGACAACACAGAGGAAGAAGTAAGGAAACATAAAACATATCGCATCGCAAAGAAGCGGAGTGAAAGCAAAGATGTAACCATATCGCAACAAAATGACACTACTCAAGCAGAGGATGGCAATACTAATATAGAGGCAAATGATATAGAAGAACTCATACCAGATATCGAGGATTACCTTGATGGAGCACTCTCGACAGAGGCAACCAATGCGGCAATTGAATTGCCACCAGTTGTCAAATTCAGAAAAAACTGGTCTCTTTCAGTCACAGACTTGTCGGCACAGTTATGGTGTGAAAAACAAATCGAACTTGTACTCATCACAGGAAGAAAAAGAGTAACCAAAGAGATGGAAAAGGGTGTTGAAAGACATGAACAACTTGAACTGGACGATCACGATATTGTGCAAGTAGAGGTACATACAAATGAAGATTACCTGGGCATCAAACTACTCAACTCAATCAACCTCATCGAACAACTTATGGAAACAGGAAAGTGCCGAGAGCTATGGCTATTCGGAAACTTCAACGGATACATTATACGTGGTATAATAGATCAGCTAGAACTCATACCAGCAGGAAGTAGTGGCAGCAAACAAGTGCTTATATCTGACACAAAAACACGGAATCGAAAATCTAAACCAAGTATATCACAGATGCAAGGGGCTTCACTGCAGGTACAAACATACGGCATTATGTTGGAAAAAATGAGAAGTGACGAAGAACAGTTTGATGCATTATATGCGGCATTCGAGTGTGACAAGAATGCGCCATTTGTATCAGAAGAACTAACAGCAGAGGGGTGCCTAGCGACACTGGAGAAGAGATTCCGCAACGCATTCACTCAGCTGCCGGAAGTAGCTAATATAATGCAGCTGTCATACGAGTATGAAGGAAAAGTATTTAACACTTCTGATATACCATTACAGAAGCAATCTACAATGTACACAATCCAATATCTATGCGATTTCTGGGATGGCTACCGAGAAGCACAGCCAGTAAGAGTAAGTTACAATACCATCAAGTCACATAAATGCAGAAAAACGAGGCATGGAAGTGTAAAATGTGCGAATTTAAGGACGAATGTGAGGTATCGCCACTATTTATACCCGCAACCAAAAAAAACAAAGCGGACGCCGGGCAGCTGCTGTTAGATAACTTTTTGCAAAAGGCAAACACAAGTTAAACGGGCATATGAACCAGTCCCCCGATGTGACTATATTAACGATGCCGCTTTAAATTGAAGGCTGGCTGCCTAAAACTACGGTGTAGCAAATTATAATCTCACACTATAGGGACAGAAGATTATAACTCATCAGGTTACAAGCATTTTGATATACTAATATAGTGCTAAATATTATCTATAAAACGGCGGCGACCCTACGTCGCGACGGCATATATCACCCATAGTGTTGCACATTTTGGTGGTTGATATTACGCGCCATCTACACTTCAAAATTAGAAGGTAATATACATTATAGGTGTTCTAACTATATACCGCAAAAATGATGCGGAAGACGCTCAGAGAACGCCGAGAGTACCTCTTCTCAAAGGCGCAAGAGGATAAACAAGCTACGTCACTGAAAAAGGCCAGAAAACTCAAAGAAGCATTGAAAAATAACAAACCTATACCTACAGAACTAAGGAATCTTAGCGGAGAAGTACACAGCTCGCTGGACTTGCTTGATGATCATCACCGCGAGGAACACACGCACGCTGATGACGAATATGCTTTCGTAGGTACGTTAGCAGTGGTAACTACTTGGCAATTTACAAAACAAGTGCTATATAAACCCACTCGAGTATCAAATGTAGCATTATAACTAATACGCAGGGATAAAAACACCGAAGGTCATGGTAACCACCTCACGTGACCCTTCATCCAGGCTAGCACAATTCGCTAAAGAAGTCAGACTTATAATACCAAACTCCGAGCGTATGAACAGAGGTTCTTACATACTTAAGGATCTAGTGACATTCTGCAAATCCAAAGATGTATCCGACATTGTTCTTCTCTATGAACACAGAGGGGAGCCAAATGCCATGATTATATCGCACCTTCCACATGGCCCAACTGCATACTTTCAGCTATCGCAGGTAGTCTTGAGGCATGACCTACCAGAAAAACCGCCCACAATGTCTGAGGTAGGAGGCAAAATTAGCTATTAAACATATAACAACAGGCATATCCACACCTCATATTCCATAATTTCACATCGCAATTGGGCGAAAGAGTTAAAAATATAATAAGGTACATGTTCCCACCTGCAAACGAAGATGAGACACGTGTACTCTCATTCGTCAATAAACGGGACCTGATACATTTCCGACACCATGTATGGGCGTCAAATAACCGGGAAGGTAAGCAAAATTTGTCATACCTCGAAATAAAATGTGCAGGAGACGAAAAAGAGGTACAATTAACTGAAGTTGGACCCAGGTTCATTATGAGGCCCTTCAAAATAGAACTAGGTACAGTGGATATGCGTAACCTTGAGACGGAGTGGGCACTAAGACCTTATTTCAATACAAGGAAACTGGCACTTACCGCAGAGTGACAATAAACGTCGACCATTTTTCGGTCATAATTGTATATCGCAACAAATACATATGCAATGACATTAAGTGTATCGATCATCATATGAGGTGATGTCAACGTTAAAATGTTTGAATTGCGATGGTGACTTAGCATTATCGTTGTAGAGCCACCTATAAGAAACGTCAAACAACCGTTACAATTTTGCCGCGGAACAAAGGTAGTAGTGGTTCAAAAGAAGCTGCTTCAACATAGACGAACGACTTCCGTGCTTTTCTACCATTGTGGTATCGCCTGAACCAGCACCAATGTACTTCATTGAACCGCTGCGCCATAACTCCCCAGCAACAACAAGCCCGCCATGAGGAGAAGTACTCTTTAACCTCGGCCGTTTACGACTGCTAACAGAGCTCATTAGACGAGCCTTCTTACGGAATGTAACATCTGCCTGTGGTGAATCATGCGTTTCCATGACGGTTCCGGATTCAGGCGATGAGTCCGGGGGCAGAGATGTCCTCTCTTTCCTGTCATCCGAATCAAGGTCACGGAAACTCAAAGATAGAGACACACTGCGACTATCACTCCTCTTGTTGGCATCATTAGTGCTGCTACCAGGGGTAATGTTCTCCTCACTGAAATTAGAACAAGCATTGCGAAGTCGCTGCGCCAAGGGCACACGGATCCGGTAAAGCAAATTTCGGCTGTACACGGGAATAGACTTCTTCGCAGAATCTATAGGGCTAGTGCTAGCATCGACACCACAACCACCAGTTGCTGATGTAGTCAGAGCTTGAGATAGTGCGGGACCGCCAGTGGCACACATTGGACTAGTTCCCATCTCGACACAGTGGCGGTGGACCATACGCCCAAGCGGTAACTCAGACGTCACAACATCATCTTCTTGCATAGATTTATGAGCTTCAGAAGCGTTATGCATCTCTACCAGCGCGCAGACAGAGGCACCCTCATCCGCTTCAGAGGGGGCATCTGTAGATGCCTGGCCACTGCTAGACATGGATTTCAAAAAAACGTTGTCTTCATCGATTATTGAATCGTTACTGTGGTACTCATCATTATCGCCTAACGTTGAAGTTGGAGATGCTGCCACGCCTGTGCAAAGCAATGATGAAGGTACATCTGCTCTCAAAACCTGCTCACCAGGACTTCCAAGTAAAGTCCTCTCTGAATCGCGCTCCTCATCATGACTCAGATAAATGCTTGAAGTTATACTAATGAAATCCAATGAACAAGCGGGAGCCGAGTGATAATTGCGAGCAAGCAATATTGCCAGCTGTTCCGACCTAGTTGTTGGGGTACTAGTTTCACGGTTTACATGAGGCGAGATAACAGTAGACACTAGAGAATCCACACCAGAGTCAGAAGCTGCGTCAGAGCTTATCAAAGGAGTCGCACAACCTTCATCACCGAAAGGGTAACCCCGATCGCATGACACATAATCAGCATGCTCGGTGGGTGGACGCAGCATCAGGGTATCCAAAACAGACACCCGCCCACTGCTACTCGCAAGACTCACTTCACGGGTCAACTTCGGCATTCCGTAAAGAAATCCAAAATTTGGACAGACTGTGTACACATCAAACTACAACACACTAATGTAAATCGAAGAATACAGATGCGTAGACGTAGTGGAACTTTCTTGACACCTTTACACACCTCGACTAGCCGTAAAATTAACCTGCCATAGCCATATCTTCACAGAACGAAATACGTGAATCCGAGAGCAGGCTAGAAGATAAGCCGACACACCCAATCCGATAACTTCACAACACTTATAAAATCAATTTAAAGCTTGTAATGATCGTATTGAAACTATCGACTAATGAATGTGTGACGCGCGAATCGGACTGCACAACCACGACGTCTCCAACGAATTGACACCTGACACATACACCTTTACGCTAATCACAGCAATTCAAAATTAAAATAAATAACAATTGGCATACAAAGGTTCCCGACTCCATAAAAAACGCTATCAAGAATAACGCTAGCCTATGGAGAGTAGGTCAATACCACGCGCCCACTAAAACCAGCACCAGGCGGGAACTAGACAAACCTAGATCTGATCATATAATAGCACAAAGAATTCTAATAATATTTGGAGGTATAAGGAATACTCACATCGCATTGTGGCGACATCGTCAGAGCATAGACCTGTGACGGTGAAACTATATCCAGCAACTTAAGAAACACGCTCTTAACATCTCAGCATAGATAATCATTGATCTTCATAAAACCTAATCAAGCACTTCCAGGGCCTGTTGGACCGCAGAGGTTGGACACGTCACAACTTCAAGAGGAGTAGCAAGGGGAAGCGAACGCCTTAGCGGCTAATCGCAGAGCCTAAAACGGAAAAATACCCGGAACGAACTATCTCCAAATGAACCAAACCAAGACAAATACCATTGATACAAAATATGGAATTACAGACCCCGTCAGCACGGACGGACCTGCAGAAGGTGACAGAGAAGCAACCGACGAACTCATGAAATTCCTAAAATCGCAAAATCTATTCGAAACTAATGAAGGTAAACATAAACGTGAGAAGGTTCTAGAATCACTTAACCGAGTATTGCAACAATTCGTACGCAAAAATGCAGCGCGACAACTAGGAATCGGAGATGATGAGGCATCCAAAATATCAGCAAAACTACTCACTTTCGGATCATACAGGCTAGGTATTGTCGCACCCGATAGCGATATCGATTGCCTCTGTCTATGTCCGCAGTCTGTTACAAGAGAAGCATTCTTCGGGGACTTTTACGCCGCCCTTAAACTCATACAAGCCATCACGAAGCTACATGCCGTACCAGATGCTTACACTCCTGTTATTAAATTAGTGTACGATGGTGTAGATATCGATCTGTTGTTTGCCAGCCTACCAGCACAGACAGTGCCAGAGGAAATCGATGTACTCGATGACTCAATACTTAGAAACATGAATGAACCCACAGCACGCAGTATTAACGGATGCAGGGTAGCGGCACTCATACTCTCACTGGTACCAAACAAAGACAATTTCAGGACAACACTGAGATATGTCAAACTATGGGCAAACAGAAGAGGACTATACACTACTGTCATGGGATATATGGGTGGTGTTGCATGGGCTATACTTACAGCACGTGTATGCCAATTGTACCCAAACTTCCTGCCTAACCAGCTCATACAAAAGTTCTTCAGAGTATACGCACAGTGGAATTGGAAGTACCCAGTCATGCTATGCAAGATTAAGGAGGTACCCAACCTGCCGGGATATATGAGCTTCAAGGTATGGGATCCCAGAAACAACCTAACAGTAAGTGCTAAAATAAATAAAAACCCAAACAAGTTTCACAGGATAGGCAACACCTCATGCCGGTTATCACACCGGCATTCCCGGCGATGAACTCCACTCACAATATCACTCTCACCACCAAACGCATACTCACAGAAGAGTTCAAACGTGCATATGATCTATTAAAGGCATCCAGAAAGGCGGCCGATATGCGCAAAGTTTGGGAACAGGTTCTAGAAAGGGAAGACATGTTCGCATCGCACAAACACTTCCTGGTAATAGAAGTCCTTGCGACAACAGAACATGTACGTAACCTAAAACGCAATATAAACTTTAACACAGGTTCATGGGAAATGGGAAGGCTGGATAGGCAGCAGGATGCGGTTCTTAATTAAGAAAATCGAACATGTACCAAACATCCTAGTAAGGCCGTGGCCACAGTTCTTCAAGTACGATGTAAGCTTGCTGATAAAACGCAAAAATTTAAACACAGCACAACGAGTGGGACTATGCTTCATGTGTATTCTTCGGATTCAAGTGCAAATTGCCCGAAAAAAATAACTCGAACACTGAGCCGGCAGCAAAGACTTTCGACATGAGAATGTCTATAAAAGGATTCAAGGAAATCATCAACAGCTGGACAGAAATGGACGCGTACAAGGATCAAATCGCAGTCAACATACGTTATCTCAAAAACTCACAGCTGCCTGCCTTCGTCAACCCAAGACACAAACGACCCATCGACGAGGTTGGATAAATAGTAAGAAACAGACCTTCGAAAAATCACGTAATACGTCGTGAAACTGGTATAAATTTAGTTTTAATTGTGTTGAAATGGCAAATTTTATGTAAAAATGTCCGGTGACCCGGAATCGAACCGAGGACCATCAGATCTACAGTCTGCCGCTCTACCAACTGAGCTATCACCGGCGTTGCTAGGACGACGAATCAATGGGTCAGTATCATATCTAACATGAAATTATTAATCATAAGGTCAACAACATCTAAGGAAATTTATTTAGAATGCACTAGTGAGCAATATGGAGAATGATGGCATGACCTCATATGACGATGAAGTTACTCAATATTTGATGAATAGAAGCTATTTCGGCAATATCCTGATCGACGACTTCAGGGGAAATCACCGTTACGATAAAATGTCTAACACAGTTTTGAAGCATTCATTAGCGGCACCTAATATGTTCACCACGGCAGTCGATGCGTGGCCCCTTATCTACATTGCTAGTGGACTGAAAATGGTAAGGCGGCACTTCAGGTCTACGCCACCACACCAATGTCTATTAAGGAAAATAATGAATATGAACTGAGCAACGGTTAATTATCTGATTGAAGTGGTATAAATTCGAAACATCCATCACAACTATTAAAGATAAGGTTTTAACTTTAGTCTACAAAATCGAATCCCTCCAGGTGATGTGCTCATGAGGGCTGTCAAACAACGTTGCCAGGCTACAGCGTCTGCTACGATAATCGCTATTCACAGGTTGGTGAACTGTTTCAACTCCTCGCTACAAAGTCATGGGATGGAGACTAAAAGACTTACGGCGGAAAGGGGATCATCAAGTACAGCTTACCACCAGGACCACGTGATTGCTCGATCAGCTGCGTAAGTTTCAGCGCAAAAGAACGGTAAACTCACATTGTGCGTTATGAACTCCGTAAGGAGAGCGTCCAATTTGCTCTCACTATTGCAAATGGTAATTGCACGACGTTCCCGCAATAGGCCATATTTTTCGATACCATCGAAACGCTTGCCGCTACTGCACTCAGCCAATTGAATCTTCGCAATCAAAGAGAACAATTGGCGGTGGTTCACGTTCAAAGCAGCAATGATGGCTTGCAGCTCACCTGCACTTCTCTGGTTGTCCTCACGCAAAACATAACGAGGAGGCGTCCGGTCCCACAGGGACACCAGTTCGGAGCTGCATAATTAGATTAAGACACAATGCGAAACTTACCGGTAGTCCATACCAGTATTAACACACACCAAACGGTAGTTTCGTAATATCGGATCCAACGAAGGAACAATCAAACTTGAACGTAAATGGTCCATCGTACCAACCAGGTGCACCTGAAGCTATGTGGACAACTTTGTCACAGCGACTCACATTTCCGACCCTCAATAGTGGCCTTAGTGTGCGTAAGGCGTCGCTTATAGCCATTACCTCTAAACCCAGCACCACGAGGTAAAAGGGCTTATTAAGCTTTGAAACGCAAGCTAATACAGTCTGGATAAGATGAAGAGGCAGGGCGCAGTTCAACCATACCTTCCGAGACTCTGCTAGAGTGACCTTCTGCTTGCGTGAAAACAACCGGCGTCTCAAGAGGTGCCAAATATTATCGCACGTAGTACCTTTCAGACGGTGACCATCTATAGTTAGGCATGCTCCGTCACTGCAAGCTCATTGAAGCGTAAACCACAATGACGTAGCGCTTACCGCAACGCAACCTCCATAAAGGAGCGTATCAATTGGCGCTTTGACCCAGCACCGTAGAAACAGAGATGCTGCCCATTTATCAGCCAGCTTTTCCAAACGAGAATGTCGTCAACGAGCTGCGGTCGAAGCTGCAAAAGTATCAGGGCCATTCATTACCGCAAACACGTCTTAGATTAACGAAAGAAACCAAATACCAAAATATTTTCAAATGACAACCAAAATAAACGTAGCACTACAAACCTTAACCTTGTCGACGCTCAAGGACGAAATCAACCTTGAAAATCCTAAAGTATCGCCCTTATCTAGCACCGACAGTAAAGTCTCTTCTAGTCTTGAGCAGTCCTTCGAACCTTTGGCGTCGGCTGAAACAACATCCTTGTTACTGAGCAGTTGCGATTCTATGCCAGATATGTCCAAGCGCTTAACGCCCTTAGGAGCATAATAATCATGCAATATCGTATCTTCAAGGTTTGGAAGAGAAGCCGAATCATTGCCTCGTGATCTGAAGAGGGTCTATGACAATGTGTGTAACACAAACCGTAGCTGTTTCAGCTTGTCATGCCCAGCAGTCCGCATATCGCCAGTAGCTAAAGGTTCCGGGTTCTTATTACCAGCACTCTCCGTAGATGTCTTAGCATTCTCTCCATTGTCCGATGTGTCATCGGAGTCCAGTGACGAGCTATCGTCCCCAGAAGCATCGTCCTCATCAGAGACCTCTACACCGCCGAACTTGTCGACGCTGCGCAAGAGCGTCGCAACATCAAAGACGTCAGCGCCCTCATCCGGAGACTTTTCCGGGGTGTCTACATTTGTCGCAGACAACTCACGATGGAAGATTTTTGAAATGGCGAATGGCAATGCAGGATCGGCAGCATCCCTGAAGATGGACATATCCACCTGTTGATCACGAGCAGAGTGGAGATATTTGGAACTTAAACCGAGCATGTAGCTAAGCGGTGATATAATCTTGGCGCGAGGTGCCGCGTAATTATTCTGCAACTGAACAACGCCACTGTTGAAATGCTCCAGAAGCCAGCGCATATGCTGCTTCATTCCTTTGTGCAGGGCCTCATCATCCATCACCTGAGACGAGTCTCCTGTGCGCCTTCTCTCATTAGGCGAGTAGTCAACGACATGAACATTAGGACAACGGGGCACGCGACGACGAGTGTCCAGAGATATTCCAGTCGACACCTCTGGCGGGAGCTTTACCTCCACACCTTCCCATGCTACGGGAGCGGAGGTACGCGCTGCCTTACTACCGTTCATAGGGGTAGAATAGAAGCACTGGTTAAATAAGCGTCACGCAAACAGACGGACTGCGAGAAACAGAATCCTGGCTAGCACGACTCTTCACATCTATTTAATAAAAACGCCTCAAATGAAATACACAAAATTGCAGCTGCGCTTCTCAAAGATAAAAATGGATGCATGAAGCTTCACTTTGATAGAGAAGTCATTCAAGATACTTTCATGGCCGATAGAGACGGTGACGAAAGGGCGTATACCTTAATAGATACGCGCTGATGGATGAGAAATTACCATCTAAGATGGTACATCTAATGTGGCACAAATATATAGATTTGGAAGAGCGTCAAAGTGTGTGATGAATGCGGATGACCATCGCACGTCACCACGGCCAAGAAGGTGTAGTCCGCAGAGCGACGGGAAAGGAATGACTAATGTGCCGCTAGTATTTTACACAATTGATCGTAATAGTTAAAGCACAAGACTAGACAATTAGGAAGCGCGCGACAACTGATTGTTGCGCTCGACAGAGGACGGTCGCCATTGTGTACTCCGATTATTACAGTGCCTGCAGTTGTACGTCATGTAGCCGACTAGATTCCCTAGTTTTATTTGTATAATTTGACCAAACAAAAAGAAATATAACGGATTTCCCGAACACAGGTGCCACGACTCATCGCATCTTCCTACACACCAGATCAGCGATATCAATAGGAGGGCCTTATTTACCTAACCTTGCGACACCACATATTCTATATTTTCGGACGATTGTGTAGGATACACACGTCTGTGTTCGTAGGAAGGAAGTGACAACCACGGATGAACTCCGCCTAGGAACCTCACCGAGCCAGCGAAAGCAATAATTGCACGCCCAAGCTAATGTCCAAAGGATACAAGTTAGACTGGCACCATTAGAGAGGGAATTCCATTCGAACCACAACCGCAAACACACGGGAGTTCTGGTTCCACAGCGGGAGTAAGGCAACCAACACTAACACGGAGTTGTCTACAGAGCAGTCACGTCTCCCACTAACGGCTATAGAATTTAGGGAAACGTGGCGCTACATCGCATAAACTAAGGAAAAGAAGAAATAGACAACGCTACGACCAACCGGATAACCTAAATTACAGGATGAAGTTTAACACATTTGTATTGATACTGGTATCCATCAGCTTCACATCGGCGAGGGCGTGGCACATATTTGGAGATGAGCCACAACCGGATCCGTTCGCTGGAAAGAAGTGCCCGTACAAGGTTTTGGGTATATCTAAAGCAGCCACCTCAAAGGAAATTAGACGAACGTTCCTACAACTGAGCAAAAAGTACCACCCAGATGTTAGCAAGGAAGAGGATGCCGCGGACAAATACAAGGAAATTAACGAGGCTTATGAAATTCTCAACAACACAGAAAAAAGAAGAGCATATGATGAAGGAGGTTTCCCCGCACTCATGCGCCTTGCACAGGGAGGAGGCGATGATGCATATGACATCAATGACATATTTTCAAGCTTCTTCGGATTTGGAGGAGGTCGCAATAGGGAAGAGGCAATGAGAGCTGAACCCCTAGTATATCCAATCGCTATCCCACTGGACGCCCTGTACCATGGACAAGAAGTGGGTATCAGAGTACAAGTAACACGCCTATGTAAGAACTATGATGACTGCGAAGTCAATAGACCGGATTGCCAGGGGCATGAAATCAGGGTTGTCACAAGACAACACTCACCTGGCATGTTTCTACAGCAGCAAATCAGGGATCCTACATGCGTTGGGAGAAATAAGGGATGGAAACCAAACTGCAAAGTAAGTGACATTAATATATCAAAATACATTATTTAGGCATGCCCGAATGGACCAACGTTTATGGAGGAAGTCAGCCTAGACATCACCATAGAGCCGGGATCAAAACATGGGCAGCAGATCGTCATTGAAGGACGTGGTCAGGAAAAACCGGGACTGCAGCGTGGGCATATCATATTCATTATTGAAGAGAAAAAGCATCAAGTGTACCGAAGGGAGGGAAATGACCTACACCGCAATCTAGATATCACGCTCAAAGAGGCACTACTCGGGTTCAACAAAACAATCGACCTATTCGGCGAAAACATAAAAGTTGCGCAGACTGGAGTCACACCGCACAATCACATTATCAAAATTGCTCAAAAGGGAATGCCTAGCAACGATCACGGAGGATTCGGGGATATGTATATATCAGTAAATGTCATTTTCCCGAAAAGACTCACTGACGGGCAAATCGTGCTATTGCAACAAGCTCTTTAAAATAAGAAACACATATTATACACAGATAGTATACATTCCTTGATGCTTAGCCTTCGCGTTCTGCCGCGACTAAGATGCGATGCCAAGCTTCTTGCAAATACGGCCGCCAGAGCGGTCTCTACAGCGACTGGAGCCAACACATCTGCGTATAAAGGCTCTAAGAATACAACAAATGGTACAAAGACAGCGAGGAGCTGGCAAACGGCAGCCACCTCGCCGCAAACCGTGGTACTCATGGAGCCAACTACACTGTGTAAAACTTTCATCCAGACGAGCAAGGAAGGAAAGTCTTCTAAGGTAAACAATAGTTCTAGATATGTATACAACGTAGGCTACATGGAAGGGGCATATAAGAAGGGCTATCGAAATCAAGGACCAACTAACGTTCAAGCACATAGCCATTCTCATACACAGTTGTGCAAACGCAAGGATCGATGGCAAACAGCTTCAATCCTTGGTTCATGGTTTGCAAGGCAACATAATGGCGTATCTTGAGCGGTCGCTAGCCAACATCGCAACAGGAACTACCAAGATTGAACTATACCACATCTACAGCATTTTGCATGGAGTCATCGCTAGTGGCTATAGCAACCCTGAGATGACTGTAATGCTTAAGGAAGCTGCTATGGTGCAATTTAGGAACCTGTCTAGTGATGCAGGTGAAGAATCAATCAAACCATTCATATTTGAGGATATTGCAGGGATAATACATGCGCTCGCGCAGATGCAGGCCGAAGTTGACCAAAGAGACATAACAATGATACATAACGTCTTCGTCAAACTCTATGAGAAAGATACACGTGGTGAATCGACCATTTCTCACCGGGCATTCGCCATAATCGTAAATACGCTGGACCGACTAGGGTGCCATACGCAGACACTCGGTCAAATAATCTCCGAATACATCCAAAGACATGTTCATGCAATGAACAATATCAAGGACGTGGCTATGATATACTGTACAGCAACCAGGATCTATCCGCGTATACATAACATCGACGACGGTAAATGCTATAACTGGGCTACACGAACTCGAATTGGTCAAACTATGGCGCTTACTGGTGACACCACAGTGAATTGCGGTTCCAAAGAAATTCGAATGGACAATACATTTGGGCAATGTGACATCATACACCTTACCTCACTCGTTATACGCCAGCTGATCCAACCTGATGACCCAGGAGGAAATGTTTATTCAGACGTCAAGAGCATAGCGAATATTGCAGCACACGCCGCCCCGTTTGCTGAAATAGCGGATGAGGAACTGCTGGAACAATTCGGCGTTTTCATAGGCAACGCAATTCAGAGAGCTATGCAAAACACGACTATTGATCATACGTCGCTGGTACATCTCATGAGCTGTGCTATTAGGTTGAACCGGACATATGATGCCATGATAATGCTAAGTTCCGACAACATAGACTGTGTTGGCATGTTGGCGACGCCACAGGAATTCGCCAAACATATGGCAAATATTCATGCATTGCGATCCAAACAGAGCGACGAAAAGGTCACAAAAATCATGGATTCAATCGCGGTCACCAACATGCTACACTTTCAATACAGGCTTGAAAGACCACCACTCACCATAAAGCCCAAACCTCAACGCAGACGTAACCTACGTGACCTGATAATAGCCGAAAGCAAAAAGGACTCACATGTGGAAAACATATGTATATTTAACGACCTGGACAAGCACTTCAAAGGCCCTAACGGATTCTCCTTATGTGCGAAAACACTTGCCGCAATTGGCGTTTTTAGTGGCCACAAATCGGCGGTAGAAATTGCTCAGAGGATGGTAACCACAATGCAACACATATGTGCATTTGATAACATATACACTAATGTCGAATCTATTGCTGCGGCCGCAACAGGGCTATATAGGTGAGAAAACATTGTCGACACAAACACAATCTTCAGGTTCAGGATAAAGAATGAGGACCTACTCCGACGCATGGCTTTGGAGGTCAAAAAGAATCTCAATGCAGTGCATCATCCAGCCACACTAGTACAGATGCTAGTAGCATACGCCAAGTTAAGCTGCCCACTCAACAGGGATATAAATAGGGGACTAGTTGCATCACCCGGCAACAAACGTCACACGAGATCAAACAAATGGCGCAGCAATCAACAGGTTTATGAGCAATTATTTGTAGATGTTGCTCGATTCATCGTGTCCAAGAAGCTGATTAAGCATCTGAACACGCAATCGACTGTCAATGGCATTTTCGCGGTTGCCCTGGCAGGAATGGGTCATCGCATCCCTTCTTTCTTATATAAGTTACTGGTCAAGTTGCGAAAAGAATACCCTGGTGCTCTCAAATTTCAAGAAATGGATAAGCAGTACAAAATCGCTACGACAGTTTTGGGAAAAACATGTAACAAACAGAGCCGGTTGATATGCCGTGAGCTCAAGCGATTACGCAAGGTCCAACTTAGCAACGTAAAAGGTGCGATTGCAACCAAAGATGATACTGTAAAATATTACGATGCCCAGAGGGTCACGGTCTCAGGTAAGTTCAACCGTAACTGCAAGCGATAATTCGCAGGGCTGCACAGGGATGTATGGAGATATCTTGCTACCGGATGCAACGGCGCCACAATACGATCTGAAGTGCCGTGTAGTAAAGGTATATACTACATAGATATGGTTGTTAAGAGAGGCATCCTCAAGACATACCTCGAAGTCGACGGACCAACACACTTCATCCATGCCACTCACGAAGTGATGCCAATATCAAAGCTGAAACATGCCATACTCAGAATTCAGGGTAAAAGGGTTATTCACGCGCCGTATTACTCATGGCAGCAGGCAATGCTACTACTGAAGCCAAATGTGCAGGGCTACAATAGACACGAGAGGACTCCGGCGAAGAACGGCTCACGAAATAGTTAAATGGTTCTAAAGTGGACACATATATTTTTTAAATGTCTATTAGTATTCTGGCTGCTGCAGTACACCAATATAGCTCACTCATCGCGCCAAGTCTGCGCAGAACAACGAAGGCGACCAGGGGGAAGGAATTCGCATCTTTCGGCATCATTCCTTGTACGAAAGGGTCCGCAATCCGAGTACTGTAATCAGAGAGTGACTAGGCATAGCTTGCAAAGTTCAAGCAGAGAGCCATTTATCAAAGACGTCGCAGCTTACGACCAGTTTCCGAAGTTTGCGCAAGGAAGATACTCACTTAAGAACGTACATATTGATGACAAAATAATCGATAACAGCAGTTTCGACCTACGTGATATTGTATCCGCCATCAATGCTATAGGAATTCTGCGTGATTTTGTTCTCCTGCCTAACGGCGAGCTTCGTCTCTCACTACACCCAGACTCCAATGTAGACGACGTAGCAGCTATACCGCTCTCCTCTGATTCTTGTATATCCAACTATACGTTGGCTGTGGTACAACAGGCTTTTAACAAGGATGAAGATACTGAAGAATGGATTAAACGCCTTGACGAGAGTGAGTTCAAGCCGATCGATGTGGAAGATCTTATCCAAGAAGCGCAGCAGATAGATCCAGTGAAAGAAAGGGAATCGATGGTACAAGAATTCAATACAATTATGCGAGAACATGAAATCAAGAAGAGTAAGCTGGAACCCATTGGGTGGAAATACGTACCCACGCAAAAATTGATAGGAGTATATGCTAGACTTCTACCTACGGACAAATGCATCAGTTGGATGTTTCGAAGTTTACCAGGTGACAAACCACTCGTAATTTACGGAGCATCATTAAAGCTACGTATGTTAAAGCATGATCAAGAAACACCTGGGCAAGATTCTCAACCAGAAAGGCTTGCTTGGCCATTAGCACAGTCTGATATCCATATGTTTGATAATATTGAATTTAAATTGAGGTCATTCAGACATTTACAAGCTACAATGCAAAAATGGAGTAAACGGCATCTGGATTCGCGGGCAAAAGATAAACCATCACAAAACACAGAGGCTAACACAGCTACAGAGATAGAATTACTCAAGCCGCAGTTCATTGAGGTATCTGGGATGGAGAAGTTGAAATTCAACATGTTGATGAAAATCATGCGTACGCTAGATGAAACGTTGGTAGACGTAATAAGGGACTGCGAGCCTGTACTCCGTGGAAAATGTACTGCAAAAGTAGATTCCCACCCACGTCCGTTGTGGGTACAAATCCTTAACGTCTTGATCAACGGGAAATATTTCAAATTTATTCCAATGCTTGTATTCTACATCGACCATGAAGACAAATATTGTTTGTGCACACGCAATATCATCCTACAGCCGGAAACAAAACCATACTTGTGGAACCCTTGGAAAACATCATATGCCATGATGAATTTGGATAATGTGCCAAAAGCATACAGAGAGGTACTATTCGCCGATACTCACCAGTTCAAAATCACTGAAAAACATATACAGCACATTCTCACTATGTACAAGCCATTAGAACATCTGGACATTAGTGGTTATTTAAGCGGAAATGCTAACCCGCTAAAGCGAGCGGTAAAAAAAATCATACACATCGAACCACACAAGCAACTCATGGTTAACATTGTACATTGATATTAATGGCACTATGACCTTTTGTGTTATAACTCCGCAGTTACACGCTTTGGTTAACCTGAGCCTAACGGGGAGACCAAATGATCGCGTACCCTTTGGTAGCTCAGACGATGACCAGAAGCAGCAACAATATCACGCACCAGACGTGTGATGGAAGATGCACTCATCTCGATTACGTCTTTGAGATTCTGCTTATCCAGGTAATCCTCAACAAATTTCCGCGTTGCAGTCTCATCTAGCAGTCCCAACCCGTGGCAACGCATGTACTCGTCCAAACGCATACCGCTGGACAAGAAATCCGGCATTATTCGCCGCGCAGTATCCACATTCAGACCCTTAGAAGATACGATATTCAGCAACTCAGACAGTTGGTCGACGTCGATGCAGTTTATGTTAACGGAAGGCACAATATAATTCACGAGCCATTTTGCCACAATAACAGCGTCGCCGACCGAGCTGCATAGGTGTACGAAGAGCTCGATACGTGCACTGCTCTTATGTATCACAGACAGCAAATCGAGTGGTACCGTAGGGTACGAGGCGTGCAAATATTCCAAACTTGGCCGGTCATCGGACAACGCGCTAGAGATGATTTTAGAAAATAAAACATCATTCAACGTGATCTTTGGAATGTTTGAATCCACGATGTTGAGGTAAGAGTCTCCAGAGAACTTCTCGCGCTGATATCCCACAGTATTCTGTTCGCTACTCCACTTCAGGGTGGAACCAACGGGAACTGTCGCAGGGGCAACGCAAGTTCCCACAGGTACGCGACGTAGAAGATCCACCCATGCGTTAGGAATAGCGTCCAAACGCGTTGCTGTGCTGTTACATCCTTCTACATAAGCAGTCTGATCCTCTCCCCAGGACTCCGACGACAGGCACAACGACACTGCGCGCCGAATACGGCGAAATGAATTCAAGTTCTTCAGCTCAATACGTTTGGAACCCATTAAGGGGGCAGAAATATTGACATCAAAGCGCACATTGCCCTCGTGCATACGACCCTTGCACAAACCGCTGCCAACAGCCAACTGATAAATCTTTGAACAACACTCAACCAGTTCGTCAACGGTCATTTCAGACGCTTCAGTAACTACCTCAACCAAACCGATACCGCTGCGGTTATAATCAAGCGAAAGTGGTTGCCCAGTCTCAGACAACGTACGTGCGGTATCCTCTTCCAAATTAACTCGTTGTATAATAATTTCGCGGCCGCTATTCAACAAGATGCGGCCATTCGTGCCGATTGGGTTGCGAACCTGAGTCAATTGGTAACGCTTAGGCAAATCAGGGTAAGAGTAGACCTTGCGATCAAAAGATAGCGAACTGCTAGGTGTACAAGAGAACGTATGGCACGCAGAGAGACCGTATAAGACAGCTAAAGGCGATAACAAAGGGAGGCTTCCAACCTCTCCCTTGCAAACTGGGCATGTAAACTCGTTCAAACGGCGGAATGCATCCACTTTAAGCTCCATGTCTCGACTGTCCTCCGTACCATCAACGGCGCGCTTGGCGTGTAGAGTATTGTACAGTGAAACATATTCATTGAAAGGCAATGAAACGTGCTTATTCACGTAACTATCATCTCCTACCCTGCTAGTTGTGTTATTCCCGCCTAATATAGCCTCTATGATGCCACCAAGCCGCCGATACAGTTCCTGCGACCTGGAGAGAGTGGCTGATGCAAACGATGCCGCATCTTCCTGGTCATGAGTGGACACCGATCCATCAGAGAACGACGCAGTGCTGGTACAATTACAGAAAATCTTCTGTGGAAGTGCCAACTGAATATGGGCCTCTACACCAGCCAATATCTTAGTGCCACCGTCATTATTAAGTGCAGATGCCGACCGGCGAAAACATGTGCGACGAGCGGATGGGTAAGACAACAGACGATTGGAAGAAGAAAATGAAGCAATAAAACTAGAAGTGAGACTTAAGGAGAGTATGAATAGATGCAAAGCAACCGATATGACCGCAATATGGGTGTGAATCAGGCTTGTCATCACCGCAAGGCGACGAAGGTTGACCGAGCTCACACCCAGTGCGATCGGATGAGGGTACTGATGTTGTATAAATAGATTCCAAATAGAGTAAAATCAATATTATCGTTAGTGCTGCCGTCTTTTATTAACAAAAGTCGGGGTGGAAAGTCATGAACGGCTGAGTAGTGTAAACAATTTACTAACGCAGGACGCGCGTTGGAATGTGTGGGATTCCTCGGGTCTAACCGGTTCCACTCGGGCCTTTAATATATTCAAAATGAGTGTTGTTGCAGTACAAAGTTGCTACACCGTATAGACAGGGTCTGTGTAAAGCAAAAAGTCGCGAATATTCCTAGAGACTTCGGATTGCTGACCGGAACAAACACCAAAGGCCGGCAGAGTTAGCTTCTTAACTCATAAACAAGGGGTTCTATCATAAATATATCTACTAATGAAGTTTCGAGGAGAGTTTAAAGTGGAGAATTTGCATCACTTCGTTGGTTAGTAACACCTCTGTCGCGTATCATAAGAATATAATGACACGTCGCATCACATAAATTGGTGAATGTGAAAACATTTAACTGTCGTACAGGATGCCTTATGAGCCTCAGCAAGCTGGCCGTAGAGCAAACGGAGAGTATGAATGCTCTGCTCCGAATTACAAAAAGCAAGATTTCGGTAATCACAAAAACGATGCTCTACTCCGATGCATTTCTTGAAATAGACACGGTAAACGTAGAAAAGGTGTAATATAACGCGATGCAGGATGAGCTCTTTCACAGCCCATATATTCTGGAGGGAAATGAATATGATACCATCGCGCTGAACCTCAGCGTCAACTCCCTTTATGAAACACTCAATGCGGCAGTAAATAGTGAACATGCTGCGCTCAAACTGAAAAGGTATACTATAGAAAATACTTGTGAAATAACGTCTATCCAGACACAACCAAGTCACGGCGCTGTCTGTCACGTTCCCAGATCCGGCACTTCCGAGCATATCGATCACACTGGTAGGCACAATAGGACCAAACCAGTCATAAATATGACCAGGATATATTGATATCTCCGACTGACGAATATTTACAAAAGGAATCAGTCTTACCTGAAATCCCTCCCTGCACGGTAATCTATAACAAAAAGTCAAACACAACCGATGCAGTGTAATATCGGGATCACAAAGTTTCAGAGTATCATATGTTACTTGGAGTCAGCCAACAAAATAGGAAATGAGTTGACAGAATTCGAAGTTTGTCAAGATTGCAGCCCACAAGCAGCGCACCTTGATGCTGTCCAGGTAAAACGGCCATGGATGTCTCGAATACAAATGATATCCAGCAAATTACGTGCACAGAAAGAAGGAATAAAGTGCTAGCAAACAATGAAAGAACTTTTGTGGCTGCTATTACAAAACCAAATGCAGCCAAGTCCATCATGGCGATTGAAGCACGGGAGTCAGGACACCAATCAATCCTTTTAAAAGTGAAATCGCGTAAGTATGGACGTGTTAGTAAACTCAACAATAACAGCTGGAATAATGGCCGAATTGGAAACCACATTCCACGGACTGCAATCGTTCCCATCGTACGGTGATGGAGATATGCGGAACAGCATTTACAAAAATCCAAAAACTGTACTCAGAACTGAAGCTGTATACAATCTATTCAAGGTAATCGTAGTAATCAGGAACTCACAACCAGCCGCAGCATGCCATAGATACCATCATATTCAGCAAACACGAGGCGCTACTTGTTGCTGCTATACCAGACGACTATGAAACAGCCGAATGGACTTTTTTCATATTGTCGGTGACCTCTTTAGAGAGTTGTCAAATGGTATTCATGATACCAAACTACGTACCGGCAGAATAGTGAAGGAGATCCACAAGAAATGTTAAAATGTAACATTCCAGGCAAGTGGGACAGCAAGGGATTGCTAAAAGGCTATCGTGGAGTCATTCAATTGTATTTTATACGATTTTCGTGCGGAACATACAACGCCTATAACATGTACCATAGTGAGTAATTAGATTATTTAATGTGTCATGGCCCATGAGAAATAATATAGTTAAAGCTAGGAGTAGCATCCAAGAGGAAACCTAACTATACGTAGTGTAGCAACACGAATACTTTGAGGTACTGCCCATTGGCGTTCAAACGTGACAAAAAGAGAAACATGAAACGCTGCTACCATTAAAAAGTGAATTAACGTATTCATGACTCGTGACACCAAAAGCAAAATTAGAACCATTCAATTCACTAAACAGCGGAGAAGAACAAGCGCGCCTAACAGATCAAAATAAGGCGAGCTGGAAGGCAAAGCCAATTAAACTCAATTGACACACATTTACCGTAGAGATAAGTGAGATTTTATATCATACACAAAATACTATAATGGAGAGTTGCAAGTGAATCCACAAAAAACGTTACGCGATTACACATACTAACACACATCGGCCATTTGAGGTTTTAGTGACAGATTCCACGAAGATTCTAAACTATACGACTTTCATTGCAGTGTGCGTCAGATAATGGGACGTCTTCATGGTCTGGGCTATCTACCTCCTCGTACTTGTCAACTATGTTGCACAGGCATGGAGGACGTCGTCACGTACAGTCCTCATCCCTCAACGTACCGTGCGTAGACAAACATACATAAGTGCACTTGGAGATGGGCAAACGGTATACGGTTTATCGTCAGGTATTCCTGATGGAGGATGCGGGGTAGCTGTGACCAGAATCTCTGGAAGGCAGAGCCTGAAGGTCCTGGAACTATTAACTCAACATAAGGTATCCGGAGATGTATAATGTCTATAAATGTTACCGCAGGGTGAAAGTCGGTCAGAAAAGCTCTTCAAATGCCTCCCAAGGGTGGCGACGTTGCGTAATTTGTATGACGTATCTCATACCACACCCATTGACAAAGTCATCACAATTTACTTTCCTGCTCCAAATTCGTTCACAGGTAACGTGACAGCATAATGATGTCACACAGTTACGCAGGCGAGGATGTTGTGGAAATCCACACGCACGGTAGCAGAGCTATAATCGCACAACTATTCGAATCAATGAGAGAGATATCGAAGACGTATAATCTCGAGTAAGAATGAACCGATATTGCACTTCAACCAAACACAAACAGATTGAGGCAAGCAGAACGCGGAGAATTCACACGAAGAGCATTCTACAATGGCAAGATGGACCTCACCCAAGTATGTTGATCAAAGCAACACCTGAATGTCTACCAGGCAGAAGCTGTCAGGGATCTCATAGCCTCCGAGACCACACTAGAGATGGAAAATGCAGCTCTCAAGGTATTTTAGAGGAACGAATAGTAACGCTAAAGCAGATTCACGGAGGGCTCTCACAAATTTATCGAACATGGGCGGACAGACTTAATACTTTGCTTGCGCATTTGGAGGCGAAAATAGAGTTCGAAGAACAAGCTTCCACAGACATACCAACCACTGTCGAAGAGGTTGATGTACGTTTAAAATAAATTGCATAATCTCTATGGCAGACCGTTGCGCAACATCTCAGGCAAATAGCGACAGAAATCGAGAACAAAGTAAATGACACTAGAGGTGAATTACTCAGTATGGGTGCCACTGTCGCAATAGTAGGAGCACCTAATGCGGGGAAAAGTTCACTGATAAACGCGATATGCAACAGGAAAGTCGCCATCGTGGCAGACATGCCAGGTACCACAAGAGATCTTGTTCAAGCAAGATACGATCTCAACGGAGTAAAAGTTACTTTCGTGGACACAGCGGGAATAAGGTCAATAGAAGCTAATGCCAAAGACAATTCACAAGACGGGGTGGAAATGCAGGGAATTGAAATGGCTTTACAATACATAAACGACGCCAAAATGGTCTTATTTTTATTCGACCACACAAATGTAGAGCTTTCGGAACGCGCTTTGGACTTGACGCTAAAAAGGATAGCTAAACACTCTCAGCTTTTCATATGTATTTCTAAAGCGGATCTATTGAATGAAGAACAGATGTTGCTGTTCATTCAGAAATTACGAACACTCCATCGTCAAAAAGCAATTCAAGTAATGGCTATTTCAAGCCGCAAACCAGAAACTCTTGATGCTATGCTTCATATTGTACACCATCAATTTACCAAAGACTACCTAGATGTTCGAAAACAACCATTCATTACGGAAGCGCGGCACCGGACACATCTCATGAATGTTTTGAGGGAAATTAGATTTACTTTACAGGCTATAGAAAGTGGCAGGCATGATCTAGAGATTATAGCGCAACATCTAGTACAAGCATTACCAGAAATCTCTTATATTGTTGGCGACCAAACTAACGAACAGATGCTGGATGCCATATTCCGGACATTCTGCGTAGGCAAATAAAAGCGAGCATTCAAAAACCACTTGATGTCACTCGACACGATGGTAAGCCCGAGCTAAATGAAGGCTGCAGCAGTCAACTATTTGACCGAACCACGGCGACACGCACTTATTAGTAAGGAGCTCTGCAAAAAATTACATATAGTGTTAATCTGTTATCAGCGAAAACATTAATTTAACTTAAAGGGTTATTTACGAGGGAAAAGAACGCTGCAAAAAGTGACAAGCATCTGGTATATGTAACTATATTAAACCTTGAAGTGATTTTTTCAAGACGTGCTAGCAATGGAATAATAAAGCACTTTTAACTTAAGTAATTCCAATAGAAGAGATCAGTGAACGCGCCATTATTACGCATTCCATAACAAGAAGGTATGTAGAATGTATTCTTCAAACCGTGGATCATACCTTGAGGATCCAAAACACAAATGTAACAAATTCATTCACAGATCTATTTTAATCCGAGTTACATGAGTACGAATGATCCTAGCTGGTTGTAACGTTCACAGCAGTTGTCCTCAGAGCACCGTTGATTGCGTGGGTGGCTTTGTCATTGAGCCAGGAGCAGTACTTACTTGCAGTATTGCATGTGTCGGTAACTACCTTAGAGATGTTCTCGGCGTCAACTCCGTGGTCCTCAAGTTTAGGGAGGGATTGTTTGATGTTCTGCAATGCATCCTGAGCGGCGCCTTGTAGTCCAGCAACGACACTTGAGGCTGCCTCGGGGGTAAGATAGTTGTATGGCGAGCCACTCATTTCAGAGGAGGAGGAGGAGACAGTGGTGGTTGTGGCGGTAGCTTCATGGGTAGCTGCAGCGGTGGTAGTGGTTGGAGCCGTAGTTCCAAAGGTTGCAATAGTAGCGTAAAGGCTGTCGAACATACGCTTAGCACCATCGTATACGCTGTTGTAAAAATCGGTCACAGTGCTTAACTGTAGTGAGGGGTATTGAGAGCTGGCATCAGCAGACTCAGTGTGCGAGGTGGTCGAGGTTCTCATGTACCTGTTAGCCGGCTCGCACGTCTCGGCATGCTGAGCAACTGAAGCAGGTATCAAGGCCTGCACTCCGCAGAAAAGCGATGCGAATAAAAACAGAAATACCTTCATCTTCCCAGAATGGTTTATTTAACCTAAGAATGGCGTTAGAGCGATATGGGCTACCTAAATATAAGCACCAATTTCTTATAGATCAAAGTGCCAAACCAGATGAATGAACTTTTTATTCACCTTTCTAGTTGTTTTTTCTGTAACACTTGCCTATTAGAGGTGGCAGAAGTCAAAACGACGAAAAGACGACGAAACAGTACATTCGCGACTCGTCCCGTTGTACATGCACTAAGACGAAAGTCCTCCAACCGCACCTAAAAAGGGCTTTAAAATGGAGTTAAAATATGCACACTAATAGTTTCTGATACCGTTTAATCTCGGGGCAAACGTACAGTTCTTCCAAACGTCGTTAGAGCAAAGTAAGACGTTCGTGGAAATTTTTTGTCCTTCGTATTTTGTGCACCGTCCTCTGTATATAACCTATGCGGTCCACTATTTTGTTCTACACCTTTGAACGTGATTATTACTGTGCCGTATGTATTTTAAATGGAATGTGCGCGTCAGCGGTATAGCAGATACACCACCATGTCTCCAGTATTGACAAGCCTTGTTACCGGCCTTCTAGTGTATTTTTCGCACAAAAAAAATATAGTAATTACAGTAGCTAGCTGAAGTCCTAGAACCTCTTTCGGGGGCGACGGCTTGTTACACATCGTCCCTCGGCCCTGCGTACCGAGGATAGCATTGTAAAAGTGATGAAGTGTCTGACATGCCAACACATGTCTGCTTGTCACATAAATGTGTAAAGTGGTCAAACCTGCTGACATTTCTATGCAAAAAAACAGATAATTACATAATAGAAAGCTCTGCCCATATACATATAAGTTGCGCCTAAGTGCAAGTACACCTAAAATGCTACGTTACGTTAATACTGACAACAGTAACGTCAAATGACTCCATTACCCTGGTAAAAAGCGAAGGCGCTGTCGCCAAATGCAACTCTAATCTAACGCCAACACTTAAGACATAAGAATAAACGATTCGCGGAAGTTCGCGATGGACATTCTGTTCGACGTATCGTGCCATCGTATCGAAGAATAGGTGAAATGAACAAAATGACAATGGAAAACATACTGCTCGTCGGAGCGGGGGGACTAGGTAAGCAGCATTAGGAGGCCAATCATGCAAATTCAAAACATAATTGAGCCAGCAGCCATTGACATCAAGAGTATACATCTTGTATGTAGGTTGTGAGGTCATCAAAAATTTGCTGATTCAAGGAATACAAAGGCTAACCATTGTAGATCCTGACATAATAGAGCTGCATAATCTCACACGGCAATTCATATTTAGGTTTGTAACCATCCACTACCTCCCTTAACATCAATTCAGATACAATGATGTAGGGGCGAATAAGGCTCAGACCGCAGCTCAGAGAATCAAGGAGCGGTTCAAGCATGTAGAGGTTATTGCGTGAGTTGAGCAAATTGCATGTTATTGTGAATCGCTGGATATAACCACTAAAATCTTCATACAGCATCCCAACGCCAATACAAGAACTTCAACTCAGTAAAATCGCGGAATTTGACATCATCATATCTGTAGTTGACAATATACAAGCCAGGAGGTGGATCAACCTGACTACTATGGTTATATGGCAACAACGCCAGGAACAAGAGGGGACAAAAGGACGTACAACGAAACTGCAGGTACCTCTCCTTATAGATGGTGGATCACAGGAACTTTTTGGCCACGTAAGGGTCGTTGGTGATGAGAACCAGCCATGTTTAGAATGCTCGTTGCCATTGTTCGCAGACCAGGTATACGATACGGTAGAGTCCAATAATTACTGCAACAGCAGGTGGATGTCCCTTCTTGTTCCATACCTAGGGAACCTAAGACACCAGAGGACTGTGTAAGTAGGTGGAACAAGTAGCCAAATCAGATGCAATGTCTTACAGGATATGTACTCAATACGAAGTGGGAAGATATTGCCAAATACACCGGGCCGGTAAGGTGCAAATGGTAACGTCATAGTACAATATTTAGGGACAACAAGATGTGAAAGTTATTGAAAAGGTATTAAAAGACGCCCTGCAATATGCAGCGGTGTATAAAATACATAACGTGACAAGGGAATTAGTGCGCAAGATTCTAAACGTAAGTTATGGTGCTCTTCAATGACAAGTGACAGAACGATAACATCAACGTGAATACAACAAATGCTATCGTAGCTGCAGTAATCACAAATATTATTCTAAAAAGGGAGATTACCATTAACTTCTACTTCTACAGTGGAGAAGGGAATACGGTGTTTGACAATTTCATTATTCAGAAGCATCAGGACTGCTTCCTTTGCCAGGGTCGTGCAATCACCCTAAACGTGGATTATTCCCAAACGCTGCAGGAACTGATCGACCAAATAGAAACGCATATAAAATCCGAAGGCGTAAATATTACAACTGAAGAGGTTAGACAAACTTTCAACTTACACTAAGTTATTTCAGGGAACCGTGTACATGGCCTCACCAGAAGGTCTCCAAAAACTGTATCGCAACAGGCTCGGAAAACCCCTCAGGTAGCCTATGCAATACACAAAATATATTGCTCAGAGAACTACGTGATGTCCTAGGTGAACGTTTATATGTCACTACCCGAAAAGAGAACATGTGGTACTGTGTACATTTGGAACCTTGGAAAATTTAGGGCACGAATCCCACGGGCAGCAAGTCAAAACTCACAACGGCAACTGATAATTCCAGTGTAACTTGTGGAAAATACATTAATCGGTGTATAATACTAAGATTAGCAACTGTTCGCTATGATTTGTCTATAGCAATAAAGAGCGGATGACGCTATAATCACAGATCGTCGTACTTTACACTAGGGCGCGTGTATTCGTCTTGCGCAAACGAAACAGTGTGTTCCTGATAAATAAGAAAAGGGTAGAATGTCAAACTTACACGTTTGGCTTGTGGACGGTCGAAGTCAAAGTAGTCACGACGACGACGCTTGGTCCCACTCTCGTTACGAACGCTGTAACGTGAATCAGAAAGGCCATTCGCCTCAAGAGATGGTGCGTCCACATCACTAGGGGGAAGCTGTGCAACTGGCACGCTCAGTAAACGTTCGAAGGGGTTGCAGCGCGCTGTTGTGTGGGCGTTGACGAATATTTCCTTCATTTGAGGAACGCCGCACTCAATCACTATATTACTGTGACTAGTTCCGTGCTTCAGCTTAAGATGCTTCCATACGAACTTAGAGTCATTGAAGAGCTTGTGGCACAAACGGCAACGGAACCTTTCGGGGCCATCGACCAAAGTGTTGATGTTGCAAAACTGTTTCCACTTCTCCTCTATCTCTGCATCATTTTGCACATATTCAGGAGGGCTCAAATTGCAGACAAGCAAATGTTCAGCAAAAGATTCGACATCTCGCAACCACTGTAGCTGAGACTTAGAAACGTCGCATGCCGCAACTAATTCCTTCTCCCAGTCGCGGGGTTCAGGCTCCGCAGTGGTTTTGTTTTTATTAGCATTTTCCCACGACGCATACTTCACGGTGACATGATTAGTGGTTAGTCCCGCCTCCTTGTCGTATAGCTCGTTGGTAAGGTCAACACGCACATGTCCCGGACCACATAGATCCCAGAGGTCGATGTAGCTTTTACCCTTAATTCGACCGTAGTAGCAGTAGCTGTGTACCTTGCGCAAATACGTCAGATGGAGGTCCAAACGCCTCTTCACATCGAGATCTGCCGGTAGCAGGTCTGCAAACGAGGTTTCAGACGAGCAAAACTCGCCATCTGCGCAATGTCCATTTGAAAAAGCGTGACACCCACCTAGCTTGCGAATGACACGCCCGGTTATCTCCACGTCCCTGGCAATAACAATCGGGTGGGAACATATAGGAGGGCACACTCGAATGCGAACACGCTCTTGTAGTGGATTGCAGGGCTCAAAACGCAACAAAAACTCTTGCACACTGAAATATTATTAGTACAACTATTCAGCATACTAACGTCAGTCTGCTTGCCGTTAAGGTCTCACTGAGCTTCTTTAAATCACACTCTTCAACGCTAACAAAGGCAGTTCTAACCATATCGCGTTCGGCCATGTATATCGAAAAGCGTTGTAAATGTGGCTGAGCAACGTGTCATGCACATTATATCCCTTTACCTTGAGAGCGCTTTGAATTTCGTGTTTGAATACCTTGTCAGGCACGTCCACCAAAAGCACCGATTGCAAGGGAGAACTGATAAATTATAATGAGTCGAGAAGTGAGCCTACTCGATGGGGAGGCGACCAGTGTGAGTGTTATCCTTTGGGTACTCAACTGGGATTTCATATGCCCATTCCGCATATTTATATGCCGCATCGCTCGGAGCGTTGCTACCATCGGAGGAAGAGGTGCCGTACAAACGCTTGAAGCTTATCTCAAGCAACAGCTCCTCAAAATGACCATTGGTGTATTTCTGACATTTTTTAAAAGGGGTCAAGGTGCGAACCAACCAGTACGAATTCGCGGTTGTTGTTCAACACATCTTCTTTTGTTGTCTCGTATTCAAGTTGCAAGTAATAAGGATGAAACTTTTCACGAAAAAATGCCAAGTGCTACAATGCATTAGACGACCAATAACGCATTATTACCTCATACATATCATAGTATCGACGGATCTCATTCGACAGGAAATCGTGAAAATATTTCCTGTACTCCTCCGCAGCTTTCTCTGGCGAAATCTCGTCTTCCTATAAAAAACATGTCGAGCGGTGGAGCGTGCACGAACCTTCATCAGAATGAACTGCTTAAAGTTAAGCATGCGATGGTGTTCCCCCCCGTACAACCTTGGTTTCCTAAATACGTGTGAGTAACTGGAAAGACATTCATCGTAGTAGCAATTGCCTAATATGCTGGGGAAACGTACCTTCGAGGATGAGATTGCCTCATCGCCTTGCCGACTCGCTCCATTGTAGGCGGAATAATGATATGTCAAAGAAACGCGTGTACGACAGCACAACTAGCGTGCGATATACCTGAAATTGACGACCCAAAACCGATGGGCAGTGAATGATCAGAACCGGCAGACGGAGACCAAGCATAAGAACATCACGTCCTAGTCGATTGAAGTGCCTTGAGAGGCCGAGGAGTAGATAGCGATAAGTCCATATACTACATTAAGTTAATTTTGCCGTTCATAACACCATAAAGTTCAAACACATCTCAAGGTGGCACGGGGACGGTATCGCGGGGGTGACAAGCCGCCAAGAAAATGAACCAAAAAAATGCACGATATTATAGTGATTCGTTACCCGCGTAACGAAGGTACTGGCCGCAATGCTCATCACGAACCGCGCATGGGGGTATCGTTGGAATGGCACTCAGCACTCATATTACGGTAAAGGTAGTTTTATTATATGTTATGTTACTGTGTTCAGTTTCGTTATACCATATCGCTCAGTATGCCGAAACCGGCATTGAAATGCCGCCGGCGCACGACGCCTGGCGTGAATACCGTGCTACACTGAGCCAAAGACAAAGCAAGCCGCACACGTACGCTAAATGCGGGTGAATCATCACGATTCTACGTCTCTGGTGTTTCACGGTGTCGATTTGACGAAAACGAAAAGGCATGAAGCGCCTATCCGTGACGCCTCCTGGGTGTATTGCCAAGTTTCGCAGTACTAACCCTATCATACCATTGTTGACGTACAAAGTACACCAAAGATGAGGTGCAGTCCTGATCGTGCCAATTAATGCACCTTATGTAGTATTAATATGGCAAACTGTTCTTGAAAGCATCGCCAACATCTGACGCACAACAAAACCCCAAAGTCTTGAAAAATTCAGTGCGCTTAGAATATACGTACGGTGCTGTACAATCGCACTTTGGTTATGGGCGTACGGTTTCGACATTACAAACGTGGAACCGCGTCAGCGTGCTATGACCAATCTGAAAGTAATGCCGTTACGATGAAGCCTCACTGCAGAGACTCGTATACGGATGGTCAGATGTCCTTTCAGCAGTTAAAATCAACCAGCTTGGTCTATTGTAAGCAAATCAAAACGACCAGTTATTTTTAGTTGAGTTCGAAGACTCCAGAATTTTGTCCAGATATTCTGCTGTTTCCTTGTCCACAGCATAGTCGAACTCCTCTTCATAATCCGAATACATGTAAGGATTGTTTGCCAGTTTATGAGTGCCAAATAAATCTTGAAGTCGATTCACGATATCTAGAAATGAATCACCACAAAATGCTACTACATTCCACACATTGTGTCCTAGCGCCTTACCCGCTGCAAGAAGAAACTCAAACAGTTTCGAGGCGAAGCGGTCGAAACCGTTGATGGGAAGGCTGTCATCATCAGAGAGTGCATTTGGATCATCCCACGAAGACGGTCCAGGAAGCGGGTTTGCATTAATTGAACCATTGTCGGTAGCTCCAGTCACAGCTGTTGCTCTACCATAGTCATGCCCCGGAATCCCGCTTTTGGAGACGTCTGAGCCGGATGGATAAATGCCATGCGAAGAGCTAGCAGCAGCAAGCGGAATCACACCCAGCGCTAACCACGACCTAGCAACTCCACTACACAATAACATGATGTTTAGTGCATGGAGAGTGGAACCGTACGCATAACCAAGCGAAAATTAGGAATCCGTAAATGTTAGCCACCTTGCTAGATTCCGCTTCTGCAGCTACTTAACGTTATTATAAGCGAATAGATCATAAAAGCTTCCGCATGTAGCAATCTACGGAGGCATAATACGGGGAAAGTCGCGATTTCACCAGCGAGCTGCACATAATGCCTTCCCCAGTAATGCACAATATTCGTGTTGCTACAGCGAGTCTATTAACGGAATAAAATGATATCGGAATTCCCACATGATATACACATTTTTTCTTTCTTTTGTTATCCAAAATTAACCGTGTTTTTGGTAGTGTTAGGGTGGATTACACCATGGATCTTGACACACCAAAGAGTTACACAAAATTGTAGATTCGTCGTGCAAAAAACATGTATGTGTCACCAATAAATTCTTTTTAACTTGAGTACTATGTGTTTTATAGGAAATAATGGCTGCAAGCTCAATCACGCGCGGCCGAAGATAACGACCTTCCACCGCTATCCCATGAATACAATATACCGTACCAGTCTCTGAACACCTGCATACCGTTGCTTATCAATTGTAGGAACTATATCACAAAATAACGATGCTAGGTGCGGGACAGTAAATCTGACTAAGGTGTGCTAATGAAAATCGATGAATTGTTAAAACTGTTTTCATAACACCTGCCGGACCATATCAGTGGAATGATATGGCTTGTGGTACGCTGTAGTACGGCTGCCATCCCGGCTAACCAATGGCTATGTAGCCACAGTAACATCACGACATGAAGCACCGGTCACGTAGCTTTCGAATATTTCTAATAACAAAAAATCGAGATATGTGGAGGCGGCTTAAGCAACATAGACAAGGTAGAGTCCATTACATCGCTAGAAACCTTATACACATCCCTCCGAATTGCTATCGATAGGCAATACACTAGCCACACCATGCATTAACAAATGACTAACACTAATAGAAGGAATAGTTCGCATTATTTCATACCATAAAATCCAGCTCCTATGACAGCAAATAGAACACTATAAACAAAGCCTTTTGTCCAAGGGCACATCAAACTTGGTTTACAGCTGATGTCTGGCAGACAACAGTTTGGGTGCAAATGTAAACTGATGTATTTTCACTTATAACACAAAACAGTTTTTCGCACATAATAGAGTACTTTGCAGCACCGATAAAGCCTATGCACGCGAATATAGGCTTAAAAATGGATGCTGGTAATGTGTTTAAAACTACAGTGGACATTGCTCTATTTTGTATTATGCTTGCAACAAATACAATAGCACAAGGGACAGGGAAGGATGAACAAAAGAAGCACATATTGCCGGTCACATATCCCAGTATGTACGACACTTATCCCATGCAGCTTTGCTATGTTCCCAGCTTCGTGCCGAGGTCGATCAGTATTTCCAAATCGCAGACAGCGGAGAACGTGGCTGAAGAATTTACACAACCTGACAATCGGCAGAGGTGTCCAAGCTTTACATACGGTGGTACACGTCGGGGACGTTTCAATTGTCGTACTGTCAACATTGAGAGGTACATTACAGAACGCGATCTATTCTCTATAGCGGCCCAGCGTACATCCAAGTGGAATCGATATCACCTAGCGAATGTTTATATTGATACATTGCCAGTAATACGACTGCGGTTGCAAAATAGAAAAAAAGAATCGTTACTTGCTAATGATAGGAGAGCTCTTTTAAATATTGAGAGAACTGGAGATGGTGGATGTATAATCAGTTTAGACTGCTATATAAGGACGCCAGAATTGCGCGTGATACAACAAATTTCGATAACAATTGATGCGGTCGCCGCTAAGCCACTTCAGATATGTGATGGGACAGCATGCTGCCGCCATGCCACTGGGCTTCTTAATGGCAACTATCACATGGGTGAATGTAGTGGCGGGTCATATGACAATATAATGACAAATGGAGTATTCAAAACGGCACATCACACATTGTACGTGGTACAACATCTTCTTTTGACGCTAAATGATGGACGTGAAACGAACTTGTTATACACTATATTATATAATACGGATCATAGGACGCTTGTAGCAGCCAAAAGGGATGTTATATGGCAGAAGGGAAGGTTTGCTTTCAGTGATGAACCTATGGAACTTTACGACAGACCAATTACTACTATTAACCCTGTAAATGTATTCTTCCAAATAACGGAAAGCGGGCAAATGCCGAGGCTGCACCCACATCATTCCGGAGTAATAAACATACAATATGACGGGTCATATGAGGTCCTAGTACTCCCTTTCGGTACACTGGAACGGCCTCTGAATGTTTTGAATGAGGTACACTATATACTGAATGGAGTGGAACGCCCATTGGTGGCACCACACCTCATGTCGAAAAATGGTCTCAATTTGTTGGCTGAAGACTCACCATCCTACGTGGTTGTTCAGGATATAAACAATGAAAATCTGGATATCCGTGTCGTCTATGTGGTCAAGGTCCCGGGTAAGTCAACTCCGGAGCCAATTCGTCTGAGGTTCAAGGTATCTAATGGCCATATTAATTTAATAGCATCGATGCGACAGGATCACGGTATTCCAAATAGATCTACAGTCTGCATAGAGCCTGTGCCACTCGGTAAAAAGGCACTCTGCATAGTTCACCGTCTAATAGTGCCAGGGATGCCAGAGAAATACTCTAGACTATATACATTCCTTTACGATACAGAGATGCGACAGCTCACGGCTATTGTACATGACATTGGAACCTCCACCGACTATAATGATGTATTCCTGTCGCCACCAGCTGAAGCCTTTGTCAAGCCGGCATTATATGCCAATGTGACGAACATTACGATTAGCGAAAAGGGCGAATACCACATGAATAAGCCATTCGCGGGTTATGTATCGCATAATCATATGTCTCTTAAAACACGGGCTATTGTTATTCCTAAGGGAATGGGGAAACTGGACACGAAATATACAGATCGGTTTTTGTTTCAAGACGTCACAATATTGTTTTTATGTATCGAAGCAGAAGATGGAACGTCTTTAATAGACCCCAATTTATTACCAGATCTGCACATTCAGTCTAGAGTTAATGAGCACGTTGTACGTATTACGTACGACATAGTATTGCCAGGGACCTCCAATTCACAACCAATCACAGTGGAATTCGTCTGTCGCACTCTGCAAACCAGGAACAATGTGAAAAGGGTAGAAATAACACTTTCCAGCAAGTACCAAAGAATAAAAACGGATGGAGATCAGTGTGTCCTAGATGCGTCAGTTTGGAACGACAGCAACGAAACCTTTGGTGGGAAGTGTCGAGTTGGTACGGGAGAAAAGGGCGCCTATGTATTAGTAAGTCGCATTATACGAAATTCAGGCAGTGCGGACCAAGGTGTGCTGTATAAATTTCTCTATGACTGTGAACATTCGATTTTGTTCGCCAAGTCAGTACCCGTTGAGCTAGTGAAAGCTGACAAGGGCAAAGCTTGCAGGTGGGTCAGAAAAGCAGACGACATAAACTATGACTATTCTATTGGTGGGATTGCAACAGCTTCACATGAAGTGTCGCCCATGACGCAGTGATAGTGTATGCCACCTGAAGAATGTGGCTAGCACCGAGCAGAGCACCTGGACTGACACGTGACGCAAATATCACAAGTCTCGTATTTCACCTTGAAAGTTAAATCCTAACACTGACAGCGGTGCTCATACCTATAATCGTATTGTTCTATTTTCTCCGCACTGCCTACGCTTTGTCATCGTTGCATGATACAACTTTTGGTAGGAAAATCCGTATTGAATGTTACTGACACTCCATTTTGATTACAATACACCTATGAAAGATTTGCTGTGACGTAAAAAGCTTGTATGATGAGAAATTTTAAAGTACAAAATGATTAGCCGATAACACATTTCAGTGATATTACGATTAGGGACAAAGATAGCTGCTCGACGATCAAAGGAATAATTTTTTGGATTCATTCAGTCTTCACTTTAGCTAATATACTTTGCATACAAGACCAAGATCTTGTGCTGCATCGTGTCATATCACTATGACATATATACTGCTCAGCTACTCTTCCACTTCATTATTATAATTCTTAAAACAGTAGTGATTACAATTCTATCTAAATGTTGTATATTTTAGCTATTGTCGCATTAAATATGGGATACCACAATAACAGCTTTAAAAAATGATGAACGGTAGTATAACCATATTCAAACATATTAATTACATAGGTGCAAAACAAAGCGACCTTGCACTATTTTCTGTTCTATGATGCTTTGTAACTTTATAAAATCGGTATCCGTTATGTTATAGATCACTGTTCGACAATTGATGAACGTTATTTGTTTTGGTATCCAGTAACTGAAACGTCGAATAAATCAACAGCTACATCCCAGTGTCGGTATTGATTATGTTATTTCTCTACACAATAGCGCTATTTCGATATAAGACATATCTCTTAAAGTCCAATGATTTCACAATTTCGATATTTTTAACGGCGAGATCCTTTACCTACGGTGGTTTACGTGATATAGTGATGATTATAAAATGACTCCGGCGCCATCAGCCATGAGGTATAGCACTTACCTGGTATATGGCTTCTTCCTGAATGGAGAAGGCACTTATTGACACTTATAATTGGCACATTCAACGTAGTGGTGATTCCCTACTTTTACTAGATAAGGGAAATGGGGAATTTCCAGTTTACCTAATATGGAGCAGGCACATCGTCACATCTCTGCAAAACAACGTTAATGATCATATTAAGCGGCCACTGCAGAGAAATTATCGAATGTTAGTTTGGGGATATTATTTTCCTCTTTCAACATTAACTGAGGTAACTCAATCCGTAAAGCTAAAGCGAATTACTATCCTTCTTATATTCACTGAATCAACAAAATGGCGAAACCGTCAGCCGGAGTCCAGCAATACACCGAACTAGCTCATCCCCCGGGTAGCCTGAAGGAATGTATCGATTGGATTCTTAGGGTGACGGAGAAGGATGGGAAGAATGGTGGCGGTAATGGTGATGGTTCCACTCAAATTGGAGAGAAGGTTGTGGAGTTACTACAGAAGGCGGAAGATTACTTGACTCAGGAAATTAACAAACACAATGGTGACGCAGAAGCCACCACCAAACTCAAAAAGGATAAAGCTGTGCTTGAAACAGTAACAACATCGTTGAAAAATGGAAGTGGTTCTAATTTGATCACCAAATTGGCCGATGAGTTGAAGAAGTTCATTGGATGGCAGGAGAATGGTAATGGTCAACCTGACGGAAATGGTATTGCCCAAAGTGGATACGAATCATCGTACGGACAAGAAGCCAACTGGAATAATGCCTCCACCGAAAATGACCAACAACTTTGCGCCTCGATCTTCCTCGGCGCGCTCCCCCTAATTTTTTCTGGATTAAGCTATTTGTATTGGCAATGCAACGAGAGTGAAGGTATTGATAGCGAAGATAGTGGTAGCGAACAACTTACAAGATGGTCCAATGCGACTCAAATTACTAATACCAATGCAGGTATCGGCATCTATTTCGCCTCCTGTGGTTATAAAAGTGTTGACCTACAAAATGGTAAGACAGCCAACGAAATCAAAAATTTAATTGACCAACAATTCAATAACAGCGCCAAAGTCTCCCACGCCTACCCCGTGTACATCAATGCTGTACTGGAAAACACCAGAAAAAATGCCTCTGGCAATGCCACCTCCTACCCCCTCACCTCCCTCTACATATGCTCCACATACTATTTCCAATCGCAATTCCAAAATGGTACCCATGTCCCAACCACCATCAGAGAAATGCTCTACTGGCTCATGGCGCTGCCCTATAGTGAGTGTTTCCAGTTGGCACCAGAAGCTATTAAAAAGACTATTAATGATATTACTAAGAACAATTCTGGTAGTGATAGTATACCATTCGATGTGGGTCCCACCTTAAACCATACTGACCCTTTCGATTGTTATATGTCAACCACTTGCCATTACGCCGCTGTGGTCCTATCCACTATGCAAGGAACAATTTGTGACACCACTCCTGGTAATCCACCTAATATTCACACCATATATGATAATTCTCACTTCAAATTTAACTACCCAAAGAACCCATCCGATTGGTTCAATAAGCTCTGGGATGTGGTATATCACTTAATAACGCAATTATATTTCCTTAAAGAGCAATGTAGAACATGTTTCGGCGCCGGTTGTGGTTGGCAGTGGTGTCAATATGGTGATGGTATCAACTCACATATGACGAAGGAGGTGGAATCTTGGATTTGCACTGTTACCCCAGGTGAAACACATAGTTCAGGTAGTGGTGGCAATCACACCTCTGGTTGCACAGAATCCCAACAACACATCGCAGCTTGCGGCAAAGACAACAACCCCTCCCCCCTCCAAGCTTTCCTATGCGATCTCCTAATACCTTTTAAATGTCCAAAATTTGTTGAAAACAAAAAATATCCACCTTACACCGAGCATATTTCCCATCGCAATTTCAATCAATATTGCCCAGTACCAATGGGATTCAACAAAGACTATCTTCCTTCGTCTCCTCGCACTGGTCACTATATCTATGAGATACTAAATTACTTCACCCAAAACAAAAATCACCATATAAGTCTCTACAACATATTCATATGTCTAATATGCACCGGGTTACGCACTCCCCGTACAGTCGGCGATCTTTTTGGGTTTTTCTTGTATCTTGGTGAGAAAATGAATAATGGTGGTTCCCCTAAGGTCGCTGATGCCATCGATACCGAATCTAAGAAAATACCATGGAGCAATCAATCAACTCCTATGACTACCGCTGCCCATGACCTAGCTGGTAAAACCCATATAGATGACCCTTCTCACCACCCCGCCGATGCCGACCTCTACACCCTACATGACAGTGAATGTGCCATGAGCGTAACCTGTGGCAAGTACCTTGACCCCCTGTCATTCGTTATCTATTGCAACGTCTCCGTAGCTTTCGCGGAAACTTATTTGTCCCGTATAATTTATCTCACACACGCTCTGAAAGAAGGTCTTAAAGTATTACTTACAGAGTTCAACAACCTCACGTGCGAACATTGTCAAAGTTGTGACTGCAAAGGAAAACATACGAATAACCAACACACAACGTCATGCCTCTGTACTACCATCGTCCAATGCGCTGACGTCCTACCCCTTTTCTTCAAATTCGGCTTCACGTACTATTACGCAGCTGCATTAAATGGTACTGAGGAATTTGACAGTTCAAAAAAACGCCAATGCAAAGACTTCGCCAAGCAACTACAAAATGTCATCATCAACGGTGGCCTCTTCAAAAAACTTCTGGAAGAAATCAACAAATTCCTCCTTTGCATCCGCAAACCCTTCCTCCTATACCTCCTCACATTCTGGCTTGTGGCCATTCTGTACTTCAGCTACGGACTAACAATACCTCTGGACCTGTTCCATATCCGTTCACATTGGAGACGTGCATTGTCCCATCAAATATCCGTGTTGGCGTTATTATCGAAGAAGGCGATGTCACCAACAAAGGTTGGATATTTCACACCGTAAGATGTCATCACATATCAATCTAATGTCATCAAATCTATGTTTGTATGTATTAGGCAGATTGATGGTTTCACAAAAATTTCATGTTCTACACCCCCTTCCGCATGCACGGCACAGATATTCAGATAAAGTGTGTG